AATAGATATCAACTATATTCTCGGAGGATTCATATTCTTCCTGTCCTATGTGAGTCCTCAGAGAACCCCTTTGGCACGCACTATCGCGACGCCTATGCAACCGCACAGACGGCATAAAGCTTAACTCGAGCAATTCATTGCTGGCGTTATATTGGATGTTATTAGCTTACTTCCACAACCAGTATTTTGAAGAGGCATTGAAAAGCAGTGGTCTTTTTGCTTTGAGATCCGGACCCGTTCTCCACAAAAAGCCAGTTTGTGGCCGAGGGGTGATATTTGCCTACAAAAGTGGCGTTCGCTTTTTTATGTTTCTAGCATTAATATCAATGCGTTAGGAGCCCTACAATTAGAGATAGGCCGCTAAAATGAGCAGCAGACACTATCTTGGCCTACTTGTAACCATCACTTAACTGCTCAAGTTGATACCTGGATATTTGGGAAATGACGCTAACTGAAATTTTTCCGTCCAATTGTATACACTAAGACTAAGATGCGCGTTCATCAACAATTTTCCATAACCTACAAAAATTCACCATCTCAGGTCCTTGAATTTGAATTTTACAGCTGTCTGGGTAGTTCAGGAAGATTCAGATAGGCTCATATGAACTGATCGGAGCTCGTGGAAGTTGATGATTTCCGAATAACTGTGTGCGAATCGTCAGTACTCAAACCGGGAGTGCTGCTCAATAAAGATAGGGTGGATAGTGTCTCCTTGCCGTACATCATAATCTTCCAGATATCCGTAGGCAGTTCGATGTGATCAGATAATTCGCAGAGTTTCTCTGTCTCGGGCTCATCGGTAGGGTCATGATATGGCTGAAGGTACGGGTGAGACAGAGCTTCTTTTGCACAGATTCTCTTTTTGGGATCAAAAACAAGCATCGATTCAAGAAGGGACACCGCTGTAATGTATGAGGTAAAAACATAAAAAAGCTTCCTCGTGAAATCGAGTGTGCTTACCGTCTGAGCCAGCAGTTCTAAACTTGGTGGCTAAAGGTTGGCGTTCCCGGCGAGGGAGAGATTCAACAAACCGAGACGTCTGCGGCCATTAAAACAATTTAGAATTTAGCGAGTACGATGGGATGCGAAAGAGAATCGGGACTTACATCTTCACTACGGAGGGCTAGGTTCAGGTAATCTGGCGGAGTGCCGAGAAGTTCAATGATGACTGAAACTTGATCAATGGGCTCTTTTCCAAAGAATAAAGGTCTCTGTTCCAGCATCTCCCCGAAGATACACGCTACACTCCAAATGTCGAGTTGCTCATCATATATCTGCCAGGCGAACAAGGTTTCGGGGCCTCGATAAAAGCTTGCCGACTCATAAGTTGCTTGTGATAATTGGCGAGAAAAGCCAAAGTTGCAGATCTTCAGATCACCCCTTTCATTGATCAGGATATTGCTCGGTCTGAGATCAAAATGGATAACACCTGCTGAGTGGGCGTATTTCAATCCCCGCTGGAGAAAGTCAGATCAGATTCAATGGCAGTACTGATCCAAATTCACGCACAAAAATTTGGTACAAAAAATACTGAATATACTGAGGATCTAATGGCCTAAATGCTAAGAGCTCCTGTAGATCGGTTGCCATGTTCTCAGTTACCAAATAGCTATAAAATGTTAGTTAAAGATCGTGCAGGAAGCAAAAGGCTTGCGAGGTATACAGTACATATCATCTAACGGGGACAGAAAGATATCAACTAGACCGATAATCTGTTTATGGTTAGCCTATAAAAACAACAAGACTCTGATTTTGAATAAATTGACATTTTCGTGCCGCATCTTCGTGAAAAGTCTTATTTTTCGGTAGATCTCACTCGATAAGTGCGCGGCGCAGAAAGGGTTTGGAAACTTCTCAATGACGACCAATAACCCTGTCGGTTCGTCCATTGCACAACTAAATTCACAATTTTATTGTCAGCCAGTGATTAGGATACTGCTCTGTGATCTCTGCACTTCCTAGTTAGTATTAAATAAGGAAGGTAGATTGGCCACAATACCAGACTATACGGGTGGTGCTCCTTTCCACAAGCTCCGGGGCTTTATATCTGAGGCTATATAAGCTTCTTAATTTATTTTGCTACATCAAAAGAACACTGTACCTGTTTATGATCTGAAGGTGCTCTCGAGTACTCGAGCTTGGGCGAAGTCCATTATTCTCAGGCTTGGATAAGTAGCACAATAACACTGGATGGAAGCCTTGATAACGGGGAAGATAACGACAAAGTATTGCCTGACCACTTTGAAGGATGAACAGGTAGTAACAAGATTGAAAGTTTAGGAAATAGCTGCGGGAATTAAAGAAAAGACCCTAGGATATTTTAAACTTATAGGACCAGGACCTCCTGGTCACTAAGAGTGATGTCATTAAGCAGAGTGAAATAATCGTGATTGTTTCTGACTGCGTTGAGTGGCAACTAGTTCGCCGGTGATCTAAATAGTACGGTGCATGAGTAGTTGTGTAAGTGGCGACTTTACACTGTTTTCATAATTGTGTTTCTAACCTCACAAAGCTTTCTGGTTCACTAACATCTTCCTGACATGCCTCGCGCTGTAGTAGTTTTCTTTGGCTATTAGGATCATGGCCTATAAATCTTTCATTTGACCTTAATCAGCCGCGTTGGACTAAGAAAGAGGAGTTCAATTTATATGTTTGTTTCCCATAGAGGCATATTGATAGTTATAAGATGATAGTTTACCCTCTTCCCACGAGATCCTATCGTCCTGAACTCTCGGTCGTAAAATCTTCTAATTTTCTACCACATACCACGAAATAGAACCGCGAATAGGGTGCGTCATCGGAGGGCATATCTTGTGGAATTACCTATGGACACTTATCTATGCACCCTCAACTTAATTATTGTCTGTCGTGTGATGAAACATAGTATGCATGTATGCATGCAAGCTAGAAGCCATCACTTCCAGACAGCCACTCCCAGACATTGGATATTATTTCCCTCCCCCTAACCTTTCCCACAAAGGCTACAGGGTAACATTGATGGCTTATCAGGTATTATATGCGATCAGCAGACAATCAAAGGATATACCGATGAGTCATTCCGCCCATGTAGGGATCTTGCTTATTCCTTCATTTCCCACACCGCAGCCGGTGACGTTTTTCAGTCAGGTTCAACCAATTATGTGACTAAAACAGATCGATCCTATCGGAATTTACTTCCATTCCCAGTAGTTGCAATATTGAGCAATTTCTAACCTTGACATGCCACGAAGAGAATGCCGTCTCTACTTCATTTCTCTTCTACGTTCGTGGCTTCCTTGCATCCTTAAGGGATATTCTCCGAATCAACGTTTCCAAAGTCTCGGTTCATTTGAATTTACTCATTGAACGCGATTTTATATCCGTTCCCACTGAATTAATAGTAAGCCTAAACCTTGAGTCTCCACAGGAAATAGATGCCCACTTTAGATTATTGCTACCTCATAATAGCAAGTACCTCCATCACTGATCAAGCAGGGCGTTAATCGCGGTCTAGATTCAGTCGCACAGGGTTGGACTGCCTTTGCATGCAAGGCGGGGTCAATCAATTGACCAATCGCAAGATGAGTAGGGCTAGTTCCTTTATCTACGTGTCACAAAAGAGCCCACCCTTTCACTTCCCATGGGACTTTTCAGTCCGCACAACTGTCAGTCAAAATCCATTATCTCAAATCTCGTCGAAAGGTGGCGTGGACCAGGATTTCAACCAAATGAATGTGGAGTCATTACGGCTAGATCTTGACGATCATTGGTTTTCACGCTTCCTCAAAGACAGAGCCAAGGATTCGATCTAGGTTCTGGCCCCCTAAGGTTTCTGTACAATGCGCGTATTTGCAATACATTATGCTGGTATATCCTTTGTTGCTTACATGTTCTGGAAATGCGGCGGTCGTCGTGCCAATGTGATTCAGTTAAAAAGAAAAGCCATTATACTAGTCAAGTCTTGTTATTAAAAGGTTTCATGGCCTTGGGACTGATCTTGAATATAAGACGCTCATTTTTCTAACGCGACGTTTTCAGGTTTTATTCTACACTTTCAACATTAACCAAGTTCCAGTATATATTGTTACTCACTACATATTCCAATTTGTGCGGGAAACTGTGCCGCAAGGATTGATAATATTTGTCCTAACCTACCAAGCGATATATTGATCTACTTCTAGCGCGACTACGCTAATGCGGAGTGCTTTTCAGAACCAATTGTAACTCCCTACCAACACGTAATCATGTCCGAGAACAACAAAATATTCTCAGCTCTGGCCGAAATATCTCAAGCAATTATCGAAGATGATCCAATATTGGTAGGTTAACTGCAAAAATTTACTTTATCCAATACTGACTTTTTGAAGCATACCGTGAGCCCGGATAGTTTACGACTTCCTGGGCAGAAAGGGGAAGTCAAGACAAACCTTGAAAGAAATCTTGTATCACTTATTTTATACGTTCAGCATCTCAGACGACTTCTAACTAGCTCTATGGCACCCCTACCCACGCCTGAAGATGAAACTAATTCAACACTTGATTTCTCATGTCACAGCACCGAACTCCAGCTCGATGGCATAGTTTCTCCTACTCAGCTCTGCGAGGGGTCAGGTAGTCTGTTCAAGCGTGATACATGCCCTGGCTGGCTGCTTTGTGAGCCAGCTGAAGACCACCGATCAAGTAAATGCATCACGGATGACTACGCCAGTGATACTGGAGTTGAAGTGCCGAGAGACCGCTCTCAGACCCAGATCAGAGGGAAAGCAATGCTTAGAGAAAGGGGTCCACATTCGTTGACCGGTTTATGCAGAAACAGGAGGAACGCGACACCAGGAGACTCGCCTACAAAAATTGTCGAGAAATTGAGGCAGGAACTGCAAAAACGGCAACGTGTGAATGAAGCGTTTCAGAAGGCGCTGCGTGAAATTGGGGAGATTATAACACAGGTTGCCAATGGGGACTTGTCGATGAAGGTACACGTTCGTGCAATGGAGATGGACCCGGATATAACCACTTTCAAAATGACTATCAATACAATGATGGATCAGCTGCGGGTTTTCGCGAGCGAGGTCTCACGAGTAGCACGGGAAGTGGGCACTGAAGGGGTCCTAGGCGGTCAGGCTCAGATTATTGGGGTACATGGAGTCTGGAAGGAGCTCACTGACAATGTGAACGTCATGGCATCAAACATCACAGATCAAGTCCGCGAAATCGCTGCAGTCACAACTGCAGTAGCTTATGGTGACCTCAGTCAGAAGATCGAGAGACCTGCTAAAGGCGAGATCTTGCAACTCCAGCAAACGATCAATACTATGGTGGACCAGCTTCGTACCTTCGCTACCGAAGTGATTCGGGTCGCACGCGATGTAGGTATCGAAGGGGTTCTCGGTGGCCAAGCCAAAATCTATGGGATTCAAGGGATGTGGAATGAACTGACGGTCAACGTTAACGCTATGGCAAACAACCTCACCACACAAGTACGCGACATTGCTACTGTGACCACTGCAGTTGCAAACGGCGATCTAACACAGAAGGTGCAGGCGAATTGTAAGGGTGAGATCCTAGCCCTGAAAGAAATCATCAATGCTATGGTTGATCAATTACGTCAATTTGCCCAGGAGGTTACCAAGATCGCGAGGGAGGTTGGCACTGACGGTGTTCTCGGCGGCCAAGCTACCGTGCATGATGTGGAGGGTGTTTGGAAAGATTTGACAGAAAGTGTGAATGGAATGGCAATGAACCTGACCACGCAGGTTCGGGAGATTGCCGATGTTACTACCGCAGTGTCTGTTGGCGATCTCACAAAGAAAGTGACCGCCAACGTCAAGGGAGAAATCGCAGACTTGAAAGATACGATCAACAGCATGGTTGATCGCCTGGGACGATTTGCCTTTGAGGTCAGCAAGGTAGCACGCGAAGTGGGAGTGGATGGAACACTAGGCGGTCAGGCAGTGGTTGTGAACGTTGAGGGAAGCTGGAAGGACTTGACAGACAATGTGAACACGATGGCCCATAACCTGACGCTTCAGGTTCGCTCGATCTCAGATGTCACCCAAGCCATTGCTCGAGGTGACCTGAGTAAAAAGATCGATGTTCATGCACGAGGGGAGATTCTCACTCTCAAAAAGACCATCAATGACATGGTTCAGCAGCTCGACTTGTTTGCTCGACAGCTTAAACGGGTCGCCCGCGATGTTGGGGTAAAGGGTAAGATGGGTGGGCAAGCCAACGTAGACGGAATGTCGGAGCGCTGGAGAGAGATCAGTGAAGATGTGAATGTGATGGCTGATAACCTGACATCTCAGCTCCGAGCCTTTGGGGAAATCACCAATGCCGCGACCGACGGAGACTTTAGCAAACTAATCACCGTTAGCGCCTCAGGGGAGATGGATGAGCTCAAGCAAAAGATTAATAAGATGGTTTCCAACCTACGTGACAGCATCCAGCGAAATACTGCTGCCAAAGAAGCCGCAGAGCTAGCAAACCGGAGCAAATCGGAGTTCCTTGCTAATATGAGCCACGAAATCCGAACGCCAATGAATGGTATTATCGGGATGACACAACTGGTTCTTGACAGTAGTGGGCTAGAATCCAGCTCAAGAGAGATGCTCAACGTCGTTCACAATCTTGGAAATAGCTTGCTCACAATTATTGACGATGTCCTTGATATTTCTAAGATTGAGGCAAACCATCTAGTCATTGAAAACATCCCTTTCAGTCTTGGACGGACCATCTTCAACGCCTTGAAAACTCTTGCAGTCGAAGCAAACGAGAAAGCCCTGGCTCTGATGTATAATGTTGATAATTCAGTGCCCGACCATGTGATCGGAGATTCTTTTCGTCTTCATCAAGTGATTCTTAATCTTGTTAAGAATGCCATCAAATTCACAGAAAATGGAGGAATTCATCTGATTGTCCGCACTAACGACACCTATACCTGGCAAGACAATGAGCATTTACTTGAATTCTTGGTTTCCGACACCGGGATTGGCATTGACAGCAACAAGTTAGATTTGATCTTCGATAAATTTCAACAAGCCGATGGATCCACAACGAGAAAGTTTGGTGGGACTGGTCTTGGCCTGTCCATATCCAAGAAGCTCGCCAATTTAATGGGTGGAGACATATGGGTAACCTCGTCTATGGGTGTTGGTAGTACCTTCCACTTCACCTGTCGGGTCAGGTTGGCGCTCGAATCGGCTGGCGCTGTACTGAAGCAACTCGCGCCGTACAAGGATCATCAAGTCCTGATGGTTAGCTCGCTCAAAACTGCATGTTCAGAACCAATCGGCCAAATGTTAAAATCCTTGGATCTCAAACCGGTCGTTTTAGGAGAAGGGAATTGGAACATGCAGCCAGATGCTCCTATCCGGAGCCAATGGCCTAACCGTTATGACGTGATTCTGTTCGATTCGATGGAATCCATAATGCGCCTGAGAAAATTGGATCATTTCCGGTCTATTCCAGCCGTTTTGATAGGGAAAAGGTTATCCGTTGGCATGAAAGCAGCTTTAGACCTGAGCGTCACTTCATACGTGACTACACCATGTCAGGTGATCGATCTGGCCAACGGTATTCTCCCTGCTCTTGAGAGTCGACCTGCTCGGATTCATACCCGACAAACAAATTCCCTGTCAATCTTACTGGCCGAAGACAATGAGGTTAACCAGAAAGTAGCATTGAAGTTTCTTGAGAAACATGAACATGTAGTCACAATTGTCGAAAACGGCCAAGAGGCTCTCCAGATGGTCCAGAAAGCACGATTTGATGTGATCTTAATGGACATTCAAATGCCTGTTATGGGTGGATTTGAGTCAACAACTCTAATCCGCCAACATGAGATTCTACACGGTCTATCACGCACTCCTATTATCGCTCTTACCGCTCACGCGATGTTTGGGGATCGAGAAAAGTGCCTAGCAGCTGGGATGGATGACTATTTGTCGAAGCCGCTAAACCAAAACCAGATGATGCAGATGATTGTCAAATACAGCAATTCACTGCAGGATGCTTCTTCTGTCCGGGGATGATCTACAAAGATCAAGTCTCTCGACAGTATGATTGCAGTAAAGCATATTGATTTCTTTCTAGTTAATATTTGTTGATTTGGGATGAATTCGTTCCAGGAAATCAGAAAGAAAAGGCTTTCTGAAAACGGGATTAGGGTTTTCAGAGCTCAGTTTCAGGTTTGCTATTTTCCGAGCATATGAGTCGCACAATGGCATCCTCTGTGTGATAGTTCTTTAGTGTTATTTACATTTTGTTGCTTCCAAATTCTGTGAAATCCCACTCTCACTATACATAACAAGCAAAGGTAGTGGCATGGCTACTGATTAGAACCAATGATCCCCCGAATACCGGCAGAGGAGTGTAAAGCTTGAATATTGTCACTTGTCTGCTTGTTTACTGTAATGTAACTCTTACTACGACTAAGGTCATGTTGAAAAATCAGCCTAATCAATAGGCAGTTGAATTGGAAAAGTGTCCTGGAGGACAGCCCTTCGTCATCGTATGTACTGAAGTAAACAGTGGAAACGAACGCAGAAAGCCAACAGTCTTAAGAATTCTAAGTGCCCCTACTAGCCCTCCAGTTTATCGGCTGCACATTTTCCGTAGAGAGCTCGACGAATCCGGTTTTCTTCTGTGGGCATTACTATCCCGTCTGGACAAGGAAGAATAATCGCATTGACTCTCGAATATTTCACGTCAAATTGCTCTGCTGGAAGTCAGACAACAAATCGTACTTGTGGATAACAATGGAAAACGCACCTTCAAACCTCCTTTCCTGTATAAATCTAATATAAAGAAGTTGCTCAATAATATCCGGCTCTATGCCAGGTCTTTTAACAGTTACCAGAAAATTTTGAGCTCTGACTGTTGGATAAAGATCACATAAAAGATATACTATAAACCCGCGAAGGCCTATATTCGTTGATTTAGCAAAGGTATCACGTAAGCATGAAGGGGTATATACTTTGTATATTTAAATACTGTTGACTGCGAAAGGGAATATCGCGAGGCCACCACCGTGGTTGGCAGCCAGACTGATACCGAAACAATTTTTTCATATCTGGATCTACACAGGACACAAAGCCAGATGCAATAGCCCTTAAGCTATTGAGAGGTATCTTGCTTAGTAATCCAATGTAGTAAGAATATGAAGGTGGGTAGTAGCATTCTGTATAACCAAGGACCTTCTTCGCGTCAAACACCTCATTGGAATCCTTGGGGTGAGATAGTGGAGTCTGAACAAGAAATTCCGAGTCTGTCGAACAAATTTAGCAAAAGCTGAGCCTGCAGTTATATCTGTGACATACCGATTCGTTTTTCTTTGAAATGCTTGATAGATCTTAAGACAGCGAGAATACCCTCAATGTTACGTTCATCATTGCCGGTCAATTCTCCCCTTGGCAGATACTGACGATCGGTGACATTTTCATCTCCCATAAGCTCTTGCGCAAAACACCAAACCAAGTACTGGCGTGATTCAGAATCATTTATGCTCAAATATATTTCAGGAAACAAAGCATATAATAGCAAAGCGCAAGCCTTTTTGGAAAGTCTTTGAACACTGTCTCCGAGAAAGAGTTTTAGGCAACAGTTTGCCCTCACCGGTGTAACTGGTAGAGTGGTTAGATCCGCTCTAGGGGCTTGTGTGGCTGACTTACCATTATACGGACAATGGGAACAAATAGGCGTGGCCATCCCAAAGCCAGAGTAAAATGCAGCGTTATGGCTACCACTAACGTGCCAATACTTGATATGTAGTCACTTTCCACGGCAACTACAGGTAAGAGGTGGCCACTGACAGACTTAAAGTATGCTGCACGCCTGGAGATTTACTTGCATGGCTTTATAGCTTTCTTCTAAAGTATTCGCACCGTGTATCTATATACGATGCATCATATCATGCATAGCAACCCAAAATCATGCTTTTCTGCGCGTCGCGGAGATAGAATCCGATAACTTTTAATGGTATTTTTCGAGTTGCGCTTCCGGCGGTTCATAAATTGCGTATGTTGTCGTGAGGGACATGAATGGCTTTCCGTCGTGTAACATATTGACCAGACAACCCCCTGTTCTCTCATGATGGCGCAAGATAAATGACATAACTCCGCGGAAACCTTGAAACCTGGTTTTCAAGGAACATTTAATATACACATAAACGCATTTCAATGGCTAGCTCGTTTTCAGCCACTTCTGTAAGTGGCTTGTACTTTCTCATCATCCCATCCAAGCCCGCTTCTGGCTGCTCGACACCGAGGGTCAACTCGAGGAGGGAGGAGAAGAACATACGCGAGCCACCGTGTACCACTTGATAGGTCGATCTGCAGTGATTCCGTGACAACTCACGCTCAGCTGTCGTTCCTTGTACGACATACGGACTGCGTAGTAGCTTTCTGCCTACCTGTACACAGACTGAAATAAATTGTTAGAAGGAGTGGTTTCGTAATTGATTATCCGTCAGTCTTGATACACAAAATTCGACGGACCCTAGTCGCTAATTTTGATTATGATTCTGCATGTATATGAGAAAATCTACACCATTGCAATGCTGAAGTCCTATTAGGAATATTTTGACAGGGAGACAGATACAGTAAGCCAGTTTGAGGCAGATAGTGAGTCACCACAGCTGGTTGAATTGGCTTGAACCAAAAGATGCAAAACCAAACATATGGGGCTCAGTCATCCGACTCTTTCTTAAAGGTAGAAAACGATAAAAGTGGGAGGCTAGTAAGCCGAACGGTGTACTGACAGCCAATGGCGATAGTATTATTGTCGATCTTATGACAAATAGACCAATATTATATCTTTATGTCCAAAGAGAATACCATTCAAATCTTTCAGTATTTGAAGCTTTTTTTCGGAATGAAGATGCGAACTGCCTACTATGACTAGCCCAAGCCAGAAAGGACTTGTAAATCTGGTCTTGGCTCAAGACTATCATCAATTTTATCAAGTGGTAAAGGTAATTTGAAAAGAGGTTAGAGCCGCAGCGTCGAAATCTTTGCAACTATGAAATTGCAAACTTTGTTGCAATGACCCGTTAAGCGAACCTGTTAAGCAGGGGGAAGAGCTTCCTTCCCTTCTTCCCACTTTCCGTCCCATTTCCATTCGGTCAATGCAGTAACATATTTTCCACGCTGGAAATAGACCCGAATGTTCCGGTCTTGGTGGCGTCCACGACATACCGCCGCTACCTGGCTTCCTGGCACGCATGGCTGGTCAAAGTCCCCCTTGCCCCAATTCTCAGAACTGTAGGACATCTCTTTCATGCGATTACCTTGGTCAACGTAATAAAGCCGGATTTCACCATCACCGAACGATGTAACAGCCAGATCGGTCCGGGGGAGAGCTTCTTTGATTGACAACTTCCCTTCTTTCCATCCTTTTTCATCTGAGAAACTCTTTTCCACGATATCCATGTGCTCATTCTGACAATAGAATCTGTGTGAACTCAGCAGCTGTTCGGACATTTCTCCCTTCGCAGATACTTACCGTATTGCAAGACTTGAAGTATGGAACGAGACACATGCCATTCCGGTCCCTGGTAAGGCTCGGCCGATGTTGGTCATCTTTGACCAAGTGTTTTGTTTGTCTAGAGAAGAAGTGTCAACATTTGAGATTTATGCACCGAGAAAAGTCATTGTAGTCTCACCATTGCAGCCATACTCTTGAATGGTATTATCCATCGTTTGAACATACACTCGCATGTGATGTTCGGCTTCTCGAGCAAGAAAGCAGGCAGACAGCATTGAGTAAGGCGCAACCTTAATGGCAAGCTTACTAAGCTGCCCATCGTGCCATCTCCCATTTGAATCCCTGCAAACCTCCTTGACCATGTTCCCCTCGGCAATAAAAAAGACATGGATCATCTGCGGTTGATGAGAGATAGTTCAAGAAGTATAGATAGAGCTGTCTTTACCTCATCAATGTCACGGGAAATAGCTGCTATAGGAGTCCCTAAGACCCCATGGGCGATGGTCTCTTTCTCAGAGCCGCCAGACCATCTGCCATCCTCATAAGCAATTTCTCTGATACCACCGAACGTATCTTGAGTGTAGATACGACTCTTCTCGGCCGTTCTTAATGCGGCAATTGCGCATCCTGTTGAACTTAGTCAGCTAGAACATACGAGAAGGAATATTTTCCATCACTAACGGAAGCGTATCTGCTGAGCTTGGGCAAGACTCATGACGGACTGATCAATCTCTTCGCTTGTGTATTGTTTGGAAGGGTGGATGAGAGATTCTGGAGAAGAGCTGGCAAAGATTGTAGAAAACCAGGACTTAAATAGTACGCTTCCGAGAGCACTGAGACGAGTTGAGTGCTATTTCTCCTCTCGACAATCAGACAGGTTTGTAAGAATGTTGTGCTCGCATTCGGTAAAACAGGAGCTTTAGTGATTTGATACCAACTCTTTATGCTGCATTAAAATTTGGCGATGTTGTACACATGCCCGTGGCTACCTTGCGTATATCGGTGGCCGACTGATCTGTCGCTCACCGAGCATTCTGTGGAACCTACCTCGGAGTAAATCAAGAAAGTCTATTTGGATAAAACGCTAATGGATAATTGATGTGTCCAGATCCAAACTTCAGCACAGTTCGGCTACGTTATGAAAATGACTATCGCATCCTTTCGGATTTGCTACCCTTTCAGGCAATCATCGCCCATATCGGTGGCCGACTGATCCGTCGTTCACTCAGTATTCTATAGAATCCACTTTAAGGAAGAATTTATGGAGAAAGGGATGATTCAAAATCGAGTCCCATTTGTCAAGGCTCTAGTGACAATCTAGTATGACACGACAATGAAAATATTGTTGTAGAATATAGATCATCGCGTCATCATGTCTCCAAGATCATACTATTTTACGTGAACTAGTCGTCGCAACACCTGCACTTGTATGGTTGGACCTTTATTCCGTTTATTATGCTGTAGCCCCCACCCTAGATTTCTACAGTAGTAATATGTAATGGCTGTAGTGTAGCCATACTTATATCAACAAAGAGCTCGGGTAAACTACTGAAGCAAGCAGAACGCCATATTAAATAGCAATGATTAACATTAGCAGATTAAGAAATTCGTACGTTTATGATTGTTAGTATATACCCCGCATCCACTGCCGGAACAAATGTCAAGAAGTCGGCCGCCGATGTTCAGGCACCAATCGGAGAGAACGGATCAAAACACCGAAACTAGTCTGGCTGGTTAAAACAGCAACGAAGCTTATGTTGTAGTCTTGTTATTGATTTGGGGTCATTCAAGTTCAGAAACCAAGCGTCTTTTCTGTTGGCGTTTGCCCTCGCACCTCCTCCGCGCAGACCGCAGTGTTACATGGACTTGTAAGGGATTCTGGAATTTCAATCCTGTCGATCATCCAGTCGAGTCCATAGTGGCCTCACTGTCTCTGACTTTGTGTTATTCCGATGTCAGTTGCCTGATACTCACTCCTGGCCTTGCAACTGCCTATTCTGCATGTCAATCGACCCACAGTGAATAGCCCTCGCTGCAGAGCTCCAGAGCTCCAGACAATGATACTCACCGATCCGTATCTCATTGAACCATCTAATCTGCCCACGCTTCGAAGTTATCAAGGCCTGGACGCCGGAGGGTTCCGTAATGGCGATCATTGAGGTGACCTGGGCTGGGTGATTGCATGAGTCCCGTCGAATGGAGAAGGATTGAAACGTAGGGCGTGCGAAGTTACACCTGGTAGACAGCACCACAATTAGCATCTGCGGAAGGGTCGCAATGGTGGGAGTGTAGAGGCCAGACCGGGAGCCAGGGAAACGTCAAGATTGGAAGATTAATGCTAGCCGCCGACTTGAAGCTCTTCTGTCTGTATCACTCTCCTGACCGGCTTGACGAGACCGGCCCTGGCACAAAGGTAACGCGCCGGTCGGGCGGGCGGGTGTCTAGTCCGGAGATGATGAGGGGACGACAGGTACCGGACGTGCCTACCTGGATCTTAGATGCTTCCGCCGTTTGCTTCCCACCCGCTCCTCTCCTATCACTTCTTCTCCCCACGACCATGACTTACGTCAACGAAGGCAGTGTGATGGCCGTTGGCATCCTATTCGCCATCTTGGGAACTTCGGCTGTAGTGGCGCGATTCATCATCCGGTTCAAGACAAGCTCTCTGGCCTGGGATGACTGGTTTTGCCTTCTTGCCTGGGTGGGTCGATGATTGGCATCGCCGCACAGTATCACCAAGTGCTGATGGAGTGTGATCACCAAGGTGCTCGTGATGGGAGAATGTGCTATCATGGTCGCAGGTAGTTATTAGCACACCTCGTCCTGCTTAGGCTCTCCGCCCGATCGCATGTACCTGTTAACATTTGATATTCTGTTTGACGCGCAGGCTCCGCAACGCACACGCTCGGTGCTCACTCCACGCCAGGCTTGGGGCCGGCTATGTTGAATTATGAAGGATGGGATCAAATGCTCCTGCAAAGAGTCCGTACAATACGTAACCCCCCCACTCTTCCTCAGCGTCTCATCCATCACCCACTAACTAACGACCCTTTGAATGCAGTTCGAGTTTGCCTTCAATGTGATCATGATCCTCGCCCTTACCAGCCTCAAGCTATCGGTGCTCTGCTTCTACCGACGTCTTTTCGTTGGCCGTTTCTTCAACAATTTTAGTAAACTTCTCATCTTAATCGCATGCCTCTGGGGGGTCGTGTTCCTCGTTGTCTTCCTCGGACATTGTGGCACACGCCTCAAGTCTCGATTTGAGTCCCTGGGTTCTCTAAAATCCCATTGTCTGGACACGTTTGCGCTCTTCATTGCACTCGCGGTATCGGATGTTGCAGTTGATGTGGCTATTCTGGCAGTTCCCATCCCGATGGTGAGAGCGTCTTGTCCTCTATCCCACATAGGGTGCCACCACTGACCTGTTCACGGATTCTGCAATTGCACCCGCCTCTCCGGAAACGAATCGGTATACTGGCCGTGTTCTTAATCGGCACGATGTAAGCGTCCCCTTTGTGCTGGCCTCCCCTGCAGAATTCTAGGGCTCATGCCCCCTTACAGAGCGACAGCATGCGGTATTGCGCGAATGATCTTGTTCTCCGAGATTCTGGGCCCCAAGTGTAAAAGAAGCCCCCCAACCAGGCCATGTACACTCTGTCACGAGCTAAAGCATTCCCTGCAGTGTTGTCAAAGCCAACAGTCGCTGGTCTTCCGTCCGATGACGATATGGGTAAGTTTTTCTATGGAAATCTGCTATCAAGCAAGTTCCGTTTTGACGAAGAATCCCAGGTGTCGTGAGCGTTCTTGTATTCTTTGGCATGCTCGAAATGGGTGTCGCCTTGGTCGCTATCTGTCTGCCGATCATGTACCGTCTCCTGCGAAAGTTCTCGCCCTGGAGCATACTCCAGAGTTCCAAGTCGGTCGTGAAGCTGAGTAGTCGATGGACATCCCGCGGCGAGCGCGGCACAGGTCATGATATTACCGCGCCCAGCTGATCGGCCATGACAGGTTTCAATCGCAGGCCAGCATCTAGCCAGGGGGAGACTTGGAACGGCAACGGCGGGCATGAGACCCATGTTGAGTTTGTGATCGTCCAGAAAGGCTGTGGTGAGGAATAAGGAGATATGGGAACACACAAAAGATCGAGCAGATGTCGGATATGATCTGTGCAGTGATTTCGGGCGCCAGGGGTAAGGCTGCCAAAGTGGAGGGGAACAATCGAATTACTTAAGATAATAATCTATCTATATTGTGGAAGGCTGCCGGGAGAGGAGGTTTTACCGCGGTAGCCAAAACAACAATAAGGTATAAATGGTTGTGAAGATTTGAGTTGACTTTTTATAACAACGGCTGTGGAAGTTGGAGTAGATGCGTAGGAACTCACTAGATAAAGCGGAGGACGAACTGAAAAGCTTTCATCTCCACTAGCAAAGCTCAATCGTTCAATATAGAGAGACCATTAATTTCTCCTCCTCTATCAAGACAGGACAGAAACTAGACGGAATCCACGTTCTGGCGAACCTCTTTCTGCACCACGATACCTCCCTTCTCCTCTTCGCCTCCATCTTTGCCCTCAGGATGACGATGAGAAAAAGACCGCATCTCCACGTCGTGATTCACATCTCCAGACCTCGATCTCTCCTCCTCCGCCTCGTCCTCCCCCAGCCACGCAGAATGATCCCGCTCACCAAGACCTGATCCCTCCGTCAACAAGATACTATCATCCTCCCGAACCTCTCGCAACCGTTCGATGCCGAGTTTCCAGCGCACATTGGACCTCGAACCCGACGACCCCGAATTGTACGGTTCAGTCGCGCGGTTTCGTCTTCGGTGCTGCAACAGAGGACCGAAGGTGGGCATGCAAGCGGCTAGAATGCCGGCCGAGAGTTCGATGTAAGACCAAAGGGTCGAGCGAACGGAGTTATCTAGCAACCCGGAGAGAAGAGGCTTAGTATATAGGGAGATATCATGGGTGGGAATGGGGTAAGGAGCGGTACAGCTGATATCCACGGGTTTCATAGTAGCGATTGCGACTGAGCGGATGATGCCGAAGATGCAGACGCTGGGTTTTCCGTATTTAGTAGATAGGACCGACCAGAGCACGGGGCACAAGTAAGGAGGAGAGAGAGAGAGAGAGAGAGCTTACATTCCGCCTAGAAGGAAGATCGTCAATACCTGCATTTTACGGGTTCTTCGCATACGAAGTCCTAAGACGGGCTGGATGGGGAGGGCCAAGATGGCGAAGTCGGTGATTACATTGAAGACTCTGCACGCACGGTGGATTTCAGATCATGATCGAGTATTGCGTCAGTAAGAGGGGTGGTACTCACGCGAACGGCGGAGGGTTGTCGACGCATTTTTTGGAGTTGCCTGTCCAGAATACCGATAGAGGGATGCATTTGAAGGATGCGACGAAGATGACAGACAGGTTGTATGCGATAACCACGGCACCTAACAAATAGGAGACTATCAAGAGCCATTTGATTGGGAAAGCGCGACGGTAAAGAAACAAGATAGAGAGTTTGGTGAGCATGACGGTGATTGAGTACACGATGATGGCAGCGACGAAGAGCTGCAAAGACGAGTTAGCTTGAATGCTTATGAATCTGCCAGTATAGGTACCTGCGAGAAGAGTGTCTGGTTCTTAAGAAAGAGAATGTGTTGGCCTTGGCCATTCGCGACGTTCATGAACATTAACACGGCGTATGAGAACTGTCCTATCTGAATACCACGATTGATTAGCAGCTGCATTGGCATTATACTGTTGAGTATGCCTACCAAAGCAACGAAGATCAGATAGTCATCCCAGCCAAATCTAGTCTTGGAGCAGAATCGGGCCACAGTTCGAGTGGTCACTGCCGTGAGGGCCAGGACGATGCCCACAACGCCTGCGGCGAGCTGGTTGGGTCGGAGGTCATCGTCAGCGTGTGCCTGATAGTAGGCAATTTCTTCGGGCGTCAGACTGTCGATGACCTTCGTTGAAGACATCGGGAGCCTGTAGACAGACACATGTGTTGTTGGTTGTGACACGATGAGCACCGAGAAATGAGGATGACTTCAAGAGGTGCAGGAAAGAAATAAGAAATCAGAGATTTGAAAAATAGAATTTTTAGCGGTTTATCAAAGTCAGTTCATCAGATGAACGACTGACCAGTACCTTTGCTAGCGTGAGCTAAAGGAGGATTCAGCATGTTCCATTGGTGGCTTCTATTATGTTCACACACTGACCTCCTCCCAGTTTCTTTGTTCCCTTACCATACTATTCTTGCTTAGTCGCTCCCCTGCTCCGGCCTACCCGGCCTCGACACGGACTCTATGGCGCAGTCTAATTACAATGGCGCGACGCCCAGATCCTACAAATGATTCGGGCGCCTGTCAGACAAGGTGATGTATCAAGTCGCAATTCACATTGGAAACCAAGGAACTTGGGGTATTAATAGAGATATCGTGAAGCAGATCCGTAGGATGGATGAAGCAGAGCTTGAACAAAAGGTCAGTCCTAACTGACTATTTTTCCTCCAAGATACCAAGTATCTATCGTCAGTCAATCTCTTACAATAACCAGCTGCACCTCTGGCGATACAAAACCAATCGCTAGCGTCAAAAGGCATCTGTCCCGATACAAGTAGGTCAATTGGTGCTCGAGGCCTGCAACTGCGGGATAGTAAACCGGGTAACATCTCTCGAGATCTGCAAGATGCTATCTAGTTGTTGCTTGGACATTCTACCTATTCCGCACTCCGTTGCCACGCTGAACCTCCTGCCAGTGATCTGTTGCGCTGCCCTAATTCGACGTCGAGTGCCCTCCTTGTCGTCGGGATGCACTAGCCCCAAGACCAGCCGAGTCTCCTGATCTACCGTCAACCTTTCCAACGGCGCAAAGTATGCCATGTCCTCCCGTTCCCTAGGCACGGGCATATGCAGCCAGTCTATCGCACGCGGACGAATCGTATCGGCAATATCGTTGGCAAAACCCACCAATACGCCCAGATCTTCGGGTACGAGGAAATGCTTGCCCCCCTGGCTGCCGTAGCAGAGATGGATTCCAAGCTGTACCTCGGGAGGAATATTTGCGCAGAGACACCGAATGCGATCCAGCAGGCCCTGTCTGACGGGTGCAAATTGGGGCCTGAATAAGTAGTCTGCGGGAAGTCGGCCTCGCTCGTGTTCCAGGGCACCTACTTCGAAGGGCAAATCCCACTGGATAGCCAGGTCGGAGGCAGGAATACCAGCGATGATGGTGTCCAGGGAGTCGAGTAAACGACGCTCGTAGAACGGTTCAAGCTTCTCGTGGAGTTCGGGCCGCACGTGGCCCTGGATGCAGGCGAACGGCGAGGGCAGCGAGACTTGGAAGCGAACTCCCGCGGGTATGAGAGACAGGTTGCGCAATTGTACGAATTTCTGGTAGGATTGGAGCGCTGCGCCGTCGTATTGGGAGGGGGCCACGGAGTCCTGAGTGAAGCCGGGGTGGTCTTCGGGCATGTCGGTGGTATCTGGTAACCATGGGCGCCGGGCCTCTTTGAGAAAGCAGGGGAGCTCCCAATAAATGTAGTTTCGCCGGGCGCCTGTCTCGCCATCTGGAATCGAGTAGAGACGGTCTGGTAGGGCGGCGGGGATTTGGCGGAACACCTGCTCGGTGTCGGCGAGAGGGAGGCTTCCCACGAGGTGGACTCCAACGGGGGCAGCCATCGTATCGTGAATGCACTTGGTCTCTAGACGAGTCTTTCTGGAGGGAAGGTATTTGATGATGTTGAATATGGTAGGGAGGCGGATAAACAGAGCTGGATGTCTGCCTAGTGGGACTGTAACAAAGAACGGGCTCGGCTGAGGCTGGGTTTAGGCTGTGCGACCAACACCAGCGCACGAGTGAGTTGTTGGTCTTAGTTGTGAGCCACCAAGCTCAATCTGGGCCAATACTCGCGGGGCTTTCGAGGGAGCTAGTAACTAGGCTTCAGCCATACTTTTAGGTACTTCGACCCCGAGATATATGTGAGAGAGGTATCGGAGAGTCAAAACTTGGCAGATTCTTGCCCTTCAATTGGCTTTCAGTCAGCTATACAGGCCAGCGGTACTGAATGTGTGTTCGTTGTATCCAGCGAGGTCTCTATCCATCAGAATGTGAGATGAGACAGAAACGGTACGTCTCTGATTCCTCGAAGGAAGGTGAAGCAGAACAGTCGAGGTTGGGTAATAGTGCATTATCTGAAGTCACACTTGGTGACTGGATTTGATGGTGACTCATGGCACGAACCGGTCTTCCTTGTCAGTCCAGCGTCATACCGAGGTGCAAGTTCATATTCACTTCCCCAGAGAAGCAGGATGAACGGTGGGCCATGGGACCCCGCCAAACCCTATCAGTCCGGGGAGTATGGAGCACGTGCCTCCCTGGTTCATCTATGGAAAAGGTAAAATTGTCCGCCATATTTATCCCCCAGTGCATGGAGGTATGCTTCAGTTCTAGCAGACCTGACTGACCAGTGAAATTGCATTCAAGGATCCGAGCCAGAGCATCTCGAGTTTCTGATACTATGAATAATTGATTTGAGAAAAGACTGATCAGTCAATCTACATAGTACTTACCTTTCAGCAGGGAGGTCATAATACAAGGCCGAGTAGACGACCCTAGTTCGAACTGCATGTTGTAGATGAGTCTAGGGATGCTTGAACAAATACTAAGGTTCATCTAAACCTGGTGAAGGGTCCATCTCCTGTTTGTAATGGCATGGTTAGTGCTTAGTGCTTTCTTTGGCCCTGAAAAATTGTGTATTCTGTCGACAGACGGGGGGTAGAAGCAGATATTCTTCAAAGAGCCGTCGGGTTGCCAGACTGTCAAGATGCGATTGGTGCCACAAAACTCGATAAATTTAAGACTTCTTTGGAATGATTTGTCTCAGAGCTTTTTTCAGCATGACTCGACGCTAGAGTACAGGCGACGGGGAGTTTGCGTCAGGTGTATATTTAGATAAGGCCGCGGCGATATTCATGAAAAGCTTTCGTAACCTGGTCTGTATGTGTAGACCAAATCATACAGAGAATATAGAATAGAATGCTCAGTCCAGAAACAAATACTGCCAGTGTATAATCTGTATTGTAAATAAGATATAGGTAGACTTCATAGGTGCTCTACGCTCTTAGAAACAAACAAAGCAAACAGAACAAACAAAACAAACAAAACAAACGATGCTCGGAATTATTTGGACAATCCACTCTTCCCCACCACCAACCCAGCCAAATGCTTCAACGACGGACTCTGCAGGATGTCGAAAATAGACAGCTTGGCCTTCCCAGCCGAAGCGAGCCAATTTCGCAGGTCAACCGCCACCAGAGAGTCCACGCCATGTCCTGCAATTGTCAGCCCGAGATCGATGGTCTCAACCAGCACGCTGAAAATGGCGGCCAGTCGCGCAGCAAGGGCGTCAACTACCGCATTCTCCTTCGCTCCAGCATCGTTTTCGTCCTTGCTGCGACTGAGAGCTTGAATCAGAAGCGTTGTTGGGTCCGAAATACTACCTGCGGAGGAAGGATCGTCAGACGCTGATGCGGAGGTCGATCCCATCAGACGGAGGGTGCCGAAACGTTTATCCCGGCGGACGGTCGCGTCCGGGGAAAGAAGACTCCACGGCTGCAGGCCGGCGATGAGCTGGACGACCTCGCCGTCAGAAGCTGAAGTTTCGTGGTTGAGATGTGCCTGGGATTGCCTCCATTGACGGTCTACGTCGCGCAGGATGGCCGTTTCGATCAGATCAAGGGCCTTGTCGATGGGCATCGACTCGGTTCCAAGGGCCTCGACTCGTCGATGGGCCTCTGCATTATCGCCTACCATGCCGGCGCCTGTGATGGCGGGCAAATCTAGACTAATACCTGCGAGACCCTGTGCCGCGCGTTCACGGACCAAGGCGTCTTCGAATGTATTCGCGGCTGCGTAGTTGGCCTGCGAGGGATGGCCGACAACACCCGTGATAGAGGAAAGGAGCACGAAGAAAGACAGATCGGATGGCAGATGACGATGCAAGTTCCGGGCACCGGCGACCTTGGGCTTCAGTGCGGATTGCCACTGTGCAAAGGTCATTTGTTCAAAGATGGTGTCCTCGAGTACAGCCGCGGCATGAACAGCCCCTCGGATTGGGGGTGAGGAGGCCGAGATGCGGTTGACGAGACTAATGACACTTTGCTCGTCCGATACGTCGCAGTTGACGAACTTCAGATGACAACCCTTTTGACGCGCATCTTCAGCAAGGAACTCTGTTGCTGGATGGGACTCGGCGTTGCGAGAGACGACAATCACATTCCGCGCCCCCTTCGACACCATTGACAATGCTATAGTACTGCCAATGCCCCCGACGCCTCCGCAGACTAGATATGTCCCGTCTCCATAGGTGAGTGAAATGGAATGCGAAGGGGGGAGAACTTTGACAACGCTGTCTGGATTCGGGACCACGAGAACTGGAACATGCTTCTCCTGGCTGAATTCCAGGGCGTCCTTCAACTCGGAGACTGGGTATTGAGCCACCCCAGACAGGCTTGGCGGCGTCGGCAAAGCAGTGTTGCTGCGCGAGAGAAACTGGAAGGCTGCGTCAAGTGCTTGCTTCATCACTTTGCCATTGTGCTTGGCAAGTTGAATCACATCCACCCGTGCGTAGCTCGCACAACGAGCGGCGAACTGCTTTACGTCCAGCTCATGGCTCTGAGCGCCACCGAGATCGACCACTCGGCCGAAGCGAGCGATGATATCCTCGCCGAGTCGACCCAACTCTAATTGTGATTTGGGCAAAGACACAGCGTTCACTAGGACATCAACACCTAAGCCGTTTGTCTGACCGAGAATAACCTCATTGAGCGTTTTTGTGGATGGCTTGATCAAAATTCGCTCCATAGGAATATGGTAATGCTCAGAAAGCTGTATAGCGTCCGAGTCACTCCCATTGTGGGTCACGATCGATACTTCAGCCCCGATCTGAGCGGCGAGTCCAATTGTCGCCTCGCTGTCGAGATTCTCGATGGCATGCAGTATCATAACCTTGTCGTTATCTTGAAGCCTTGCAACATGAACCAACGCGTGATAAGCTGTAGCATAGGCCAACGGCATGCACGCAGCCGTCTCCAAGCTGATCCCATCCGGCACTCGAGTGATGGTGGTCCAAGGTGCTCGCACGGTGCTTGCCACCCTAGTACCAGGCGCAGCAAGGCCGCATACATTGTCCCCTAGCTGGAGACCGCTGGCCTCGGTGTTGTTACCGAGACCCACAACAACGCCTGACGCTTCATACAGAGTGGCAGCATTTTCATCGTTGGCAGTCTTTGGTGGATGTCTGGGGCTGAATGCTTTGACGTCAATCTCTATCATTCCCGCGGGCGTCTCTTTGGCTTCCTGCTGCCGAAGCTTTCCGATGAAGCTCGAAGCCGCATCATCCCATACAAGAGAATGCTCAGAGCTCTGGAACGGCAACAACAGCCCAGGCTTTGTCTCCGACGTGGCATTTTCGTGGACCTGGACGGGATGCACGCGCGGAAGGTAGAAAGAACCATCATCCCCAAGCGCATACTCCCAATCCGCGGCTTCAGAGGTGTCCTCGTGCAGAATCTTCTGAAGAACACGCGCAATTCCTACGGCGCCTATGTCTGATTTTGCAGAGGTAGTCCAGTTGCGTGGCAGATCCAACAGGCCATAGGCTCGGTCTGTATCCTCCTGGCGAAGAGTCCGTAAAAGTCCCTTGACCTGGGCAGATCCGGGTGCCGCATCATCCCGGGTGCCGCCGCTGCTGGTCACCCAAAGAACGCCGCGGCTGCCCAGAAGGATCTGGCGGAGTTGACTGAACTGCGTCTCGTCCAGGCTATCGAGCAGTGTCTCCCCCTCTAGGTCGGTAGCCAAGAGAGCCACTTTTTTGTCGTCGGGTTGAGCCAGATCAAAGCTCTCGACGACAGTCTTCAAGCCCGTCCGAGCTTGGACCGCCTCAATCACGCGAGATACCCATGGTTGCTGGGAAACAGAAGGGAAAGACGATGGATGCAGGATAAGCGAAGCAGTTAGTTTTCCGTCGACGCCGTTCACGGCCCCATTCTTTGTCGGTGGTGCTGCGCTGGTTACAAACACACTGAACCCTCGGTGCTGCTGTTGTTCAAAGTCATCAACGGTGAGCTCGAGACCAGTAAATTGATTGGTCTTCAGCTTTTCATCCCAAGCAAGTAACGGCATGGGATATTCGGTCTTCGTTTCGGTGAGAGCGAGGGCTTTAACCATGAGCTGCATATCCAGCCGACCCTGCGTTGGTTCAACCAGTAGGAGTTTGCCACCCGGGCTAAGAAGGCTTCTAACATTATTGAGAGTCGCTTCGAAGTTAGAGAATTGGAGCTGAAACAGAGATGCCACGATGACGTCCGCCTTAAGTTCGGACGAAATCTTCGAGATAGCCTGGCCATCCTCGAAGTCTAGCTCTCGATACTTAACAGCTTCCTCCCAGGCGGTCAGCTTTTGCTTCGCAGCATCGAACAGCGCAGATGTTGAGTTGGTCAGAATGTATTGATCGATGAGCGAAGTGCCGTCACCGTGATTGCCGGATGATTTCAGGATCGTTTGCGCCAGAGTCCCATCACCAGCGCCGACTTCGAGAACTTTCAGTCCGGGTTTGATCGCTGCAAATGATCGGACCAGTTTTCTTAGATGCGTTCCACTGCGCACGCGAAGTCCCGAAAGATCCTGATGATATTGAACTCGCAGATCACCTGCCTCATCCTCCTTTTTCAGGGCCTCGTGCGGTGTGATGATATCGCCTCGAACTATGGCTCCCAGCTGCTGACCGACGCGAATCAAAAGGTTCCCGTGCGTGCCTCCCTTTGCCTGCAGCTCATCAAACAGAATTTGCTTGACACCCTTGCTGGATCGTTGCCACAACTTGCTACCGGGTGCGAGCGTCCCGGCTTTGCCTTGTTCCACGATCGTCTTCATCCAGGAAAATAAGACGCGACGATCGGGTGTCCAGGCCTCTTGCGTGAGATTCGGGCCCTCGAGAATGGTTACGGCATCATGGATTAGATGGTATGAAGCTTTGACCAGCTTCTTCTCCCACGCAGCATCTTCATTGTCTAGCGTGACTCGCATGGAATCCTTGATGGAGGCCGGAATCCCGTCGTGCCATACGTCTTGTTCCCACCGGGTATCCCATAGTCGGACACCAGGACCGTCGTCTTCGATAGCCCTCACCCGAGGAATAGCTTGACAGAAGAGTCGGCTTATCTCCATTAAGGCCAAAGGGCCGCCGTATTTCTCTTCTTGATCCATGGTATTCACGACGGAGACATTGGACGCAAAGCCAGTGCTCTCAGTTTTGCGCAGCTCGCTGAACACTGTTAGGCTTTCGCCAATCTCCCGGTTGAGCAACTGCGGAATAAACATTTCTTCGATGAAGCGAGGCAGCACCATGGCCATTTTTCCGGTTCCCCTGGGCAAATTACTATATGTCGCTTGCACAATGCAGTCCAGAGTCGTGGGGTGGATGACATATGAGGTCGTGTTTGGGCCGTCGGCCTCGGAATCTTCCAAAGACCCCAGAGAATTCAAACGTAAATTGGCTACCGCTCTAGGAAGAGAGCCGGAAGCTGCAGCTGCGTTGGAATCGACCAGGCCGTGGAAGGCCGGACCGTATTCAACGCCCATTTCGGCCACGCGTGCTCGGACAGCACTGCCTTCTAGTTTCTCCGCGCTGCGACGGCCCTGCAAGAATGACTCTTGATCGGGAATAAGAGCTTCATCGACATCTTCGGCCTCAGTGACCACCGATACCAGCCCGCGCGAGTTCTCTGCCCAGGTACCGTTGCCACCCAGTGAACGTACGCTGAATCGGTACCAGCCTTCGACCTCATTCCCGTCCTCATCTTGCAAGGGTAGCAGGGAGAAGTGCATTTCAACGCCGTCAATTGACGATGATGAGCCGCCTATTTCGGGGATTGTCAAGGCGCTCAGGAACTCCAGGTCTCGGAGGCGATAGCCGTGAATGCTGACTTCGCCTTTGACAAGACGAACTGCTTCGATGGCCATCGAGGCATACGCAGCACCGGGAAGGACGATTGCGCCATCAACACGATGGTCTCCCATCCACGGCAAGTCAGACAGCCGCAAGAAGTTCCGCCAGATGAGCGTCGCTGCTCCGGAGATAGGAAGCCCAAGTAGCTCGTGCGGAGCATACGGCTTGTATCGAATCTGGTGATTGACGCGGGACTCGGCCCAGTAGCTGGTACTATGGTTCCAGGGATAAGTTGGGAGGCCCGGAACAAATCGCCGGACGCCTTCTTCTTTAGTCGAAACCGGATGGTTCACAGCACCGAGGTGCACTGGATATCCGAGGCGGATGAGGTTCGCTGCCATGTCTTGCATCGTCTCGACCGAGTCAACTGGCCGCTTGAGACAACTCACATACGGCATCTTGCGACCCTGCAGAATCTGCCGAATGGGTCCTGCTAGGGTACCATGGGGTCCAATTTCAACCACTGCGTCGACGTTGGTGGCGGAAGAGCCAAAGCACATCGCTTCAAACGCTTGGCTGAACAAGACAGGGTTGGTCAAGTTGTTCACGTAGTGAGTGGGAGCGAGGGCTTCGGGCGAGGAGATGATACTGCCAGTGACAGGAGAGGTATACAACACATGTGGACGCGGCCATTCGGACCACGAAGGAACTAGATCCTGTAGCTTCTTTGTATAGGCAGCTGCCATCACTTGCATGTGATGGGAATGGTAGGCTACAGGCACCTTCAGCTTGCGAGCAAACCGGCCGTCCGCCTCGACGCGAGCGACGACTTCTTCGAGATCGGGGAGGTCTCCGGATAGCGTGACGCTCTCGGGGCTGTTCACACAAGCCACTACGACTCGGCCGCCGGAAGATGTCTTGGATAGGTAGCCCTGGGCCTCGTCCGGACTAAGACCTGCAGCAGCCATGCCGCCAACCAAGCCCGAGTCTTCCTGCCCGAGCATAAGTCGGGCTAGCTCACCACGCCAGTAGGTTACTCCCAGAGCCTGCTCGAAAGAGAGAAGGCCGGCGGCGTAAGCGGCTGCAATCTCGCCGCTAGAATGGCTGGTGACAGCCGATGGATAGATGCCCCACGAGTGAAGAAGATCCACCAGGCAGATCTGCAAAGCCACCGTGATGGGCTGACCGAGGTGGATCTCCGACACTCGGGTGGACTTTGAATCGCGGGTCAACTCTTCGATCAATGACCAAGTTGCGCCATGTTCACGCAAGACCTCATCTGCCGCCTTCACACTGGCAGCGAAGACCGGATACTCGTGGAGCAGTTCACGACCCATGGCGTGCCATTGGGCACCTTGGCCGTTGAACACAAATCCCAGCCGCGGGCTTTGCCTCTTAGCTGGCGCGAAAGCGACTTGAAGAGCGTCATTCTCAAGCTGGTCGGCTAGCTCGGGGATACTGCGAGCTCGGACGGTCGCAACCCAGGAGAGACGGGACCGGCGCTCAACAAGAGTGAAGGCGAGGTCTTTTGCACTTGGGACGCTGTTGCTCTGCCGCAGGTATGCGGCTAGGTTCTTCGCCATATTCTTGGTCGTCGTCGCATCCTGGGCGCTGAGGATGTAAAGACGAGAGATATTTACTTCACTCCCATTCGCTGGGGTTATTGAAAGTGAAGTGCCACTCTGTGTCTGCTCGGCAATGCCGTCGAGAATAACATGGGCGTTTGTACCCCCGTAACCGAAGTTGTTGATCGACGCGCGCAGAGGTTTGTTCTTCGGCCAATCCACCAGACTGGTAGGGACCTGCAAGTTCCAATCCTGCAACGGGATCTTGCGGTTTCCGACCTTGTAATTGAGATTGGGCGGAATGGCCTGATACTTCATCGCCATGGCCGCCTTGATGATACCCGCCAATCCACTGACACCTTCTGTGTGTCCGACATTGGTTTTGACGCCACCGATCCAGACCGCGTCCCCGTCAGAGCGACTCGAGCCGAATGTTCGAGCCAGCGATTCCGCCTCGGTGGCATCTCCAGCCTGTGTGCCTGTCATGTGGGCCTCGACGTATCCGGTCTCCGAGATATCCAAGCGTGCTCGACGGTAGCAGTCCTGGATCAGCCGGACCTGAGCCTCCAGCGACGGGGAAGTGATGGTCGTTGTGTTTCCGTCTTGGTTCAGCGCCGAGTTCCGAATCACGGCGTGGACTTGATCTCCGTCGCGCAAAGCGTCGTCGAGAGATTTCAAAGCGAGGACCGCAACGCCCTCGCCTCGACCATATCCCTCTGCTCTAGTGTCCCATGCATAGCATCGCCCTTCCGCGCCCACCATTCCCAATGAGGACATGGCAATGTAAATATCTGGGTTCAAGATCGTGTTGGACGCGCCGATGATAGACACTTTGGAATCGCCTGACCGAATGGTTTGACACCCTTGGTGAAGGGCGGCCAGAGCCGCCGAACAGCCTGTGTCAATCGACATACTGGCGCCTTGGAAATCGTAGTAGTGGGAAAGTCGGTTGGAAAACATAGCGGTATAGTTTCCCGTCAAAGTGGCTGGCGGCATGGTCTCAGGATCTCGGGTCAGGAGATCGTGATAGTCTTTTGTGTAGCATCCGGTGAAGACTGAGGTACTGGATTCTGGACCGGCGAGCTTTTCGATGGGGATACCGGCTGAGGATGAAGATGTCAGTTCTCGTTGTAACTTTGTTGGATGGGAGAAAAACTCACCATCTTCTGTCGCTTCATATACTACCTCCAGAAGCAGGCGCAGTTGAGGATCCATGGCCTAGCATTTTTCTACTCGTCAACATCCATGATGCAGGCAGCCATTTCTAACAGGTCGGCCTTTTCGGTTACTTACATTCGCCACAGCAGCCGTGAAGTTGAAAAACGCGGCATCAAACAAGCTCACATCTTCTTCTAGGAAATATCCTCCTGTGGCATGGTTCTGCGCGATCGGAATTAGTTTGACTGAACAGACACGTCATACCATTGAATATCAGTGTTGCGCACTTACCCTTCCAGGCTTATCCTTGTCTGCATCATAAAGTGAATCGACATCAAATCGGGACTTGGGAATTCGACTCCACGCATCGCGGCCGGTTGCGCAAAGTTCCCATAGCTTCTCCGGGCTGGTCGCACCACCGGCGAATCTGCAGGCCATGCCAACTATGGCGATTGGGGAGGGAGAAGGCCCTGGTGTGGTGTGTGCATGGCCGTTGGTAGATCCATGTCCATTGGTGTATGTGTAGCCATTGGTAGCTGCATGGCCATTTGTGTGGGCATGACCATTCACTCCATTCGTGATCCCATTCTCGTTGCTCGGCATGATGTTGTGGATCTCAGAATACAAAAATATCGTTAAAATATCATGGATCAGGCTGGTGTTGAGAAGGAAGAACGAGTCTGCAATCTCGGAGGTAGTTGTTCATCTGGAATCTATACTAACTATGTGTAGGTATAGGTGTGGTCTTCACTATGCGATGATCACTGTCTAGATTATGGCCGTTATCCCCACCATGGGAGCTACTTGTCAGCTTATCTTCCTTATAGAACCACTAATTATGCCTGTTCTGCGGGCTTACTTCATCTTACTTCATGACCTGCATGCTTACCCCTGGAAATGCAGTTAATCAGCGGGGTATTGGAACGGAGCTAACAATGTTGCGAAACATCTTCTGCATATCTTTGTTCTGTCGAGTGACACTCGCAAGAGGGCCAATTGTTCAGCGCCACCCTTCATGTCTTCCTCTTTGTCATCGTCAACTATCCACGTCCCTCTAGGGGTGCTGGATCATTTCTGCCCGCCCAACTACACAGCCATTAGCTGGTATATTCCACTCAAAGATGGAGTGACCCCTCAAGAAGCCTTCGCCGCCTTGGAAGACGGATTACGAGCGACATTCAAACAATATCCCTGGCTCAGCGGCAAAGTCTACAAACAAGTCTCTACAACGCCGGGATGGCGCCCCGGACAATTGGAGATCCGTTACGACTCGGCCGAGCTGGACAAGCCTCTATCGCAATTCCGATTCAAGGAGCTCAAAGAAGATGAACTCCCCATGAGTTACGAGGAGATTCAAGAACTCGGTTTCCCCATGGACGCCTTTCCCGACGAAGAAATGCTCTGGGGGAATTATATAAATGTGCCCGAGGAGGATCACGGCGCGGAGTGTCTGAAGGCTCAGGCAAATTTCTTTCCGGGCGCTCTCCTGCTCTGCGGCGCGACTCACCATAATGTCTGTGACGGCACCAGTCAATTCGACGTCTGGCGAGCTTGGGCGGCAAACTGTGATGCGCTGCAATCCCCGAATGCGCCTAAGCTTGCAGACCCAGATCCTCTGAGTTCCGACCGGGAGCTCATTGAGCGAATCTTGGCCATAGAGGGGGGTACCGAGAAGAAAAAAGACGAGATGTCGCCGGTCGCATGGACTCTATTAGACATGGACCATCCAGATGGTGTTCAACGACCCCCCGCAACTCTCCGGTTCGACGAGCGCATGCAGTCTGGAGTTTTCTATATTCCCCCGGACAAGTTCGCCGCCCTGCATGCCAGCTGCGTCAAAGAGGCGGGCGCAGACGCGCGGATCTCGTCCAACGACGCCATGACTGCCCTCATCTGGCGTGGGCTTCTTAAGGCCCGACGACAGGCGTCGTTGAATGCCGGCCGGGCGAACGATACCGAGCTGGCAGATGTCAAAGCCAGACTGCAGTTAACGTTGGACGGACGGCCCGACATCTCGCGCACCGATGCTATGCCGCTGGTGTATTTGGGAAACCTCGTCTTAATGAACGAGTGCGTTCTGTCCCTACAGCAGTTGACTGCACAAGATACCTCGATCGCAACAGTTGCGCGTGCCATCCGACAGGTGGCTGAGACTGCGACCTCCGAGGCGATGCTGGATGCGTACGCTCTAGCGCGAGGAATGGATGACCTCTCCAAATTGGGCTTGCGTCTAACACCCCTGCGTGAGTACGACTTGATTTTGTCCTCCCTCATCATGTTCCCGGTCGAAGAGATGCGTTGGGGAGGGCGAGTGTTTGCCAACGGAGGGAAGCCCGACGCGCTGCGGCCTCTCTGGGATGCCATCAACACCGCCGCTCGTCTGTGCTTTCCCTTGCCACGACAGACGGGGGCCGGAACGCAGTTCGTAGTGAATCTGTTTGGGGATGAGATGGAGCTGCTGCTGCAAGACGAAGAGTTTGCACAGTATGCGATCTATCTCTGCTCCTAGAGTGGGCGATCAGCTGTCATCACGCAGATAGCCCCGGTAATCAGGGGGCTAGGAGCTAGCTAGGTTAATTGCATTAGTTCAAACATGCGTCTTGGCGGGATTAGAAATCCGAGTGTCTATCGAGGGTTAGATAATTGACTAGGTTCATGCTAACTATACTGTACATAACTTATCTGGGCTCCCTGGAATTTCCTTGATTCCAAAACGTACATTGTCAACCGAAACATTGCAAGCATCCATTTCAAAATGAGTGCCACCACCACTATAGTTGCGACTCATGCATTGGAAAAGGCAGAGCCGTCGCAGGGAACCCCAGAACCAAAGTCTCCCCGCGAGATTCATGGCATCTCATGGGTTTTAGTTGGTAAGATCAACCCAAACACCTCTTCCACGTGCATATTGGGAGCAACCTGCTAATGGTCTATCTGGTCAAATAGTTATGAGCATCATATCCTGCGTCTTCCTCTTCGCCCTAGACAATACGATCGTCGCCGATGTCCAACCCGCCATTATCAAAGAATTCGGGGATCTTGAAATGCTGCCTTGGATATCTGTGGCCTTTCTGATCGGCGCCGCGAGTACACTGCTGGCTTGGAGCAAAGGATACGGACAGTTCGACTGCAAATGGTTGTATATCCTGACCACCCTCATTTTTGAGGTCGGTTCGGCCCTCTGCGGCGCCGCTCCCAACATGAGTGCCTTTATTGTCGGTCGTGCTATCTGTGGTCTTGGTGGTGCAGGTATGTATCTGGGAGTGATGACTCTTCTGACCATTTTGACGACACCCACCGAGCGACCGATGTATTTGGGAATGGTGGGAATGATTTGGGGTGTGGGTACAGTGTATGAGCTACTTGAACACTCTCTCTAGGCATTTTGAGCTGACGTTTTCAGTCTGGGCCCGATTGTAGGAGGCGCTTTCACTGACAGCCCTGCTACATGGCGTTGGGCCTTCTACATCAACCTGTGCATCGGGGGTCTCTTTGCCCCGGTCTTCTTGTTTATGATTCCTAGTATCGATCCTCGCCCTGGTGTCTCCTTGAAATCACGACTGGCCGAAATCGACTTTCTCGGTACGACACTCTTCATCGGCGTCTTTGTATCCGGAATCATGGCCATTGCATTCGGCGGTCTCCTCTATGGGTGGGACAGCGCGCAAATTATCGCTCTCTTCGTCTGCTCCGGCGTCCTCGCAATTCTCTTCTTCCTCCAACAACACTTCCTCATTCTAACCACTTACCAACGCCGAATCTTCCCGCTGCAATACTTCAAGGACAAAGAGATGGTGATTCTCTTCATCGAAACCGCTGCGGCCGGCACGTCGTCCTTCATCCCGATCTATTTCGTCCCCTTATTCTTCCAATTCGTGCAGGGTGACGGCGCCCTCCAAGCAGGTGTGCGTCTCCTCCCATTTATCGTCCCTCTTGTGGTCTTCAACCTCGTCAACGGCGCCGCAATGAGTACCCTGGGTTACTACATGCCGTGGTATCTCGCCGGCGGCGCATTGGTCATCGTGGGCGGCGCTCTGCTGGAAGTTACGCACCTAAACACCAGCGTGGCTCAGATCTACGGCGCCCTAGTTGTAGCCGGTATAGGGACGGGATCGTTCTCGCAGACCGGCTTCTCAGTCGCCGCATCCCTCGTTCCTCCCGAGGAGACCTCAACCGCGGTGGGATTCATGACTTGTGGCCAGATCGGAGGATCCGCTGTCGCTCTGTCTGTGGCAAATACTATCTTCCTGAATCGGGCGACGGTCCAGATTGCGCGGTTACTGCCGGGGGAGACTATTTCTGCTGTTCAGGGTATGGTCTCCGGGGCTAATGGAGCGCTGCTTGAGTCGCTGGGTGGGGATCTACGAGGACGTGTTCTAGATGCGATTGTGCGCGCGATCACAGATGCGTTGGTGTTGGAGCTTACGTCTGGGGCGTTGGCGGTTCTACTGGCGCTTTTTCTGAGGCGGACGAAGATTAATCACGATCCGGCTAATGCTGCGTTCATGTGATTTTGGGGGGGTCCTTCCTATTCGATGGGGAACATGCTCCTGATTACTACTAGACTTGCTTTTTCGGGAATGTGTGGAATACAGTATGTTAGCATTGTGGAAAATTCTTCATTCTTGTTACTGCGGGTAGCCATTAGTTTCAGACATTCTGTAGAGCCACACAGTAAAAAGAATGACAAATCACCAACAATGATAAAGAACAAGGAGAAAGATATACCGAAGAATAAATAAAATTATAATCAATACATTAATAACGCATCGTATACCGCGTTTAGCCGACTCCTAATGCGCAAGCATCAGTGATCCTAGCAGTGTTAATTCGGGCTTTGCAACTAGTCCAATTGCCGGGCCAAGCTGTAATCCGCATTTTGGTTTCGATTCCTTTTCATCCCCAGTCTTACAAATCGAGACTTCTGCCTGTTTCCTTCAGCTGAAAGAATCAGCTGAGAAGGTCTGAGGCTATTCCGAGGAGCCACCAAGTTTGCTGAGAGAGTCATGGCTTACAGTAGACGAATAGTTTGCGCTAGACACGGCTGAAATATGGCCCAGCGCATGATTTTCAATCCTACTGCTCCTTCTACCACGATTCAAGCTTAGCTTCATGCATGCTTACTGGCGCTAATGCATGCTGACCGCCACGTCACTTGGCAGCCTTTCTGATCTATATCGCGAGGCTCACTAAGGCACGGGTTCGTGTTTCCTGATTTCGGGTGCTAGTTTCGTGTTTGACTCGTGGACCTTTGCCCTTCGGCTTAGTGCAATTCCGTCTCCCTGAAATTGGGAAATCGTTGATGGGGTTTCAGAACAGGGGCCAAACCCTGCGATCGTGCAGGAGTCCACGTGGTGATCTATGCCACGAGTTGCCAAGAGCCTCCATACCCTGTAGTCTGCATATACGGAACTCCAAAAAGATGTATATCTATATCTATCTTCTAGAAGTGTAATGAAGTATAGTTCATTTCATAATAGATCCTCCCTTGGTGATACAGATCAAAATATGAGTTCTTCCAAGCCAATTTTCAACGTACGATTCGCTAGTATCAAACTACAATCTCATACGTAGTGGCAAGTAAAGGGAACTAAGAATTTTCTTCCTGCTCCTGCTGACCGAATGCAATCCTAATTCCAAGCCTTCTTCTAAGACAGCTAGCTGTTGCCTTCCGCCGTAAGCAGGCTGTCGTGTCCGCTATCGTGAAAAAGGCTTACGAGGACAGTTACAGTTTCGCGCGAAGGAATCGCGAAGGAATCTTCTAGCAAGCACTGCCGTCGTCTGAGGCAGGCGATGGGGGCGAAAGTATGTCTGGATAGGGGCGATGTGGCTGTTTGTCGGGCCTGAGGGATGATACGAGAAGGTCTGAGAAGGTCTATAAATGGGCAAGAGATGCGAGAGAAGGTGAATGAAACAACAGATCATTTTTCGCCATTCAGCAAAAACATCCAGAAAGATGAGGACCCGCAATATGCTGCGCGAAAGCAGCGTTTTTCTCGCTTTGTTCACAGCTATCTCAGGCGTCAGCGCAGCTCCGCCCTCTCATGGCGCGCACTCTTCTCCTGCTTGTCGTTACCTACCGTCTGATTCGGGCTGGCCCAGTCAAACGGATTGGGCCAAGTTGAATCGCACCGTTCATGGCCGTCTGCTGAAAGGAGAGCCACTTGGTCAGTCATGCTACGGAGAGCATGCTAACGGCGAGGCTTGCGAGGAAATTGTGTCAACTTGGGAGACAATGCAGCCATTGTAAGTATCTCCCATGCCATTGAGAAGGAAGATCATGCAGTAGCTAATTCGGTGCACTTGCCCAGTTTGAACGACCCGGTCAATGTGATCTCCATGTACTACGAGAACAACACCTGCAACCCCTTCCACGGTCCTCTATCGCCTGTGAAACCCGAAATTGTCACAAACTCGACCTGCTCGCTCGGCGGCCTGGCCTACTACGCAATCAATGTGTCCGATGCGGCAACTGCAATTGCCGGCGTGAATTTCGCGCGCAAAAACAACGTCCGTCTCATCATCAAGAACACCGGTCATGATGCGCTAGGTCGATCCACCGGCAAAGGAGCCCTGGCTCTGTGGACCCACAATATGAAGAGCGTGAGCTTCTTGAACTACTCGAGTTCGCGATACACTGGTCCGGCTGCACGCGTCGGGGCTGGTATTCAGGTCAGCGAGCTATACGAGGCAGCGGCTGCAAAGGGATACCGCTCGACTGGAGGAACCTGTGACTCGGTTGGCGTGGCCGGGGGCTGGGTCCAGTCGGCTGGCCATGGGCCCTTGGCGTCAGCTTACGGACTGGGATCTGATCAGACTCTGGAATTTGAGGTGGTGACCACCGATGGAAAGCACCTCGTGGCCTCGCCAACCAAGCATTCGGATCTGTACTGGGCGCTTAGTGGCGGTGGTCCCGGAAACTATGCCATTGTGCTGTCCGTCACGCTGAAGGTTTATCCCGATGGCCAAGTTGCGGGCTCCAGACTGACGTTTGTGGAGAGCGATGAGAAGAAGTACTGGACTGCAGTGGAGGCGTGGCAGAAGCACCTTCTCAACGTACTTGATGCCATTCCGGGATTCCAATCGCTTGTCGCTCTGGCCAGTGGTGGTGTCTTTCAGCTCAACTATGCCACTCTGCCAGATGCAAGCAAGACCGATCTCATTACCGCGTTGACGCCCTTCTACGACGAGCTGGCTTCTCTCGGAATTTCGGTCACGTTCAACGAGACTGTCGTCCATGATACCTACCTGGGCCACTACAAGTACTACGAGGGCAACGACTTCGACAGCCGAAACGCCACCGTCGGCGACCGCATGATCCCTCGGTCTCTCGTTAGCAACGCCACCCATCTGTCCCAGCTGACGGACATCTACAAAGGCCTTCTTGAGACCGAGAACTCATTCATCTACCTGATCAGCCACAACGTCACCCACGCGAGAGTGGGCAACAAAGCAGGCGATAATGCCGTCCTCCCTGCGTGGCGGGACTCGCTATACATCGCCAACTTCGGCGTCACCGGAGATCCTCTGGCCTCGTTTACCGAGCTAGAAGAGCAAGTCTCCCTCGTCAACAAGTGGCAGGTTGATCTTCATGACGTCACGCCGGGTGGAGGCAGTTACATGAACGAAGCTATCTTTGGCTTCCCCTACTGGAAGGATGACTATTTCGGGGAGACCTACGACAAATTGAGGGCCATCAAGAACAAGTACGACCCTAAGCATGTTCTCTGGGCGGCTTCGTCCCCTGGATCGGTCGAGGCCTATGAGTTGCAGGAGGATGGCCATTTGTGTAAGCCGTGAGTGAATGGGAAGAGAATGTCCGAGACCAATATAGAATTAGGATTGTGGGATGTATAGACTGTAACTATTTTGTTTTATTTAGTTTCAATTTGATTTGAGTTTGTTGAAATTCTCCGAAATTTTCGTATGCCTTACAGAAACAGTTGAGATATTATGCTATGATGAAAGTATTTTATAAACAATCTGGTCTCTTACCAGCACATTTTCGACTTCTAGTATTTACTTCAGATCCTTATCTTAATTATCGATTTTTCATTGACCAGATTGAGCGTGGCATCGGCATCTATAGCGCGGAATTCCAAAGTTCCATTTCACCGAATACAACCCTCATCTTGGGTTTTTTTTTTTTTTTGTCTTGTGGAATCATTCCCAAATGGTCATAGATATATCGAAGGATTGAGGACCAAATTTGTGGAGATCATTCATTTATATATTTCGGCGCTGGTGAACGTTAATATTTTCCGACACCAGCAACATTAAACTACCATCTGCATGTATAGAAGAATGACCACAGGGAGCAAGCAAGGTAGAACTTTGAACAGAATAATTTATAGAAATCGACAAGTAACAAGAGAATTCACGATTATGATTACACTTGAAAGGCACTATGCCCTACGTAACCCAATTGTACAGTACATACCCTAGGTCGACTAGCCCACAGAGAAGGAAATATTTACGTGGCGAAGTGAACCCTGCCTGAATGTAAAATTGGACTAATAACATAAATATATACAGATAGTACCAATTATTTAACAGCAGAACGGGCAACAAAATCCTCATCACGAAGGGTTCTCACCTACAATAATCATAGTCGTCCATACAAATCGAGAAACAGCGAAAATGACCCAGGAGAGAAACAGTGTGAATTTTATTGTTATTTCAAGGTTACTGTGTTGGTTGTATTTCTGAGAAAACAAATTATGAATTCACTTACATAAAAAAAAAAAAAAAAAAAAACATGGGGGAATCAAGAAATCAAAAAGAAAAGAAAAGACTCCTTATTGGTATTGCAAATCTAAAAAATGTATTTACCAAGCCTGAACCTCGCCATCGTAAAGCACAACCTTGCCACCGTACTTCTCCTTCGTTCCCTTCGTAATGACATCAATGATACCAGTGGTCGACTTCTCGATCGTGTCCGGCGCAGACTCCAGTCCCCAGCCTTGCGCAGCGCCGTTGCCCATGTCGGTCTGAACCCAGCCGGGGTCAATGACAAAGGCATTGAGCCATTCGTCCTCGGCGTTGATTCGGATGCCGTACCAGGGGAGCATGGACTTGGAGGCACCGTAGACAGCGCTGGGAATAGGAGGTTGACGGCTGCGAGAGAGTAGGGTTAGTTATGTATCGGTCGCAGTTAGGACGAGAACAAGTATGGACATACCCAAGAGCACCACCACCCGATCCCATAATAGCATAGACGGGCTTGATGGTCGACTTCTCCAGCAGCGAGCGAGTAGCCTGGTAGAGCGAAACCACGCTCAGAACATTGACTTCGATGTGCTCGACGAGGTCGGCGCGCTTGACATCCTTAACAAGAGGGTACACCTTGGCGATACCAGCATTGGCAACGACGTAGTCGAAGTGGTCGACGCCCTTGTCGGTAGCCTCCTTGACGGCATCAAAGGCCGATTGCTCGACGCCAGCGTCATACTTGACGACGATAACGCTGCTGCCCTCGCCGGTGGGGAGCTTGGTGAGCTCTTGGGCAGTTGGGTGTGCAGGGTCACGAACTGCGGCCACCACGAGCTGCAAGTAAGAGAGGGGTTTGGTTAGCGCGCAGCACGATGATAAGAAGGTTTTAATATCTTACGTAGTTTGGATTGGCCACGAAGTTCTTGACTAGGCCGAAGCCCAGTCCTCGGTTGGCACCGGTAATAAATGCAACAGTGGGAGCCATGACAACAGGAGTAGGAAGTAGGGAAATAGAATGATAGGGAATTATTGGGTATGAGCAGTATTGATCGCTGTGATGATGAACAAAAAGAATGGTACGTTAACAACCACATTTATCTATTTTTCTCTGGTCGTGTTGTTAGGGCAGCTGATTAGAAATCGGGGCTTACAAATGGAAGCCGATGGTAAGCATTTGACGGTCTGACAGGGGGGACAGGCGCTATCCCACGCTATCTGCATGGTGACTTTAGCGTCCCGGACTTGCGAGATAATCATGCAGCTACGAGGCAACACTTGCGCAAGATGATCTCACACCCGCAAGTGGCGAGAGTCCAGAATTGACGATTTTCATTTTAGAAATGCATTCTACGACCTCTCCTTGGTGGTAAAGCAACATAAGCATAATAAACATTCCTAAGATATAATGTCCGACGTGTGAGCAATTCTTCCCCTATATCTCCATGAAATAATATCCTATGATACTAGACAGAGACCATGTGGACCAAGTCAGAAATCTGGCCTGAACTTCTAGGGGTGTCGGCCCTAGGCCATAGATTGAAAGCCCAGGATCTGGCCTCCTTAGCGTGGAACATTTTCCAGCTGCTCTTTGTTCTCCTCTTGGCCCAGGCCATCTCGGTGGGGTTTTATCGTCGTATGTACTCCAACAGCCCCTGCACTGTGGCTAAGTCTGGGTTTTTGTTTTCTAACAATGCCTCGAAAATATCGCAGTGTATCTCCCGCCTCTGGCCAACATTCCGGGACCCAAACTCGCTGGTAAGATTGGCCTATGAAAGTTGAATTTCCAACTCCAAGGATAACTTCTGACGCACATCTAGCTTTGACACACTGGTATGAGGGATACTACGAAGTATGGCTGGGTGGAAAGTACTTTGAGCGCGTAGCGGAGATGCACAAGCAATACGGTATGAAATGCCTCAATTTAGAAACTCCCCGACAATAATGCTGAACGGCAAATTGCAGGACCTATCGTACGCATCAACCCGATTGAAGTGCACTATAACGATCCAGAATGTATCGACCTGGTCCTGGCAGGCCCGTCCAGGAAGACCAACCGACACCCAAGTCTGGCGAGAAAGACAGGCACGCCCAATTCCATGGTGACTACCGTTGATCATGACTTGCACCGCCAGCGAAGAAACACCGTGGCCGGGTTCTTCTCCACTGCTAGTATTCGCCAACTCGAGCCCATCATTCGAGGTACCATGGGCAAACTTTTGGACCGACTCGAGCAGACAGCCCGAGCGGGATCTCCCCCAGTGCAGATTCACCATGTCTTCAAAGCCTGCACAAGCGACGTGATCACCCAGTATGCCTTTGGGGATAGCTTTGAGTTCATGCAGCGGGATGATTTCGGGAAGCCCTATTTCGATGCCACCGATTTGTTTTTTGGGCTGAATCATATCATGATCTTCTTCCCTTGGTTCGCGACATTGATGCAGAAGACCCCGGGCTGGTTTGTCAAGGCTATAATGCCAAACCTAGCGGAGCTAGTAGATAAGAAATCGGTATGTGGTTTACTGGTTTACGATCTTTTCTCAGTGCTAACATTCCTGGCCAGTGGTGGATTGATCGGGTTCGCGAGATTAGAACCTCTCCAAACCCCGAAAGAATCAAGAGCACAATTTTCGAAGGTATCCTGAATAGTACCCTTCCTGCTGCCGATAAGACAGACGCCCGCTTAGCAAGTGAGGCCCAACTCGTCATTTTCGCTGGCGAGGGTACTACTGCATTCACGCTCACCGCGGCTGTATATGAGCTGCTTGCCAACCCTAATGTCCTCGAGCGTCTCCAAGCCGAGCTTCGTGAAGCCGTTCCGGACGCAGAGTCAATCCCTTCCTTCTCGCAGGTCGACGGGCTGCCCTTTTTCAATGCCGTCGTGCAAGAGGTCGTTCGTTTGCACCCAGGGGTCATGAATCGCCAGATGCGCGTCCCTGCGAGTCAGCCGGTCATCTACCACGACAAGAAGGCCGGTCGGACATATACCGTGCCTGCCGGATTCCTCGTTAGCATGAGTCCGCTGTGCTTGCATTTGAATCCGGATGTCTATGAAGACCCGTACGAATTTCGTCCACAGCGCTGGATTGACAATCCCCAGCTCGCGAGAGCGTTTCTAGGCTTTTCTCGAGGCACGAGAGCTTGTGTTGGGTGAGTTACGAAAATCCTAGTTCCCGTGGGTTTCTCCTCGGTAGTACCTTTTCTGACCATGCAACACGAGTTTAGTATGAACCTGGCTCGCCGTGAGATGGCCGTTGTTTTGGCTACACTCTTCCGTCGATATGACTTGTACCGCGGACAGCCCGGTCGTACTCTCGAGCTTTACGACACCGAGCGCGCCAGGGACGTGGATGCCAATTTCGACATGATCATTCCAGTCCCTGCCAAGGGAAGCAAGGGAGTGCGCATCAGGGTCAGACACTAGGCACGGAGATGGCTGGGGAGGATCTGGAAAGGCAGAGGACATTGGAATGCAACAGACAGAGCCCTGGTTGTGGAAGGCGCAATGGATTGGAATATGGCCGGGGTTTCAGCCCGTTAAGTCAATGGAAAACCCAATATTACAATCGCGCCTTGAGTCCCTGAATATTGCTCGCTCCCGTAGCCCTTTCACCGACCGAGATGATTAACACAGATTTCATTAACTACGGTTGAACATGACTGACAAGGGTTCTGAATTACAAGGCTTGAGCATTGAGGAAAGGTTTCATGCGGTTTTCTTTATTATCTAAGTTTAAATGTTAAATCTTGCTAATGAGGAAAGCAGAATGCCCACAGTACATCGTCTTCTGCGACTACTTAACCCTGTCCTCAAAAACATCTTTATAGAAGTCCGCCTGCCTCTGAAACACCTCCAGCGACCCTTCGCCCGACAATATCCCAAGGTGTCCCCCATTCTTCGCTACAAAAAGCTGCTTGGGTGTGGTCATGCCATCCCACGCGGTCTTCTGCTCCTCCGGCGGCGAGATATTATCCAACTCCGGGATGATCATCAACACCGGCACGCCCTCAATCGTCTCCATGATCTCTTTGGGCCGAAAATAAGCCAGCTTATGATATGTCTGGATCGTGATACGGTCGCGGAAATTGGGATGGCCGCGTTCCGCGGCCGCACGCATAAGCAGGTGCGCCTCGAGACCTCCAGGCCCCCCTGCGCCTCCTAGACCGGCGATATTATCTCCCGCCGAATTGTGCGGCTGCATGGAGTACGGGGCATTTCCTTTTTGTTGAGACTGTCGGTCTTTGATAACCTGGGTGAATGTGCGTCCGCGACGATCCTTGCGGATGAAGCTGAGCAGTGGGCACACCATGATAAGGCCCTTGGCTCGCCGATCCACTGCTACTGTGCAGGCATTGACGGCTGCCCCGAAGGATATGCCCCAGAGTAGGATGCGCTTGTTGTCCACTGTGGGAAGAGATGACGCGTATGTTATGACATCTGGAGGTGGCGTTAGCTGCAATCTGGGAGAGCGATTGTGCGATAGTGGTGGGTACCACGGTGGGGGTATGATATAGCATTGGAACTCACCAGACACATCCTCAGCCATCTGGTAAGGGCTTGGCTGATTGCGAGGCTCTCCATCGCTGCCTCCAACGCTTCGTGTGTCGTAAAGCAGAACGTTGTAGCCCAGTGACTGGAAGTTCTCTGCAGTCTCGGGCAAAAGCATCTCCTTGACGCAATTGAACTGCAAGACGGTTAGCCTTCGCGTTACCACCGAGCAAGAGGATCAATCCCTACCCCATGGGTCATGATAACGATGGGTGCTGGGCCTGGGACAGTGTACAGCAACCCCCGAAGGGTGATGCCGTCCATCGTCTTGAATTCAACCGGCTGACTCGGTTCGATAGCCATGTTGAAGAGTGATCTGTTTGCGTAGAGAAAGTGATACAAGGTGGGGGTCAATTGACTTCAAATGGAAGGAGACTCGGAGTGGCGGAGTGGCGGGTATGGGAGCAAAGATAGATAACTAGGTTTCGCTTCCATCTGAATTAGTTTATGCCAAACAGGCTAAGAAGCTGTCATCCCGAGGGAACTCTCCAGTGATCCTCCTGTCAGCCGTTATTCCGTTAAATGCATGCTTATGTCGCTAGTGGGTGAACAGAGTAACTGATACGGCACGTTGACCATGACAGCGAGTGAGATTGAGCTAGAATCTGAGTAAGAATGGTCTTAGATGCAGGGTAAGCTCGTCACCTTACAGGTTAGTCTCTTCAGGAATTAGTGGCGACATACTAGTCCTATCTTATGTTAGCGGATAAGCGAAGTATATGCTCAACATCCTATCTATATCAGTTATATGAGGTCGAGGATACTGATCAGATTGCTGCCATTGCCAACATTCATGTTCCTCGCCATTGAACCATCTCCTCTCATCTTTTTATCTCCCTTCTCTTCTCATCGTTTCAATAATTCTTGTCCCTCCCACATACACCGCTCCGATGGCGCACATTCAAGAGCCTGTGGCCGTCATTGGCCTCTCCTGCCGGCTTCCAGGAGGAAACAACACTCCCGAAAAGCTATGGGAGTTCCTGAAACAAGGAGAAATCGCATCCAGACATGTCCCCGAGAACCGCTTTACTTTCGAAAGCCACTACGATGGGTCCCTCAAGCCTGGGACTATGCGGCCTCCAGGTGGAATGTTCCTGGAGAAAGTCGACCCAGCCGATTTTGACGCCGCGTTTTTTGAGATTTCGGGCGGCGAGGCAGTCTCGATGGACCCTAATCAACGACAGATGATGGAGGTTGTTTTTGAAGGACTGGAAAATGGTGGTATTACCATGGACAGTCTGAATGGGCAATCGGTTGCTTGTTTTGTCGCATCCTTCGCGACTGGTAAGTTCTTCCTATGACTCTTTTTAGTTGTATTCTTGACTCACTGATTTATGAATAGACTACGGTGAAATCCAAAACCGTGACCCCCTTGACCGGGCATCGAACCATGTCATTGGTATCGGTCGTGCCAGTATGGCCAATCGATTGAGCTATTTCTTGAACATCAAAGGCCCGAGTGTCACTATTGATACAGCCTGCTCAGGAAGTATGGTTGCACTACATTTGGCTGTGCGCGCCCTTCACAACCATGAATCCGACAGCGCTATTGTGGCAACTAGCAATCTCTTCCTCAGTCCGGAGCATACCCAAGAGGTGGGCAGTCTTGGACAGGCTCACTCGCCTTCTGGCCTTTGTCATACGTTTGACGCCTCGGCCGATGGGTATATCAAGTCCGAGGCCGTTAGCGCCGTCATCATAAAACGCCTTTCGGATGCAATCCGCGACAAGGACCCCATCCGAGCTGTTATCAGAGGAACTGCCTCCACTAGGTGAGCTTATAAGACTGTTGTTTATTTTGGATTTTACTGACTTCTGCTTTCATTACAGCAATGGAAGGACAAATGGTATCGCTAGCCCTAGTTCCGAGGCACAGGCGGCAACCATCAGACAGGCGTATGCTGCCGCTGGTATCACTAATTTCAATGACACTGCCTATCTCGAAGCCCACGGTACGGGTACTCCAGCTGGAGACCCGACTGAAGTAAATGGAGCTGGATCTGTGTTTGCTTCGAGCCGTGAAGCCGGCAAGCCATTGATAATTGGATCGGTACACTCTTTCTTTCCTTCTATGTTACCACAGGTTAATACTAACCATTTGCATCACACTGTAGATCAAAGCCAACCTGGGACATGCGGAGCCTTCAGCTGGCAGTAACGGTGTTATCAAGGCCATCCTCGCCTTGGAAAAGGGCATTATCCCGGGAACGCCGAGTCTCATTAACCCGAGTCCGAAGAGTAGGTCCTTACAATACCTGGCGATTTGGAATGTCATCACTTACATGCTTTCTTTCTAGTTGACTTTGTGGCCAACAAGGTGCGGGCCTCTAGAACGGCTCTGCAGTGGCCAGACGAGCCTGGAAAAATCCGACGAGCCAGTGTCAACTCGTTTGGTTATGGAGGATCCAATGCTCATGCCATTGTGGAACAAGCAAGCCCTGACCACAAGGTCACGCATGTATCCTCTTACGTCGATGAGGAGGAAATGACCTTCGAGGACGATGATCTGGACGCTGACAGCAACAAAAAGCTCTACACTTTGGTGGTTTCGGCCAACGACCAGGCAGCGCTCAAGGGAAATGTCGAGGCACTGTGCAACCACCTCATCAACCCGCGTGTGCGCGTGAATCTGGACGATCTGGCATACACCTTGTCGGAGCGTCGCTCGAACTTTTTTCATCGCGCCTATGTCGTTGCCCAAGACACGGAGTTTGAACCTAGCGACTTTGTCCTCAGCAAGAAGTACCCCAAGACTCCTCGTGTCGGCTTCGTCTTCACCGGCCAGGGTGCGCAGTGGCCCCAGATGGGTCAAGCATTGCTCCAGTATTTCCCGGAGACGCATACCCTGCTTGAGGAATTTGACCAGGTTCTCCAGAGTCTGCCTAGTCCCCCTACGTGGTCATTCGTGAAGGAGCTCACCGAGCCTCGCACTCCCGAGCACTTGCGCCAGCCTGAGTTCTCCCAACCTCTCGTGACCGCTCTGCAACTTGCCATTCTCTCCGTTCTTGAGGCTTGGAATGTCACCCCTAGCAGCGTAGTAGGACATTCCTCGGGAGAAATCGCTGCTGCGTACGCTGCCGGATTCCTCAGCCGCGCTGATGCTATCAAGGCCGCGTTCTATCGTGGCCGAGCAGCTGTCAACCGAAAGGAAGAGGCCGAGTCCGATGTGGGTATGCTAGCGGTTGGTCTCGGCGCTGACGCTGTCGCCCCCTTCATCGAGAAATATGCCGGCGACCTCTGGATTGCCTGTTTCAACAGTCCCAGCAGTTTGACCATTTCGGGTCGCAAACCAGCCCTCGAAGCTTTGGCCTCAGATATCAAAGCGGAGGGGCACTTTGCCCGGTTGCTTTTGGTGGACCTTGCCTATCACTCCGAGCTCATGGGCGTGATCGGCGAGGAATATGATAACCTTCTGGCTGCCGATGGCCAGTTCACCTCGGCTGAGGCGTCCTCTGAGGGTGTTTCCATGTTCTCGTCTGTTACTGGCTCGAAGAAGACTTCGGCAGCCGATGCTGTTTACTGGAAGGCTAACATGGTCTCCCCTGTTCGCTTCACCGAGGCCTTGTCCGCAATGATCTCGAGTTCCGAGAAGCCAGACATCGTCGTCGAGATTGGACCCTCCGGTGCACTGGCTGGACCAGTCTCTCAAGTTCTCAAATCGGTTCCAAGCGGAGCTGATGTCGCATACGTTGCATCCTGGTCTCGAGGTCCTGAAGCTGCTAAGTCGCTTTTCAAGGTCAGTGGAACGCTGTTTAACGCTGGTGCCTCCGTCAACCTGGCGGCAGTCAATCGCTACAGCAGCGAGGCCCGCGTGATTGTCGACTTGCCCAACTACTCCTGGAACCACACGGTCAAGTACTGGTTTGAGAATGAAGCCAGTCGTGATTGGCGTTTCAAGAAGTATCTTACCCACGATCTCATCGGAAGCAAGGTCCTTCCTTAGCAGTCCATGGCAGTCCCCTAGTTGGCGCAAGCGGTTGAGCTTGGTAGATGTTCCCTGGCTCAAGGACCATGCCATGGGCTCCGATATTCTCATGCCTGCCGCGGCATATATTACCATGGCACTAGAGGCTATGTATCAGAAGCACTGTGCTCTGAGTCCGGAGTCAGGTGCCATTACATCTCCTGGCCAGCTGGCGTATCGGTTCCGCAACATCCGGTTTGAACGCGCTCTTGTCGTTGAGAAGGGCAAGCCCATTCCTATCATTGTGTCCCTCCCGCCTCTGGCAGGTAGTGTGGAGTGGCACCAGTTCCGCGTGTCCAGTGAGGTTGATGGCGTTGTCACACAGCACTGCCAAGGTCTCGTCCGTGTTCTTGATGAACCCGTGAAGGAGCAAATCACTGGGACCCAGCTTGCACCTCTACAGCACCCTTCGTCTTCCAAGCTGTGGTACAAGGCCCAGAACGAGATCGGCATGGGATTTGGACCGGCATTCCAGAAGATCAGGAGTATTGAGGCGACCAGTGGCCAACGAACTTGCCGCACGCGAGTGTCGCTGGACCCTCCCAAGTCCAAATGGGACCCTCAGTCTTACTACCCCATTCACCCTGCTGTCTTGGACTCGTGCTTCCAAAGCGTCAATCCTGCTCTGGTGGCTGGTGAGCGCAGCAGGATCCAGGATATTATGATTCCCTCAATATTGGACGACGTGGTCATCAATAGCACGCGAGCTGTCGGTTCCGATGACGAGGGCCTGGCTTTGGCGGAGGCGGTCTTCACGGAGCGAGGCCGAAAGGACCAGCTGAAGAGCTACGTTTCCAATGTGAGCATGTATGATCCTGAGAACGGATCCCTGCTGGTGCGTGCTCGTGGTCTCCATATCACCAAGTTAGACGTGGGACCCCTCCCGGATCCCCATACATTCCACCGCGTCTCGTGGAAGCCCGACATCTCCTTCATGACTCAGGACCAACTTCTGCATATCGACGAGCATGCCTCTGATGACACCTCAAAGGACAAGGTGGATTCAATCATCGACCTTGTTGCTCACAAAATCCCCACACTCAAGGTCCTCGAAGTCAATCTCAACCGAGAGGACTCCTCAAGCCGGTGGTTCCAGGCGACGGACTTCTCCGCCAGATCAGCCTACTCACGCTACGATTTCACTTCCATTGATGCCAAAGCGATCGTGGGTGCTCAGGCGCAGTATGCCTCTCGGAAGAGCGCCTCATTCTCCTTGATCAACCCTGCACAGGAAGCTCTCGGTCTCGCAGCTGATGGCTTCAGGTTCGATCTGGCTATCGTCAAAGCACCTAACAAGACTGATGTCGCTGTAGAGGAGATCTTCCGAAACTTGAAGCCTCTTCTCGCGTCTGGTGCTTTTACCTTGCTCTTGATCCCGCAACCCGGGCCTCACGGCAGCCTATCGCGTCCCATCTATGACTGGAGCAATGAAATTGACACTCCGAACGAGACAGGTCAAGGTAGTTCATCGGCCTCAGACGGACCCAACACACCTACGAGCGAACAATCAGAGACCACTCCCCCAAGCTCGGTTGCCTCATCCGTCAACTTGAAGGCGCTCGCTGGTCTGGGTGAACTGAGCCACGTTTGGTCCCGACGTACTGTGCACTATCTCGAAAAGGCCGGTCTGCTTGGATCAGTCGTCGAGATTGACTCCGCTGCCGAAGGGGGTGTGTTCGCATACCTAGGTCAAAACCCTCAGGTCGACGAGTCCAGCGAACAGGCAAACTCGGAGCTCTTGGTGGTCCGGTTCGATGAAACCACTCCTCGTCTGACGTCGAACCTGCGAGAGAATCTCGAATCCGCGGGCTGGAAGGTCTCCCACCGCGGCGCCACCAAGCTCACTCCGGCCGATCTTGCTGCGCAGCCAGTTGTGCTTGTGCTCGATGAGCTGACCAAGCCGCTCTTGACTCGCATCAATGAGGAACAGTGGAACTCGCTGAAGGAACTCGTTAGCTCAGGCACCCCCGTCGTCTGGGTGACCAAAGGAGCGCAACACAACCGAGTCACGAACCCCAACCGAGCCATGGTACACGGGCTGTTCCGAGTCGCTCGACGAGAAGACCCGACGGCCAAGCTCACCGTGCTGGATGTGCAGTCTGCCACGAGCCAGGCTACGGTCGTGGCCATCGAGCAGGTGCTGGAGTCTTTGCGTCAGGGCAAGCTGCCGTCTGCTGAGACGGAATACGCTGAGCGAGACGGTGTGATCTATACGCCGCGAGTCCTCCCTGATGCGGAAGTGAATGTGTTCAAGCGCGCCGAGCTCGAGGGACTTGAGCCTGTCGTCAAGGGGCTTCACGAGACAGATGTGCAGGTTCATATCCACGGCGACCGCGTTGGCACTCTGGACCTCACCTGGTGCGAGGAGGAATCGGTACAGGCAGAGCTCGCGCCTGGATACATCGAGGTCGAGGTCAAGACGGTCGGAGTCAACTTCAAGGACGTGGCGACCATTATGGGAATTGTTCCCGAGAATGAATTCACCATTGGCTGTGAGTGCGCAGGTCTGGTAAGACGTTTGGGACCGGGAGTCACGAAATTCAATGTCGGCGATCGTGTGGCAGTCATGAGCAAGGGTACGTATGCCAACCGTGTGCGCGTTGAAGATGGTCGTGCCCATCGCATCCCGTCCTGGTTGAGCTATGAGGATGCTGCAACGATTCCTCTTGTTTACATGACTGCGCTTCACTCGCTGTACAACCTAGCCAACCTGAAAGAGGGCCAGTCAGTCTTGATTCACTCCGCCGCTGGTGGTGTTGGTCTGGCCGCCATCCAGTTGAGTCAGTACAAGAAGGCCGAGATATTCGTGACAGTTGGCACGACAGAGAAACGCGAGTTCTTGGCCAGCACCTTTGGCATTCCTGACGACCACATTTTCTCCTCGCGCGACACCAAGTTCGCTGAACAGATCATGCAGGCCACCAATGGTCGCGGAGTGGATGTGATTTTGAACTCGCTGATTGGCGAGCTTCTCGACGCGTCCTGGAGAATTTGCGCTGACGGTGGAACCATGGTGGAGATCGGCAAGCGAGACATTGTCGATCGCAACTCCCTATCCATGGAGCCCTTTGATCGCAACTGCTCGTTCCGCGCGATTGATCTGTCGTATACCAAGCACTTTACTAGCGAGGCCTCTGCCGCCTTGTTGGACGAGATCTTTACGCTGGTTGAGGGCCGCCATATCGGACCCATTCACCCTGTCACCACTTATGGCTTCGATTCGGTTGCCGCCGCCCTGGCTCACATTCGTCGAGGACAACACATTGGAAAGATCGTTATTACGAATGGTGATGAGCCCGATGTGCAGCTGCCGATCCGTCCAGCTTTGCAGGGCCTGACTTTGAGGCCGGATGTTTCCTACTTGATTGTTGGCGGTCTTAAGGGCCTGTGTGGCAGTCTGGCTATTCATCTGGCCAACCATGGAGCCCGTCACATCATCGCCTGTAGTCGCAGTGGCCTGGGTGATGAGGCCTCAGCCCGGATTGTTAGGAACTGCGAAGCGCTTGGCTGCAAGGTTGTGGACGCTCGTGGCGATGTATCGGACAGTGAGTTTGTGCGACGCGTCTTCAAGTCGGCCAGCCCCAGAATTGGTGGCCTGATCCAGGGAGCTATGGTTCTGAGAGTAAGTCCATTTACTGTTCTTGTTGACTACCACTAACGCACGTGACAGGACAAACCCTACGAGATCATGACCCATGAAGACTACCATGTCGGTATTGAAGCCAAAGTCCAAGGAACCTGGAATCTCCACCACGCGTCTCACGACATGGAGATTCAAAAAGAGCCCCTCGACTTCTTCACCATGCTCTCCAGTGTGTCGGGCGTGATCGGCAACAAGGGACAGGCCAACTACTCGGCTGCCAATACCTTCCTGGATGCCTTTGCCAGCTACCGGCTCTCACTCGGCCTAGCCGCCAACACTGTCGATCTGGGCGCTATCCAAGACGTCGGATACGTGGCTGAGACGGGCGACAGTCTTGAGTCTCGCTTCTCAACCAAGCAGTGGACACCCATCAATGAGGGCGTCCTGCGCAAAATCCTCACCTATTCTATCCTCCAGCAGCAGCATCGCACGCACCTCAGTTCCAGTCCTCAGCTGATCACTGGTATTGCTTACCCTATGCACGCTTCAACCTCGGACGTTGCGGGCGATCCACGCTTCGGGTACCTGTTCGCCGACGAAGGCGACGACGCGGGTGAGGGCGAGGGTGCTGGCGGTGATGAGGTCGAGCAAGCTGCTAAGGCTTTCCGGTTGATGGTCTCCCACCTTACGGCTGATGCTGACGCCTCGTCGCTTGTCGGGCCCGCTGTGTCTCTGCTCGCCGCCCAGGTTACCAAAGTTCTGAGACTGGAGACCGAAGTTGAGAGCGGAAAGCCCTTGGCTGCGTACGGTCTGGATTCGCTGTCCGCTGTCGAAATTCGGGGTTGGGCACGGACAAAGCTGGGTGCGGATCTCAGTACACTGGATATTACGCATGCTGCTTCTATCTTTGCTTTGGGAGAGAAGATGGTTGCCAAGCTGGTGCCTAAATGAGATTCTTTTAGTGTTTTGTCTACTGTATCCAGATTGTTTGATGTCCCTTGTTACTTAGTAGAGCGAGTTCTTAGTTTGCCCTAATATACAACATAATTTGCTTTTTACGAAATAACAACCTCAACTATCTTACAATTCAGTCACCTTTCCTCATCATGATAAAAGTGCTCGTATTTGGTCGAATCGATTTCCTGACATATGAGCTGAAACAAAGTCGTCTGTTTAGTTTGGGTTTGGTCATCAATTCCGAGCACCAGAACCTGACACTGCATGCTGACATCCTGCAGGATTACCCACTTTATATTCTATCTCATATCGCATAGGATCTATGATTGCATTATGCTTACAGGTAATATCCATTTCCATGGGGCCAACTGTTTCCATGTATTCCCCAACCGTATCTTTATCGAACGTGATAAGCCTTAAGTAGAAACGCGCGTAGTAGAGCCAACTTCCCCCCTTTCCTCTTTTCTTCTTTGACTTTACACTCCAGGCTCTGCTACCTACAGAAACACATGACCCAAACGTTATGGCCAAGTCTTCACCCCAAGCCCAGATCCTCCTCAACGCCGGTCTACCGCCCCACCAGGTCCTCGTACCCGGTGACCCAAACTTCGCCTCCCGTCAAGCCTCGTACTGGTCGAGAAGTGTTCAGGCCCTGCAGCCCGGCTGTATTGTGCAGCCAGATTCCACGCAAGACGTGGTCACGGCTCTCCGAGGTCTCACAGCGGCCAATATCCCGTTTGCCGTTCGTGGCGGCGGACATACAGGCTGGGCCGGCGCAAACAATATCGGACCAAATGGGGTAACTATTGATTTGCATCTACTTGACCAAGTGCAAGTCGTGCAAGAGACGAAACAAGACCCAACAGTAAACCTCGGCCCTGGCAACCGCTGGGCGAGAGTATACACTGAGCTTGCGAAAGATGGTCTTGCGGTAGCTGGTGGCCGTGAGGGCAACGTCGGTGTCGCAGGTCTTCTCCTAGGCGGCGGAATGGCATTCTACACGGCTCGGTATGGCCTCGCATGCGACAATGTGGTCGAGTACGAAGTCGTCCTGGCTGATGGTCGTGTCGTGTATCCTCGCGAAGGAGAGAAGGAGCATGCGGATCTGTTCCGAGCCCTGAAAGGTGGCGGCATTAACTTCGGTATTGTCACGAATTTTCGAATGCGTACGCTGCAGGCGAGCCCTATTTGGGGAGGCATGACTGTACATCCGAAGGAGAATACACCCGATGCTATTAAGGCTTTGGTCGAGTTTACAGATGGGGTCGAGAAGGAGGTGGATAGCAATTTGTTGTGTTTTTTCACATACACGGGTGAGTCGGCTTGGGCTTAAAGATTGACACATGGTACTAACACATGGAGAGCAGTATGCCTCATAAATCGCTTTTGAACATTCTGTTTCCTTTCTGACTCCCGTTTAGCCCGAATTCAAAGAGGTTGTTGTGGCAGGTGCTCTCATCCAAGTCGCTGGGGTTGAAGAAGCACCTGCATACAAGAGCTGGCTCAAGATGCCCACCACAGCCAGTACCTGCAAGCTAACAACAGTACCACAACTCGCAGTAGACTACACTCAAGCGCAGGGATATTAGTAAGTATCATGGTCCATCCCTTTGCCTCGTCACATTTCCATTCTTCGTTAACCTTTTCTGCTTTTGTGTTCTAGTAACGTATGGTTCACCGCCACATTCAAGAACGACCCTCGCATCGTCTCAAAGGCAGCAGAGCTCCACGAAGATCTCGTTGCGCACCTAAAAGCCCTCATCCCCGATGGAGATTTCGTCACGCAATGTCTCTTCCAGCCGTTTCCCACGCTCTTTGGCCAGCTATCAAAATCCAAGTCTACTACCGGTAACATCCTCGGCATTGATAAGCAATCTCACAGTGCTTTGCTGTGGCTGGCTGTCGCGCAAGTACGTACCCCGGAGCTGGAGAGTATTGCGCATGGCCTTGTTGGTAAGTGGGTTGAGGCGGTCAAGTCGTTTGCGGCATCTCTCCATGACGGCAATGGGAACCTACCATGGATGTATCTAAACTACGCGGACGGGACTCAGGACCCCCTGCCTAGTTACGGACCGGAGAATCTACGGTTCATGCGGGCCGTAGCGCGCAAGTATGACCCTAATGGTGTTTTTCAGACGCTCTGTGAAGGAGGATTCAAACTGGCGCGTGCAGGTCGGGGGACTGAGCAGGTAGGGGGAGATATTGGCATTGTTTCGAGGGAGTCAAAGATTTAGATTTAAATATGTCATGCTATGAGTTCTGCATCAGCCCGCTAAACCGACCGGATGGTGTGTTCGAAATGTATTCAGTAGATAATAAACTTCTGAATGGTTAACAGGCCGAAGTCCATGCTAATTATGACGTTAGATCTTGAATTTTCTAAACAATCTTGAATCTAGTGTACGGGTTTGACAAGTGTTGATCGCCATTTATATAAGAAGCCGAATTGGGTTATTCTTGTTAACATTCAAAATCTAGTGCATAGTTATAGGTGCAATCATTGAGTTCGCTGAAGACCTTGCTTTAAATTTTTTAACGAAAACAACTCATGGGAAGATTGCCATAGAAATTGTAGTATTTACTATGGAGTCTTAGTGCAGATTTGTCTATATAGTCTGGCATAGCACGGTCAGACCACTCCTTCCTGTGCAAAAAGCATACAGTAAGTTATCTGTAATTATCTCAAGCAGTGGTATCCAATTCGCGCAGGCGAATATAGCAATCTCTCGGCGCATTAGCCGTAGTCATCTTCGCAGCCAGTCTCGAAATCTGCGGCGCACACTGCACCAATTCAAAATTCCATAGCAGCAAAGTCAACACAATACGCGACTCAACGTACGTCAACCGCTTGCCATAGCATCCTCTCGTGCCCAGTCCGAAAGCAACCTGAGGTCCCGCGTTGGGGTTGAACTCAACCTGGCCATCGTCGCTAGTAACCAGCCAGCGCTGGGGCCTCCACACTCCGATGTCAGGGCCCTGCCAGTTTGGCGGCACCAGTCCGCCCTTGCGACGAGCTGCGAGACTGCTAGGGCTGCGTAGGGACTCATCAATGGCGAAAGCAGGCGATGTAATACTGGGACCCGAGCAGAGCTGGGAGACCACAGTGCCCTTGGGGATATGATAGCCTAGGATTTGGGTGTCGCGGGTGGCCATGCGGTCGATGGTGGGAGCAACCGAGGCGCAACGCAAAGATTCTTCGATGGTTGCCTCCAGCCAAGGCACTTGTTTGCTCGTAATTTCTTGGACCGAGGGCGGGCGTCCTTCGCGTTTGGCGTCAGCGAAAGCGTCGTGCAGGGCGTCGCGGAGCTGGGTCTGGGTGGTCGGCGAGTCGGCCAGATACTTGACGGCCCAGCTGAGCATAGTACTGGTTGTCTCGTGGCCCGTGTAGACGATTCCAAAGATCTCATCGACCATCAACTGCGAGTGGAAGTTGGGCTTCTGGCCCGCTTTCTCGGCCAATGTCTTCTCGCGGAACACCATGTGGTCTACCGCAGAGGTTGGCTGTTGACCCTTCTTGCTGGAACGCTCCACGGCACGCGAGATTTCAGAGCGTATGAAGTTCTCTTTGATCTTACGAGCTTTTCTGGAAGAAGGCTTGCGCAGGACGTACAACCATGTGAGGTGAGGGAACGGGTTACCTAGCAAGTAGGCCACTAGCTCGGTCAACTCCATGAATGCCCACATCAAGTCGGGCATTTTTCCGTGGGGGAAGGCGACAGGATCTTCCTTGCTGCCTTTGCTCTTCAGCTTCTCCTGCGCAGCGGCATTTAGACCTCGCACTGCCTCGGTGGTAGGTCGCACACTGCTAGTGTCGAATCCATGTCCAAAGGTGAACGACGACATGGCATCGAGGGCGAAGTGGTAGATGTCCTCATGCGCATCGAAAGGTCTGCCATCAGCAATCCGAGCTTTTGTTCGCCATACTATGGTGTATCGTTCCATGTCAGTTCAGATCATACATGCTTTGGAGGCGTCTCTTACATTCCATCAAGTCAGAGGCAGTGTCATAGAGCACTGGACCCGCCACATTATGTAGAAAGCTAGGTGTCATCAGGTCGCGAATCAACGCTCTCTGAGCTTTCCATTGCTTCCCAGTCGGCAGATGAACATGATGCTTGGGCAGGATACCCAAAAGCAAATCGCCGAGCGTCGCCGATCGCTCGAATTCATGATCGCGCCGCAGCAGCATATCCTGGGCTTCGGCAAAGTCACCCAGCAGCACCAGTGGTTTGCCGAAGGGAAACATGAATATCTGCACCACGGGAGAGTTTAGTCGCTCCATTACCGACCGGAGATATGTTGCGAATGTTCCGTCAGTGGCCTTGATGTGTGTGATCATAGCCGGAATGTCGCCCAGGATGCTATGCGCCGAAGTTTCCATGTATGGAATTCCGGGAATCGGCCGCGGGAGGAGCCATCGGTGCACCAGGAAAACAAATCCTACTGCTAGCAGAGCGAATACTCCTAGGTGGTCGGAGACATATTGAACATACTGAATTCGATCGGTGTAGTAGAATTCAGGAACAAATGCGTAGTCGGTTATGTTAGCCATTTTGTCCGTGCTTTGCGCAAGGACAGGGTAATGACTAGAGAGCTGTAATCCAGAGACAGAAGATGGTATCAAAATGATAGCGGGCCCTGTCGAGCCCTAAAAACGAGGGTTTTGAGCAACAAAACCGTTGAGATTGTAGAATAATCACGCCTTGATAATGGGGCGGGTCCAATGCACGCTTAGACGCCTACCCGAGGGCTTATATGCACGCTTACTCTAAGCTTATAGCGCCCAGGCGCTTGTCAGCAATCGGTGAGAGCTAGTTGTTTCCCATTCAAAAATCCTTCGACCCTACCCAAGAGGCTTGTTTGAATTGGGTAGCTTGGCCGGTCTTGCCAAAATGTTTACGCTCACAGAGAGAACGGTACAATGGGCCGCTATGACTTGGAGGATCGAGACCATCTATGTATCTTTGGCGTCGTTATTTCTTTACTATGGCTTCATCGCAGTCCATCGACGTGGGTGATGAGGATCTTTTTCTTGGATCTCATAGACTAACGTTCTCTGCAGTATATTTCTCCAAGCTCGCTAGAGCACGTATTCCGGGCCCTCGGCTGGCAGGTAGGATGTCTCCTCCGATCTTGGGAGTAAAAGCAGGATCCTGAATAAAAGTCGTCAGCTGTCACCTTCTTATATGAAGCCTACTATGAGGCTTGTCTAGGAGGTCAAATGTTCCGCCACGTTCAGGAGCTGCACAAAAAATACGGTTTAGCCCCCAAGAACGAATCCTGCGATATGCCACCTACCGCTCGCTGACATCTGTTTCAAGGGCCAATTGTTCGCATCACACCAGATGAGGTTCATTTTGATGATCCCGAGATTATCGACGCCATATTTCCACAGGGAGGCAGGAAAACAGACAAACCGACATGGCTGCACACTCGAACGGGCAGTGGGTGATCCTGTCTTTGATTCATTCTCAATTTCTACTTGCCAATTTGTGTCTTAATGAATACTCAAAGAGACTAACCACATATTCCATAGCTCCTGACTCTATTTTCTCCACTATTCACCACGACCAGCATCGACAGCGCCGCAACGCTGTTAGCTCGTTCTTCTCCCCCGCAAGCGTGCATCGACTGGAGAACATTTTGAAAGAGAATCTGGGCACCTTGCTCAAGCGTCTAGACCAACATGGTCGGGCGCAGGAGATAGTGCCAGTCCATTACATTTTCAAAGCCCTTGCGAGTGATCTGATTACGTACTATTCCTTCGATCAATGTCTGAATTTGCTGGATGCGCCCGACTATGGCAAAGTTGGCTTCGACGCTAGTGATGAACTATTTATGCTCACTCACATGGGCAAGGTGTTTCCCTGGTTGATGGGTCTGTTCACTAGCGCTCCCAGGTGGATTGTGAACATTCTGTTCCCGCATATGATTGACATGCGAGATCGTCGTGACGTGGGTGACAATTCGGTATTTATTCAAGTTCTTTTAGATTGACGAATATATTTGGCAGTGGTGGATTGATGCAGTGCGAGATATACGGCGCTCACCGGACCCTCAACGGATCAAACGCACGATTTTCGAGGGCATATTGAGCAGCAAGCTACCTGACTCAGATAAGACCGATGCCCGAATGGCTGGCGAGGCTCAGCTGGTAGTTTTTGCTGGCGAGGGAACGACTGGTTAGTTTTTGATCTCCACAGCAGTTCTCCTAACCAGTAAGATATACTGACGCTTAAACCATCTAGCATGGACCATGCATGCAGCTTTGTTTCAGATTCTCGCCAACCCGAGCGTCTGCGCTGCTCTCAAAGCGGAACTCAACACGCTGAACTCCCCCTCTGCAGATGGCGTGGCCGCTCTGGGTGAGGTCGAGGCTCTCCCTTATCTCAGCGCCATCATCCAGGAGACTATCAGATGCCACCCAGGCGTCTTGAGCCGACAGATGCGCGTCTCTCCTGAGGTTCCTATTGTCTACACTGATCCGGCCACGGCCATTGAGTACTCTGTTCCCCCAGGGACCGTGTACAGCATGTCTCCGATGGACGTGCACATGAACCCGGATTATTTTGAGGATCCGTATACATTCCGGCCTGAGCGGTGGAATGAGAACCCGAAGCTGTCCAGGTATTTTATTGGGTTTGGGAGAGGATCGAGAAATTGTCTAGGGTTTGTCATCCCCCCAATTGTCTACTAATCTCCAGTCGCTTGACTCCGTCGTTCTTTTGGAGTCTTCTTACAGGTGGAAACATCGGCCGCTAACGTACCTCGCTTTTGACAACACAGAATGGCTCTTGCGCGACGCGAGGTGGCTCTTACCCTTGCCACCCTGTTTATGAAGTACGACCGGTACAGCGGCCAGGATGGGCCCACGATGGAGCTGTATGATACCCTTCGTGCCAGGGACATCGATGCTACTCGGGAGTTCATTGCTCCGTTCCCGACTCCAGGTAGTCAAGGGCTTCGGGTGAGATTCCGGGCTTAGGGTAGATGTGCTCCGTCTATTGCATTGGCACAAATAACCTCAACTCAAGGGAGGGGAGGGGGTCATGAGGGAGACCACACTAGTGATTGTTGTCGTGAGAGTTATTATTGGGTGGTCACATTGTATCTGGTTCTTAGTCTAGGATTTTAAATACCTTTTTCAGAAATTTGCGAATGTGCATGAGTTGTAATGTTTAATTAATGCGCATTATCATGTAATCCATGAACTGGTAGAAAGATCCCTGACTCTTAGAAATTCTCTTCCATTCCTGCCACTTTTACCCAACATAGTCTCGGAGTCTGGACTAGTTTACACGACTTGCCCCTCAGCTTTTAGTAGAGAACCTAGCAGCAAATTATCTCCCTGTGGCAGTTTCTCAGAGATAAACGGCTCACTGATGCTGGCCGAGTACGGAAAGAACAATGCTCAAGGTCCGAGGCTGATAGTATATTGTGTTGTTCAAAGTCATAATTTGGCAACCCAAATAAACAGGAGAAATACACGTTTCCTTATTATCTGTATTAAGTCAATAAAGGGAGCGTACGACAAAAGGGAGAAATCCAAAAGAAGTGTCTAACAAAAACGAAGGAAGTATTGGTACCGGATGCGGCCAGGTTATACAGAAAGAAGAAAGAATGTTCAAGTTCAGGCGATATGTTTAGTCTTGCTTTCTGGGAAGAAAGCGTCTCGAGGATAATGATCAGACATCCGTATTCAGAATGCAGACTTTGTGTTGTTGCTGACACATTCAAACGACTCATTATCATTATAGATTGCTTTGGCAGGGTACGGACATAGAATTCGTTCTCTTTCTGTTCCATTGCCGGCACTGAAACGAACGGGCAGTGTCTCCGGCGCAACACCTTCCTCTACCCAACGGCGGAGAGCATCAAATGTCGTGAGTGGTTGTCCTCCCTTTCCTCCGGAGCAGTGACCCAGGCCTGGAGCCTCGAAATAGCGATAGTATTCCTCGGAACCTTTCGTCTGAATTGACTGGTCGGCCTGTGTACATGCACTGTGAGTTATGATGTTGAAGCCGTTGTGAGGAGAGCTGAGGGATAGTACAATGTACCATGCCATGGTATGAAATGACGTTTCCACCTGCTTTTCTAAAGTCGGTCAGATCGAGAGAGTCTGCATTCAGAAGACCAGTATATTCTTGAACATCACGGCAGAAATAGCATTTGTATTCAAGGGGAGTGAGTTTGCTCAAGTCAACGTTTACGTTTTTGGCCATAAATAGCCGGAATCATAGGTTGCTTGACTTGCTGTTGGTGTTATTCGCACTAGGATTGCCCCTAAAAGAGGTAATGTTAGACTCGCGGTTGAAGCCATACCACAGAAATTTGTCATTTACTGTTTGAGGCCCAGTCTAGGCCGCATTGGCTATTAAAGCAGCAGATTCGCTAACCTTCTGAATTCTTCTAGTAAATAAACAGTTAAATAATTTATCAATCACAAAAAAAGCATTATAATTATATACTATAGAATCGAAAATAATCTTACCGACAATATCATTATCAGAATCACAATATATAATAACTTGTACAATAATATATTTCACTTCACAAAATACAGAAAATACTAAAAAGTTAAACCGTTCTTAAACTAAAAAAAGATAACATATAGATATTATTAACGCTATAAAATATAGAGTCGATACAGAGACTACAATATTATGGTATATTATGAATTATCACTAAGTATAACGTAATCCACAAGCGAACCGCGGATACAATCGAACCGCGGATCCTCAATCAAGATTCCACCTTCTTTATTCAACACATCATATTTTCAACATCAAATGCAATATGCCTCTTTCTAAAGAATCGCGCATTCAAATAGCTATTTCAGCTTATCAAAAAGATCAAATTAAATCGATATTACACGCTGCACAGATTTTTGCAATTTTTAAAAATACTCTACACGATCAACTCCGCGGTGTAAAATCATGATCAAAAAAACACACCAATAACTATAAATTTTTTCAACTCGAAGAAGAAATTCTTCTTAAACAATTATTAGATGCAAATACACAAAGATTTCCGATTCAGTCTGAATTCCTACATAAAATGACAAAGATATTATTTCATTTGCATTTTCAAAATCTCACAACAATGATTGGAATTAACTAATTATATAATTTTACTAAACGCCATTCTCAACTACGTACACGATAACGTAAACCACAAGCGAGCCGCGAATCTGAGCGAGCCGCGAATTTGTATTCCCATACAAAATGGCACTTTTTCAACTTGGAATATCTCAGCCATTTCTATATCGCATAAAATATTATTAAAAACTAGGATTATATGAAACTACTTAATAATAATATACTATATTTTAATCTATTCTGTAGACTAATTATCCAGGTATTATAAATTACACTGTATTATAAATCTGCCTATGTATTTGAGACTCCCATAGGTTTATCTGTTATACAAAAAAAGTATTATACTACTTACCTATATAATACTTCAGGTCTTCAATATATTTTATTAAGATAGAGGTATGGCTGAGATATTCCAAGTTGAAAAAGTGCCATTTTGTATGGGAATACAAATTCGCGGCTCGCTCAGATTCGCGGCTCGCTTGTGGTTTACGTTACAGCAAACGGATTATATATCAACATGCGAAACAAGAAGATCCGAAAATTATAATACCATAATTTCAAACTATTCACAAGACTATTCAAAAACACAACATACACAAAAATGATATTTAAAATTTCGATGAAACTAACTTTGTAATGAGACTTTGTTCAGCTGCTAAAATTATTACTATAATAAAATGTAATAAACAATCACGCAAAATTATCCAAAATAATCATGAATGGATCACAATCATTGAAATCATCAATTCAAAAAACATACATATATCATCAATCATTATATTCAAAGCAAACAATCAATAAATCGCATGATTTTAAAAATCTAAGTTTGCTAAAAATTGATGGATTGCAATCAATCAAAATGACTGGACTATCAATAAAATAGATCTTCTTTGATTTAAAAAATGTCTTTGAATCCTTTTCTAAACGTTATATGATTGATGCAAAGCGCTTGTTTATTCTAAATGGTCATAGTAATCATTTGACTACTAAATTCAATGATTTTTGCATAAAACATGCAATAATATGTCTTTGTATGTCTGTTCATATTTTACATTTTCTTCAACCGTTTGATGTGAATGTTTTTGGTTCATTTAAAAAGACGTACAAGATATTTCTTGAAAAATGTATAATTACAAATAATAATCATATTGATAAAAAAGATTTTTTATTGTTATATCCGGACATTCAGATTCAAGTTTTTATTTTTATTAATATTTGCAATGATTTCACAGAAGCAGGATTTAAGCTATTTGATTAAAAATGAATTCTTTTTAAGTTTATTTTTCAATCATGTATATCAACACCATCATTGATTGAAAGATTAGTTTTCTTTATTTTTCAGATTTCACAAAATACTCATCAATTAGATTGAAAAATACGCAGTCTACAAAACAACCTTAATATTAAACGAAGACTTTTTAATAATCCAATTATTTATATTCAACATCTTGAAAAGATTGCTCAAATGGCAATGCAAATCAATCTTCTTTTACAGCAAGAAATTAAGATTTTATAAGTCGAAAATGAGCGAAAATACAAAAAGAAAACAAGAAGATATGTTCCACTAAAAAATGATATTCTTTTATTTGTACAAAAAGACCAAAATCGCATTCAATAGTTGAATACACAACTTAATAAATAATCTAAAGAATCTACTTCGATGTCTCGTCAACAAGCTTCTGCCCGCTACAATGACTATGAGATAATAGAACATATTATACGAAATTGCTCTAATAAATAGCTACTTTTCCATATATTTAGTTAATCAAATTTAATGGAGTTGATAGTTAAATAATTTCAAATAGTGATGGCCATGGCGAAGTATCCGCGGTTCGGTTGTATCCGCGGCTCGCTTGTGGATTACGTTAAGTCTTTGTCTTTCTCTTTAATAATATTCCGCCGTTGCTGGTGTTCAAGAACGCCGATATGGAACAGGCCGTGAAGTGGGCGCATGGCGGTGTCATGAGCAATTAAGGCCAGATCTGCTCTGGGACGAGTCACATTCTGGTCGACAAGGCTGTCTATCAGCAATTCATTGACGCTTTCAAGTCCTATACGAAAGAGACCAGCAAAGTCGGTGATCCATTCGCTGAAACGACCTTTCAAGGACCGCAGATCTCGAAAACCCATGGGATATGACAGAATTTTGGGTTATATCGATTCAGGCGTGAAGCAAGGCGCTCGGCTGGTCTTGAGAGGGTCCACTTGCAAGACAAACGGAGGAAAGAGATACTTTATCGAGCCAACGATATTCTGCGACGCCACGAGAGACATGGACATCTACCAACATGAGATTTTCGGTCCCGTTGTCGTCATCTCCCCGTTCGAGACCGAAGAGGATACCATTGAGCAGGCGAATGATTCTCCATTTGGGTTGGCATCTGCTGTGTTTTCTCAGAATATCACCAGGTGCCATCGTTTGGTTAAGATGATCGAAGCTGGAACGGTCTGGATTAACAGCAGCAACGACAGTGACTCGTTGACGCCCGTTTGCAGGAATGAAACAAAGTGGAATTGGGCGTGAGCTTGGTCAAGCCGGAATGGAGGCCTATTCTGTCATCAAAGCTGTGCATGTAAATCTGGGGGCAAAGCTTTAGATGGTTTATGTCATGACATATGATTATGGAATAGAGAATAGATAGAATAGAGCAGTCTTGGACATGAACATAAACTGTAAAGTGATCTATAATTTCCACACGGCATAACGACACCGAAAACATAGCTACTCTCATGTCTTCCTCACTCGATGATGCAAATTCGCCCCAAATTGAAGCAACATCTCGACACCCGCATCGAACCCAATTTCCACTGCCACATGCAGCGGCGTCCTCCCCGCCCCATCATACCCGTCGATGAGCCGCCATTCGCCCGAACATCGATCCAGCATGATCTTGAGCAGAGCGTCCCGACGATGCAGAACTGCCCAGTGGAGCACCGAGCGCTGGAGATGGTCTACCTTGCCCGCACAGGCCCCGTGGGAGAGTAGAAGCGCCACGGCCCGCTCGTGGCCCTGGATCGTAGCATGCATGAGTGGCGTCAGTCCGTCGCTGTCTGGATCGTTGCAGTCCATGTTCCGCTCCAAGAGAACGCGGATGATGCTGTCGTGGCCTTTTTGCACGGCCAGATGGAGTGTGCTTAGCCAGCCGTTTGTGTCATTGTCGTGGCGCTCTTTACCGGTTAAGTGGAGGCTGAAGCTGGGGAGTAGGGAGAGGTCTTGGTGCTCATTTCTTTGCGTTTGCTCGTGATCGTCGGATCCGACTCTAGATATTCCGTGCAGATAGCTGTCGCTGGGTGACATTATGATGTCTAGATCATTGGGAGACACGAAATTTGGAGTTGGAAGTCCTATCGTGCTGGGTAGGCTGAGACTGGTGGTTGATCCTGACGGGGTGTGCAGGGTACTGCTGGAGGCGGTCGTGGGTAGCGAGCTATTTGTATCCAGATACTGAAGGTCCAGGTCGACCGTAGACCCGTCGAACAGCGTAGAGAAGTCAGGGGTGGGCAGTGGGTCTGGCAGTGCAGGGGTCATGATGTCGAGATTGGGGCTTGCAAAGATACATGTTTGGCTTGGATTCGCGCTCTGCTGGCGTTGTCGTCCTACGATGCTTGGATCAAGGGTATCCCTCCGTCAGTTTAGGCGAGCTAATTTTGTGATTGATTTTTTTCTTCTTGTCATTTCCCGAAGGTGTCGTACTGACCACGAAACCGGCGCTGTGCCAGTCGATTCTGCATGCGACGGCGCTCTCGAGCTTCTTCTGAGCATTCGGTGTCTTTGGCGGGAGGCATGGCTGGTGATATCTCATCCATTACACACGGTGAGTTCTGGATAGTGAGAATCTTCGCGTCCATCCGCAGCAGCTTCAGTGCCTATATATGTACGCTTGCCATGCCGCGCTGATACTACGATCCGCTGGTGAAGTCAGAATCGGGGCGGAGGTTACTATGAGCCGAGTTGTTGAGAGAGAGGCAAAAATGAGCGACCAGGGATTGGCTGCAGGGGTAGACTTTGAGGCCAAATCTGCGCAATGGGCTTTCGTTAGCATGGTGACACTGCCACATGTTTGGCAACCCCAAGGTGCACGAGCGATAATGGCGTGCTCCGCGCCATATCAGTCGTATTCCATGAATCAAAAAGGAACTGGTGCGACAGGGGCCGGACATGGAATCGCTTCCTGGCAAAATCGGACACGGACCATTCTCCCGCGACCGAGACCCCCTGTCAAGAGATCGGAATCGTGCAAGAGGCCTCGCGAGGGGAAGCTGTGGGGTTTGATAAGCTTAGCCCGTCGTCTTTTAGCCGTCTTGTCTCAGGTGTTGTCATAGTGATTCATGCCTTTTAGTGCGACATTTGCCAGTCCCGTTAGCCGCTCAGTAGCCGTCCTTTTATTTCCGGTTATCTTCCACTGAAAGTCTGTTCTCGCGGCCTGTTGTGCACCTATATCGCTCTACACTCATCCGGCACTTTTCAACCCGAATACAGTGCTATCTCACGCTCTTCTGCAGCAGCCTAACACGCGTTGCCCGTGAGTCGCCATGCAGATGTGATGGGTTTGCGTGATAGGACTCACCTTTGGAGACTGTACTAATATCTGACATGCGCTGGTTGATAAATTTGACTTATGAAGCCACCCTGGGAGATTGTCAACGTTCGGCAAACATTCAGCCATTGAGATTAGATTTGACCATGGCGTGCTGTTGGGGTAAAATCCGCATTCCTGTGGGGTTGTTCGGCGCATTCCTACCGATAACGTAATCAACCACCGAGCGGCGGATACCATCGAGCGGCGGATTTTCACTCCAACCACCTCAAGCATCATTTAACGCGTCATTTCTTCGCATCAATCATATAAAATGCCACTTTCTCAAGAAGCTCGCCTTCAGATGGCTATACAGGCCTATAAAGGTCGAAAAATCAAATCAATTTCAAAGGCTGCTGAAGTCTACGCGGTGCCTGAAAAGACCTTACACGCGCGTCTTAAAGGAAGGAAACCACGCGCAGAAACACGCGCAAATGGTCATAAACTGACCGAATTTGAAGAGGAATTGCTTTTAAAGCAATTATTAGACGCAGATACGCGAGGATTTCCAATTCGACCTGAATTCCTACGTGGAATGGCTCAAACATTGCTTTGCAATCGATTACGAGATTCAACGGCAGCTCTCGGAATCAACTGGTCTTATAAGTTCGTTAAACGCCATCCTGAACTATGTACGCGATATACAAGACGGATTACCTATCAGCGCGCAAAGCAGGAAGATCCAAAGGTTATAAAACCATGGTTTGAGACTGTACAAGCGACTATTCAGGAACACGGCATACACGAAGACGATATCTGGAATTTCGACGAAACTGGCTTTGCAATGGGACTCTGCTCTACTTCAAAAGTGATTACTGCAGTTGAACGAAGTGAGCGACCGCGTAGAGTCATTCAGGGCAATCGCGAATGGGTCACAGTCATCGAGACAATCGGGTCAAAAGGCGTACATCTACCGCCAGTCATTATATTAAAAGCAAGCGTCCAACAGGCTGCCTGGTTCCAAGAACCTAAGCTTCCTCGCGACTGGTGGATTTCTACTAGTCAGAATGGCTGGACGACTGATGAAATAGGCCTTCTCTGGCTGAAAAATATCTTTGAACCGCTTTCTAAGCGTTATATGACTGGTGCTAAGCGATTACTTATTCTTGACGGCCATAGCAGCCATCTTACTGCTGAATTCGATGATTTCTGCAAACAGCATGCAATAATCTGTCTCTGCATGCCTGCCCATGCTTCGCATCTTCTTCAACCGCTTGATGTGGGTGTCTTTAGCCCGCTTAAGAGGGCGTACGGAAAGCTTCTTGAATATCGTATGAAAGTCGGCAATAATCATATCGATAAAGAAGACTTTTTATCGCTATATCCGGATGCACATAAGGAAGTCTTTACTTCATCTAATATTTACAGCGGTTTTAGAGGAACAGGACTTAAGCCGCTTAATCCAGAGCATGTTCTCTCTACGCTTACCTTTCAACTACGTACGCCTACGCCATCATTAGTTGAAGGCTCAATTTCCTCTGCTTTTCAAACCCCGCAGAATACTCGCCAGCTAGATCGAAAGGTTAGAAGCCTGCAGAACAGTCTTAATAAAAAACGGCAGCTTTCTAGCAGTCCTATTGCTCATATTCAACATCTTGAGAAAGCGGCGCAAATGGCAATGCAAACCCAGCTGCTCTTAGAGCAAGAAATCAGGGCTATACGCGCTGAAAATGGGCGACAACGTCAAAGAAAGGCAAGAAAGCGTGCTGAACTAGGAAATGACCGCCTTCTTAATGTACAAGAAGGCGAAAATCGGGTTCAGCAGCTTAATATGCAGTTTAATGAGCAACCTGAGGAATCTACTCCGATGCCTCGCCGACGAGCTCCGCAACGCTGCAGTGGCTGTGGAACAGTAGGACATACAATTCGAAATTGCCCTAGTAAATAGCTATCATTTCATATATTTATCTAGTTAATTTAAATGGCGTTGGTGGTGGTAAAGCTTCGAATAGTAATGATTGCGGTGAAAATCCGCCGCTCGATGGTATCCGCCGCTCGGTGGTTGATTACGTTATGGGGTGATGTGTCTTATATTATCTTTGTTCTTCAAAACCCCAAGCATGACAAATAATTACTAGTCACCATTAGCCTGGCCAAGTGATTCTACGAGTTACCAAGTCTAGCCTAGAGCCTCGGTGAACCCGACAGCCTAACCGCTTATCTAGGGGCCGCGCTACTGCAGATCTCCTGCTCAATGGCTCAATCCCTATTTGTTGACGCCTCGTATTGTACATTGCGCGATAGTTGGTATCTTTTGCCCGCGGTCTCCACCCAAGCTCGTCGTTGCCATTCGACAGAGATTCCATGTAAATAACGAGCCAAAGGATGACCGCAGGAGCCTCTTCCCAGTCGGGAAAATCTTCCATATCCCTAATGAGGGAGGGATCTTGCCTGAGGAAGGCTTGTACGGAGTGGAGCTGTTCAGTCGGTCGGCTGGACCGCTGGATGCGGCACTACTTAACCGTTGTCGGCGCTACTCGGTGTAGTGAGCGAGAGAGTTGAAACATGTTTCCCACACACAGATCACACAGTAGCATGAGGCCGTGGATCCCAGAGACTTGGAAAACTCTCGGAAGACGGACGGCCGTCGGGATCCTGGAGATTGGAGTTGGCTTGAACTAAACACATGCATCTCGCATTATCCCACCCGATTCAGATAGACGATCAAAGCTTGGGTCAAATTGTTCGTATTTTCTAGACTCCTGGCATTCATAGTCTACTTCGTGCCCTGTATGTCTATGAACTATTTGGGTAGTTGATCAGACCTCGACATCTCGGTACTATCGTGTCAGCTTCATCTCGATAATATCCCCTCGGTAGTCATTGAGAAAGCATACATCCCCTCTTCTTCATACTTCACGTAATCACAGCGCCATCACTCGTCAACATCTCATGTCCACAAGTAGCAATTAGTTATCTAGTACAACGGCCCGGGCCTAACGCTCGATGTGAAGGTGGGTCTATTCAGAACGGACAATAAGATCGACTGGCTCCAATTCGTGATGACCAGATAACGGTTGATATCGCATTGAGCCGCTTGTTCGCCACCACGATGAAGGGGCTGCTATCGACCAAAGACCCACAAGATTCGAGACCCAGCTAGACCTCGCCACGACCCTGATATCGTCAGATATCCTCAAAAAGATTGCACTCAGTAGATTAGATTTTAATCCAGTTTATACTTAGAACTTGGTTGCACTATTCTAATCCGGGAGGGTTGATATGCTACTCAGACCTCCCGCCAAATAATCGGATCATATCTCCTTCTTTGGTCACATTCGCTTTCTCGGGATTTGTAATACCGAGGCTCAGTAGGAGGGGATTTGAAAACTGGAAGTGGAAAATATCCCTAGTAGATCCGAAAAGAACGCATGAATATGAACATGGGAAATATCACTCGATTCCTCACATGGCTTCAACGCACTTGTGCAGATGAAATAGACACAGACAGTATGTTCGACAACAATTAGCAACGTCCATAAGACACTTTTCCGAAACAACATGCAATGCACAGATAGATAACCCTGACACCGACTCCCCACGACCTAGACAACAACCAGATATCAAACTCAAACATCGACAAAACACACCATAGTCACCACTGCGCTGAAAGAAAAAGAGAAAGCATAGAATTAAGAACACGACACAAAGAACAGCCACGCATGACAGACTGCTGAAGCCAAGCTAAGCAAGCTAAGCAGACTTCTTCTTGCGGCCGCGCTTGGGCTTCTCCTCCACGACAGGCTCGGGCTCAGGTTCGGCCTGGGCTTCAGCGTCACCCTCATCCTCCGCGACGGCCTTCTTCTGGCGTCTGCCACCAGTTCTAGTGCCGGCAGTGGCCTTCTTCTCCGGGGTTGCCTTAGCAGCGGCGCGTCCCTTACGCGCGGTCGGCTTGGCCTTGGATTTGGCAGGGGTGGCGGCTTCGCTGTCCTCGCCCTCACTCTCTCCCTCGCTCTCGACGACCTTCTTGGACCGACCGGCCGTTTTGGTCTTTTTGGCCTTGGGAGCTTCATCGTCGGACTCATCGTTCTTGGCCGCCTTGGCAGTGCGCTTCTTGGGTTTGGCGGGTTCCTTTTCTTCCGCAGGTTCATCTTCCTGGTCATTGTTAACATATTATGGGATATATATCGAAATAGGAAAATACCTCATCGGCGTTGGCCTTCTTCTTGGTCACACGCTTACGAAACCCGTTCTTGCCGGGTCTGTTCATCTCCACATCCTAACGGGACTCAATCAGCATATCATCAATCCGAAGCGCGGCTTAGAACAAAGGCTCAAGAGAACATACCCCCTTCCAATCTTCATCGTCAACATGGCCCTGCTCGACAGCCTTACGGACTTTATCCTGATGTTCTTCAGACAGGTCCTCGAAGCCATCGATGGTAGACAGTTCACCGTCGCCTTCATCGGCGATGGTTTCTTGCATGTGGCTGACGATCTTGGGCGTCACACATCCCCTGTATAGAAGATTAGCTTGGTTCTTGCATTTACTTTCACAAAGATAAGGCACAGTATAAATGACATACCAATGTCTCCAGAAAAAACTCTGGAATCGCTCGGTATCAACCCAAGTACCGAGGCGCAGCTCACCCTTGAGGATCTTGGCTTTGGCCTCCTTGCATTCTTTGTTCTGGCAGCCGGCTCGGCCAGTGGATGCTTCTTCTGTGGGGTTGTTAGTGAGGTCATTTTTCCAGAGCTTTTTAAACAATTTTAGGCATTGAAGATCGGCGAGTATAAAATGCAGAAGGTACAAAAACAATGAGATAACAGATAGAAAACTCGTAGAAGATAGAAACCATTGACATTGACAGTGAAGATGACGTTAGGCAGATGCGAACAATGCAGCTAGCAAACAGACACGACGGGATGGCAAACAGCCCCCCGAAAAGAACAAGAACCCCAACGACATCAATCGTTTCGCGGAAAGATGAACATCAAGCAGGATAGGTTCATCCATTTAATAAGAGAATGCAAGAAAAGAAACGAGAAGAAACTTACCCAGACGATAAGAAGGCATATTTGTTGGCGACTCGCGCGTTGCTTCGGGTCGCGGAAAAAAGAAAGGAATGAAAAGTGCTCAACACTGGCTGACGCAATTACAAATTCGACACAACGATATACGTCGTAGAATAAACTCGAACTGAATAGAAACTATCAACGAGACAAATGAATAACCCCAAGATGGGTGGAAGAGAAAGAAAGAAAAAAAGGATGGATGGTTGAAAGACGGGGGAGGAGAGGGAGGAGAGAAGAAAGAGAAGGAGGAAAAGGCGGAAGCCGACCGCGGTACGGTTGATCAACTCAACCCGCAACGAACGATGTCGGTCTCAACTGCATGTGTAATGGCGATTATTGCGGTCGCTATAACTGTTTACCTCATGTTGTTCTTGGCTACGCGGCTTTTAAGTCTCTTCAATCGCGATTTTCTTAAGACCTGTCTTATGTTTTTTGGTCGAGCAAGAAGCTAGGTACAATACTAAATGGCTGCATATCGAAGAAACCATAGATTCAGCAACCACACCTGGTGTCTTATATAATTTTTAACCGTAAAAAGCACAGATAGAACCTAACAAGCGGCTTGGGCACTCTGGGTGGACTCAATGCGTTCCAGAGCAGCGATGTGCTTCCGCAGCATGACCACAGCCCCCAGACTGAGACGCGGGATAAAGGCCGATGCCACGTTCGTGTCATCAAGCTCATCGCTGGGCGCCGTACTATTATGGTGCTCGATCATTTTTAGGCCTTCCTTGATAGATTTGCGCAACAACTGTGGCCGCACGTTGTCCCCATCCTGCGGTGTCGAGGCCGGAAGGTAGTGCTATGTCAAAACATCCTCCATGCCAGCGACAGGATGCTCAAGCGCACGCTGGATAAACTTGCGGGTCGTCAAGAATGTCTTCTCTGTGTACTGCATGGACTGGATGAGCTCATTGCCCCCTTCCGCAAAGGCCTCAAAGCCAGGTTCGTCTGGTGAGAAAAAGGTCAGTACGAATGAAACTATTCATATTAATGAAAGATTGGAAGCAACATACTGTAAAATGGTGCCTTTACCAGCACAAGTCCCATAATAGACACGATAATTTGCAAGACCGTTGAATTGGCAGCTGACCAGCCTTCCTCCGGATTCTTCGTTGCCCACGTCCCCAGGATACTCAGGCAAATCTTTCCCTCCTCATACAAATTTGGGTTGATCCGTCCGGAGTTGTTGGTCCACGAGTGGAAGAAGCATGTCGGAGGCGAGTCTGGGAAGGTATTGGGGAAGTGAAAGTCAATAACAAACGGTGCATACTCATACGGTGTTCCCTGAGGGCCGATTATCAAAACCCGCAGGAGATCAACCCTCGATTCCCAAGCTCGCACGGCTATGCCTGGGGGCAGTGAAGAGCGGAGAATCCCATATTCTTTATGAATTCGTTTGACGATCATACCGGGACTGCCTACCTGCTCGGTTAAGAAATGATGATCTGAAGGAGGCGTACCTTCTAACACCGCGAACGCTGGAGGGCATCCTGCTGATGAAGAGGACTGAGTAGCAGCTTCTCCCAAGACTGGAGACGTCTCTGTAAGATCCATACAATCTTTAGATTCCTTCTTGGTTTCGGGACCCTCGGGGGGTATAATGTTAGCGGTCATAGGTGCCTCGAATTGACCATCGCTGAGCTCATGAGTTCCGCCATCGATTTCAATCTCCGCGTTGGTACCGTCCTCGAGGTTTTCATTATTGCTATCTCCATCCATCTCGGTATCTGATCCTGTGGAGAAAAATTGTTGAATTCCGTTTAACGCAGACGGATCAATGGTAGGGTTATCGGAATTCAGGATTCCATCTAAGAGATCACAGACAAAATTAACTAGACTATTGATCCGAAGAGAGGCAGCAGCGGTATCGGGCGTTGGGAAGACCTTAGATGACATCGCATTACTGTCAATCACCAGCATCAGCCTCTCTAGCGAGACACGGATATCACGGCAATGGTTAGCAGCAGCTAGCCGGACCGTAATAAGTCCGTCAGTGTCTATGGAAACAATCTTTCCGAAAAAGCTCGCTTTGGAGTTGGCGTTGAAATCCGTGTGACCAAAGTCAATCTGCGAAGGCACGGGAGCGGTATCGATGGAGACTGAATCCCTGAACCATGCTGTGTGTGCGATGCTCATCTTCATAAACTCAAGATAAAGCGACGTTTCGGAGAATGTGCTCGGCATGATGAAGTCCATTTTACAGAGGCCCGCAGACGCCCGGTTCATATTTTCGTCGTAAAATGGCAATGTGGCCTGGTGGACGGTGTCAGGAACAATAAGCACCTTATCGTCAATCAAAGGGTTTAAGCACGAGTAGGCAACGAGCTCGTAGATAGACACATCTGTCACATCCGAACCGAGTATTCCGAAAGACGAGCTAGTAGTCATCATATTGCCTTTATGCGTAAGCTCTATGTCCGGGGTTTTGTACCATTTGACGGAAGCTACTCTTTGACCGCCATCAACAGTTTGGACTATGCCGACTTTCTTTGGCCGATAACTTGCCACCATGGCCTCGGATTCATTAAGATGCAAAGGTATAAGCTTGGGAGGCGGGGGCTTATGGAGTATCTCTATCGATTCTTTCAAGGCGACCACGGTCCCAGGCCATAATTCATCCACTTCATCGAACACACGTAAACTCGTGGCATCTTCGACGGTGGTGCTACCGTCTTGCCATTTAACAGTGACCTCCGTTTGAGTAGACATGATGCGTAGGAGGTTCAGGTCGTATCCGAAGGACTCATCGGATGAGATGCGTCGGTACATGGGGTATCTCTGAGTCGCATCCGCAGGGTCGCGAAACCGAACCAAGTCCCCGGATTCAAACCACATGTCAGCTCTGACAGTTTTCTCTTGGGACAAGGAGCCTTCAGGCAACTGGCCAAAATCACACTTCACAGCATGTTCGTGGATTGTGGCAGCCCCAAGCCTCTCACTGCCGGGACCCCAATAGGGCGTGCCCACAGCGAAAACGTTCGGACAGATCCAATCGATATTGTAGCTTGTTGCAGTCGTGGCCAATATGTAGCCCTCTGGCGCAGCACATGCGTCTGTATCCAATTCCAGGTCGTTTTCATTCAGGTTAGTTGCAGCCGTCATAACATACTGGCCGGGAAATGCTGGTTCCCCTTTTGTTGACCAGATGTATCGGCCATCAACCAGAGAATACGTATGGATTGAATCAGGGTTTTCAGGCATCGCTACAATGTCTTGCTCACTACTAAACATGGGAGTTTCAATGCGGTTGTAATCGTGAACTGAAATGACTTTCTGAACGGGAAGCAGCAAGACCGCTTCGCGCTCAACAGACTTGACTTTTCCGACTTTCTCCCGATAGATGATAAAGTCATCTTTGCAAAACGGCTCATATCCGGTAAGCTCTGCCATTGGCACGTCATGTAGCTCTGGAGGGCCGTCATCACTCGAATCCACAATTGATGGCCAGACGGCGCAACCGCTGGGCTTTTCCGAGAATTTCAACGGGCCGTGGTCTCCAGTTTGCGGATCGAGTGGCTGATAGGCGATCGGCTGGAGATTACATTTCACCGACGCGTTGATGACCGTGCCAGCAAAAGGACTCTGGAGGTTTTCCTTGACGCGGAAGCCTATCTCAAACATCCGGTCGACGAGCTCGAGGTCGTCTTCATGGATGAGGGAATTTCCATGGCAGAGCTTCACAAACTCGACGAAGACATAACCCCTTGGTGGCTTTGGATAGTTAGCTACCTGATCACCAGGAAAACTGTAAGGGACAACAATAGCATAAAGGCTTTGGTACACACTCTTTGAGTCTGCACAAACGCAGTAAGAACATCCTTCGGTACGGAAGTATGGCACAAAACCAGGCCTTCTGTCCGAGCCTCCTCGTCGGCCTTGTCATAAGTTAGTTTAGAGCAGCCGGAATTAGAGAGCGAGGCAGCAGACCTCGTAATAAGTCCGCTATCGATTCTAGATTAGCTAAAGCCTTCCCTCAGTTAGCTTCACTTGATCTCCCACTTACAATGACTGTTCCCAACAAATGAGGCTTTCCTTTCACATGAACGACGTCACATGTATCAAACTGTCATGCTTGTTAGCTTTCATACAAGTCAGATAGTAGCAGATACACTGACTGACCTTTGTAGCGGCCTGCATATAGAAGCCATAGCAGCGAACGCCGGGCCACGACAGGAGGCCAGAGGGCTAGTAGGTCGGTAAAAGAGAGTAGAATGGAAGTGGAAACCAGCTGTAAGCAGCACGACCAGAAGAGACCCAAGAGCGGAATGGAAGATTTATGAGAAGTGAGGCAGAGAAAAGGAGAACGCGCGCAACACCCTAGTGACATGGACAGTCACATGTTTAGGTATGTACCTTGTCTAGCCCAGGCCTTAGCGTAATTTATTTATGACGGGTCAATATCGATGGATAACAAAGAACAAAGAAGATGGTAGGTACCTCTGCGTGTTGTTCCTTTAGGAGAGTGACTAGGTAGAGTTATGGGCCAATGATGTTAGTGATCGGTAGGCGCCTGGCGGAGTCCCGAATTAAACTAATTTTGCCGGGTGGTCGCATTCCGGTTTGATCATTTCGCCTCTTCGTTTGCACTCAAAAGGAGCTGCTGCGACGGACGACGATTCTTGGTTAGCGCAAGTACGCGTGTCGGGCTTCAAGTTACACCATCCTACCTTGCCTGAAATCAAATTCATCAACCCAAGAATCGCGATTCTACGTGGTATCACCAGCGCAACCAACCAACCCATTCACCCCAAACCAACCCCCTCCCCCCTTTCGACCAACAAACCTCTACCACTTCCAAGCAAACGAACAAACAAATTCAAACGAAAATGTCGGAACCCGGCCCCGAATCGATCCCCACCAGCGCCGACCCGCGCAGCAAACGCCCCGTGAAACGCCGCGCCGTGACCGCGCAAAACGAACAAGCCTCGAAGATCGAAACCCTCTTCAAGGACCCCTCGAAAGAAATCCGTCTGCCAGGGACCTCGCTCCAAAAGACTTCTGCGTCGCTTCCTGCCCCGCCGGAGATCGTGGCCAACGTGCAGGGTTCCTCGGCTGGTGCCGGTTCCGGCGAGTTTCACGTTTACAAAGCGAGTCGGCGGCGTGAGTATGAGCGGCTGAGGTTGATGCAGGGCGAGGTGGATAAGGAGAAGGAAGACGAGGAGTGGGATAGACAGAGGGAGGAGACGAGGAGGAAGGATGAGGAGAAGACGGAGAAGAACCGGCGAAGGAGGGAGAAGAAAAAGAATGCGAAGAAGGGGGGTAATGGGGATAAGGCGAAGGGTGAGAATACGATGGCGACGGATTCGACTGGAGGAGCTGCTTCTGGGGATGGGGAGGGGACTACAGGGGAAACTGCACAGGCGGAGGAGACGCCGGGTCTGATCATTCATGATGATTAGGGGGTTGCTGGTTACGACCGAACAATACTACCAGACTGTACTATCCAGGATACAGTGTACGATAGAAGATACCCATGTAATTTTGAAGTCTAGGATATACAAAGAAGATCCAAAGGTTAATCGTGCAGCATTAGGTACGCATTTTTATTCCTGTATCTTGTTCTCTTTACTCATCGCCACCGCCAGCGCCAGCACCCATTTGCTGGGCGCTCTTGCCGCTGCAGATGTCGTCAACACGGAGAAGCAAGCACGCGGACTATCCAAGAAGTTAGTGGTTGTAAACAGTAGCAATATTGATATCAACTTACCTCAACAGCAGTCTTGATGCTCTGGAGCTTAACCGCCTCGGGTTCCCACACACCGTACTCCTTCATGTCGACCAGGTTACCCGAGTCACCGTCAAGACCCCATGTGGTCTCGCCCTCGACGTGCTTGGCCCTCATACGGGTCAACACGCGGATAGGGCTCGCGCCGGCGTTCTGTGCTAGTGTTCGGGGAATGACTTCCATGGCATCGGCCACGGCCTTGTAGGGCCACTGCTGGACACCCTCGATGCTCTTGGCCAGCTGGCTCAGCTTGACGGAGACGGCCATCTCGATGGCACCACCGCCAGGGGACAAGCGGGGGTGGAAGATGACGTTGCGGGCCACGGCCATGGCGTCCTGTAGGTTCCGCTCGACCTCGTTGATGATGTCCTTCGAGGGACCGCGAAGGATGATGGAGCAAGCCTTGGGGTTCTTGCATTCCCTGAGGAAAGTGAAGTATTCATCACCGATCTTATCGATTTCGAACAGTCCGCAGCCGGTTCCGACGTCGGATTCCTGGAGGTCGTCGACACGGTTGACGATGGTGGCACCGGTAGCGCGGGCAATACGGTTGTTATCCGTCTTCCTCACTCGGCGGAGTGCGGTGATGTCGGCCTTCACCAGATAATGTTGGGCGAGATCTGCCGAATGGTTAGAGGGGGGGGCGGGAGGAGACGAAAACGAGAAAGCAATAGTTCCTTACCAGAGACACCCTTTTCGGTGATGACAACATCGGGCTTCAAGGCGATAATAGCATCACACATGTGCTTGACCTGCTCCTCTTCAATCTGCAAAATACGGTTCCAGTCGTCCTCCTTGGAAACCTCGATGTTGGTCTGAGATTCACCCTTCTTGTACTCCAACGGGCAGTCCAGCAAGACGACGCGGGGGTTCTCGATCCTTCTTCGCATCTTGGGGTGGGTTATATCTTTGGCAATGCAGATCCCCGAGATGACTTCGCTTTGCTCAATCTGACCACCGGGGATCTTCTCAATACGGGCGTACCGCTTAATGTCAACCTCCCGCTTGCCACCGCCGGCGTCGAAGGAGACCGTCCGGACAGCCTTCAAGGCCAGACTGCACATCAGCTCCGACCATCTGGAAGAGAACTTTGTTCCGATCGAGGATTCGATGAGGGAGTACATGGCCTTGTCGTCGTCGATATCCACGGGCACCGAGACCTCCTCCACAATTGCAAGGGCGTCGGCCAACGCACGCTTGAAGGCCGAGATGATGACGACGGGGTGGATGTTACGTTCGAGCTGGGGGATAGCCTGGGCAAGCATTTCACCGGCTTTCACCGTCAGCGTGTAACTACCAAAGCCAGTGCAAGGCGGGGAATACCAAGAATTATAACCGTCGTGGTTCCGTCTCCAACTTCCTCGTCTTGGGTTCGGCTGAGCTCAATCATGCTCTTCGCGGCGGGGTGCGACACCTCGATTTCTCGGAGAATGGCGTGGCCGTCGTTGGTCAAGACAATACCTCCCATCGGGTCCAAAAGCATCTTCAGCATAGCCTTAGGTCCCAGGCATGACCGGATAATATCTGCAACACTGTAACGATGACCTCCACGTTAGAATCGAGAGCGGGCGAACTGTATGATCAGGTGGAATCCCACGTACGTCTTTGCGGCGGTGATATTCGACATCTGCGCTTTACGACCAACCTGTCTTTCACCACCATTAGTATTCATGACGAGTACTGGGGCCTGCATGGTTGCGGTATTCTGTTCTCAATGTTCTTCAAAACGACGAGGACAGAGGAGCAAGGAGAGGCTGTCGTATAGGAGAGGATTGGATTTCAGTCCTATCAAAAAGTTACCGAAGGTGGGAGGGCCTGAAGTTCCCACCGCCCGCGAATCTCCTTTTGGCTTAGCGCGTTTTTTCCGCCGCCTTTCTACAGGTACGGCTTCATCTTTCTTCCATCTTCCATCTGCCATGAATATCTGTTACATGTTCTCCGTAGCTGAACCTTGTTCGTCCCTCAATCTGAATACATACTCATTTACAGAGCATCAAAACATCAATTTCCATCGCAATCGAACTCCAATCTTTGCCAGAAGGGAAAAAAAAGACCCCAATCCAAAGCCCTACAAGACGTACAGACTTCAACTTCAGCAAAATGTCAGCCTCTCTCACTCCTTAACAGCATGCTCATTCTCTGAAAACTCTTCTTCACCCGCACTCGCACAGCGGACATGATCGTCTTGCGAAACTGGCCCCTCTTGCCCCCTCGTTGCTGTTGCATTTTGTCCCCATTCCCTGCTGCCAGCACATCAATCTCCGAGACATGCTCCGCGGCGAACTTCTCCTCGGGCACCTCAACTCGTCTACCACCATTGCATCTCGCCAGCGCATTCCTCTCAAAAGACCCCACGCAGCCGAGCAAGGCGTTGCGTTCTGACATTGTCCTGCCATAATAGCGCCCCGACAGAGTCGACATGCTGTGCTCTTCGTCAGCTGTGTAGGCTGCTGTCGTTTCATCTGGGCCCTCGCGCTCAAACATATCTGCATCCACGTCCACCATCTCTCTTGTCCCTCGCGACATACTCGTCTCCTGATCTGTCGACATGCGGGCCATCACGTTCCGAACCCATCTGTCTGCGTAGTTACCGTTGGTGCGAGGGGTGCGTGGACTTGTGCGTATGACCATGGTCATGTTCATGTTCAAGTTCACAGCTAAAGCCATGTTTTCCGGTCTCTGGCTGAATCGACGGACTCGCTCGCGTTGGATCTCGCGCATCGTGCGTTGCAGATGGACAGGAAGCTCAGCCATGGCGGCTTCGTCGAGATCGAAGAGCACTTCTTCTTCGTCTTCGGTGGAGGAGTCGTCCGGGTGGGGGTTCCACGGGCGAGAGGCAGCGCTGGAGTCTGAGCTGGAGCTGGGGCTGGAGACGCTAGATGGGTATTGGAGTTGGCTTGTCATGGTGGTGATGTGGATGTGCTTTTGAATTTGTTTGCGGTCGTAAACTTGTTTGTAGCTTAGGTGTCTAGTCCCATGCATGAGAGTGTGGTTGGTTTATGTTGGGTAGGGAGTGATCAGAGATGCAGTCATTGGGAGCTGGCTGGTTTGGGGACCAGGTAAGTAAACAAACAGGTTAGTCTGCAAGCGACGACATAAGCAAGATTTGCTGAGACTCATGTTGATGTTGACGCAAAGCACTCACTGTGCGTATATCCTCATTGTGTCTGGCATGCAATCAAGCGGTGGCACATTTGACTTCTCACCAATGGAACATACAGGTAAACCACAAATTATGATTGTGGACTGTAGAAGGAAGAGATGAACCTTGTATACTCTGAGTTGTCTTTGTGTGGGCGACAACAACAGCTAGTACGAATCCACCTGCACTGTTCAGAGCACATCAACCTCAGTAGTGCCGAGAAGCACATGGAGAATCCTGCTGTGCAGTCGTTTTCTACTAGAGTTCACCAACTTCTCCAGACTATGTGAAGACCAAAGTAAAAAAAAAAAAAAAAAAAAAAAAAAAAAAAAAAGATTCTGAACCTGTCTTTATTGGTCGATTGTATAGTACATGAATTAAATAATATATCAAAGCTAAAACGTTCTCACAACGAGGGACCCAGACCAAGCACCTTATCACCTCTCCACACCAAAAACACCTCACACAAGCCACGAATCTAGAACTCCCGACTCTCTCCAATATCACATACATCAAAGACCCCCTCTTCCGGGATCTCATGTTTCTTCAAAGCCTCCTTCAACAGCTTCGGAGGCTCCAGAACATCTTCCTCGGTCAGGACCCACGTACCCCAGTGCATGCCCAGCGCTCTGCGACACTTGGTGTCCTGGAAGATCTGAACTGCGTCATGCGGATCCGCGTGCATGGGACTCATGAAAAAGCGAGGCTTGTAGGCGCCGATCGGGATCAAGCCTAGGTCGAAAGGACCTCGGTGCTGGCCAACTTGTTTGAAAGCAGGACATGATGGGAATGTATATTCCTCGGCGTGGTCGTCGACGTGATCAGGTAGTTCCGGGACGGTTCGATATCCGGTGTCCCTATACCCAGAAACAAATGTCAGCCATGGCGATGTGGGAAAACGTCGAAGAGGGCTATCCACGTACCCAGCGAAATATACCTTGCGGCCTCCGGATTCAACAGACCACGAAGCCCACAATGTCTTACAGCGATCAAACAATCCTCGGTTGGTCGTATGCTGACAGGGCAAACAGCTGATGCGCGCCTGGATATCAGCCGGGCCTGAGCCAGTGCTCGCACCAGGTGCGCTCACTTCCGTCGCCGACGTCTCCAACGGGGAGAGAGAAATATCGCGCTGCTCCCACCAATCGAGTTCCGTGACGTTATGGATGCCCGATTCGGCAAACCATTTCTTGTTGCCGAGGGGGGCGAAAAAGTGGCAGTTGGGATGGCGTTTCGAGATCTCCTTGATGGTCGGGTAGGACAGATGATCGTAATGGTTATGCGAGATCACCACCGCGTCGATGGTCGGCAGATCCTGGATCGCGCAGGGCATCTCGGTGTAACGTTTCGGACCTAGCCACGAGAACGGGGAACACCGATCCTCAAACACAGGGTCGAACAAGACCCGAAGCCCGCCGGGGAACTCAACGTAGTAGCAGGCATGGCCTAGCCAGGTTGCGCGCAGGCCGGGGGTTTCCCGCGAGGATAGGAACTCTGGTTTTTGAACGGGCACAGTTGGAGGCGTTGTGTCTGGTCGATGGCCCTTTCCGGTGATTTGACGACTATACGGACATTAGACAGTATGGTCAGATCAAGGATGACGCGATCGGCTACCTAAGTAATTTCAGGATATTCTGGAAAGTCGGTCCTCCTGTCCAAGAGCTGGCAGGCGATTAGCTTAGAGCTCATTTGAGCGCAGCGCAGCACACCAAACTCACTCCCAGGGATTGACGTATCCATTCGAAGCATGATGGCTCTTCTCCTTCGCATCTTCGGGGCCCGCGGAAACCGGAGGCACCGACACCGTGATGGAATATAAAATAGCAGCAGTAGAGGAACTCATTGTGCGTCTTCCAGCAGATGAGCTTGGCAAAGGAACCGACCGACGGAAGCAATGCCAATGACGAAGAAACGATCGCATGCTGGTCTAGAACCGGCGCAGGCGTTCCTTAAATACCACAGAGTCGCAGGCAGGACCGAACAGCGACAACGACAACGTCACCCACGTGGATGCCTCCTGGGCGATGGCTCAGACTTTTCTATCTGCAAATCACCGGTCAGAATGAGCGACAAGGTTCTTGACAGCTCGTGTCAGCCAGATTTAAGAAAAGAATTCAATCGCCGCATAAGTCCGGACGAGTCCTAACGCCGTAAACTCCGAGCCGTTGTCTTGTTGACAAGTTGGTGGTAGGAGGTCGGAAATCAACACAAAGAAGATGTGACAAAGGGCTATACAGCAATGCAATTGACAGATCAATATTCAATGCTCTTTCATCCAGGAGCTGGTTTCGTAGAAAGTGACAATTGATCCTCTCATAGTATGGACGTGGGATGATGCATCTCGGCCCGACGTAACTCCGTCTGGCCGATAAGCCGCCGGAGAGATGTTTCTTTCTCCCATTGACGTATGAGATATCCGCACTGCCTCTTGCTTGAGACTTGGGATGGACCCGAATGGATCGTCAACGGGGCTGCCTGTGCCTGGCGATCTGATCGCCCAGCGAAAAGATGCGATCCAGGCAGCAGCACAGCCGACAGGAGAGGGAGACGGACTCTTTGCTCAGCTTACCAACAATCCGTTCTTCACTGCGGTAAGCCCCATGCGCTACTAGCGTCTTTGTGATGGCAGTTGAAACTAAGTGCAGCTTCGTGGTAGGGATTCGGTCTCGCTGGATTAGGAGCAGGTCTGAGTTTTGCCCAAAAAGGTGTTCGCCATGGCGCCGCGCTTCTTCGCCGGCGCATGCTTGTCGACGTCGAAATCAGCATCAAGGACGATTCGTATCCGTGGTTCCTGCATTGGATGACCCTCTACCAACAATCACAACTCAACACGGCTCGGTCTGCCGCCAGCAGGTCTGGCTTCGTGGAATCCATGCTCCAGAAATTGACCCCCGGAATGCGCCACCTCTCCATTCAAACGCAGAAAGTCGAGCACGCCAACGGGTCGATGCATACCCAATTCGCGCTGGTTCCGGGTCCCGGGAAACATATCCTCCGCTACAAGAATGCGTTCATCTTCGTCAACCGCATGCGCGAGAACAAGTCGCAGGATTTGCAGACGGGTCGGCCGTGGGAGACGATTACCCTGACCACGCTCTACTCGCACCGTCATATCTTCGAGGAGCTGTTTTTAGAGGCACACGCGTATGCCGCGCGATCGCACGAGGGGAAAACATCGATATATAACAGTTGGGGCACTGAGTGGCGGCTTTTTGGTCAGCCGCGGCGGAAACGGCCCTTGGAGTCGGTGGTTCTGGACGAGGGGGTCAAGGAGCGGATTGTGGAGGACGTGAAAGACTTTGCCGACAGCGGGAAATGGTATTATGATCGCGGAATTCCATACCGACGCGGATACCTGCTCTACGGCCCGCCAGGAACCGGGAAAAGTTCGTTCATTCAGGCTCTGGCTGGTGAGCTGAACTACGACATTGCCATCTTGAATCTGAGCGAGCGAGGTCTGACGGACGACCGATTGAACCATCTGCTGACCATCGTGCCCAACCGCACCCTGGTCCTGCTTGAAGATGTCGACGCTGCGTTCTCGAACCGACGAGAGCAAACCGACGCGGACGGATATCGCGGCGCCAACGTGACCTTCTCTGGTCTGCTCAATGCCTTGGACGGCGTTGCCAGCGCCGAGGAGCGAATCATCTTCCTCACCACCAATCACGTTGAACGACTCGACCCGGCTCTGGTTCGCCCCGGACGGGTCGACATGACCGTGCGTCTTGGAGAGGTGACTCGCTACCAGGTAGGTTGTCTCTGGGATCGCTTCTACAGCGAATTGGACACCACGGGGGCATACCGACAGGCCTTCCTCGATCGGTTGCACGATTTGGGACTTATCGAAAACGAGCAAGGCGAGAAAGCCGACCGAACCAAGAGCACCAGCGCGGCCGCTCTGCAGGGACTATTTTTGTACAATAAGGGCAATATGGAGGGCGCGATCGCAATGGCCGAGGGGCTTACGGTTAGCCTACATGACGAGGCGATGGAATAGAGCCATATGACATGGCGATCACTGTATAATATTATGAATTTCTGTATGAATATATTATTAGTCCTGGGATTGTAGATGTGACTGTGCTTGGGGAACCGGAGGACGCCAATCACCGGCCTCGACTGTCTCTTCACCATCACACTGACACAACACCCTCAGACAGGCTCTGGCCAGAAGAATATGCGTATTTCAAATGCAAATCCCGAAGTTTATATCAGACACTGACGGTGGTTGTCTAGTCTATTTGAAACGCCATTCGACCGAGTCGGTGAGTGAAGGGCTCAATCAAGGCAATGCGACCGTCCATCTTCTTCACGGCGACCTACTTTAGTTTATCAATTTTCCTAGCGTCATCCCTTCGACAAATCACCTTCTCGGGTTCAGCAGTTTTCCAAGCGCCGCTAAGCAGGCCCTGCCGTCTCTTGTGTGCCTCCGGGGTGTAGCTCCACCAGCAGCCAGCGAGAGGTCGAGCTTAAGCGCCGACCTCAACAATCGGGTCCAGCATGCAGCCCATGCCTGTTCTTCACACTAGGCCGAGCCTCTCACCGTTCAGATCCTTGACGCCTTCGCTCTGATAGGCCTCTTCGGTGTTTTTTTATAGGAATCCTTCAGGCCAAGATGTGCGACCATGAGGGGTATATGTCACACTCATTTCCGTGCTTGATATCTTTTCTTTTTCTACCCGGACTATGTCGTGCTGGATATATTTCTCCCCTCGTGTTGAATGCCCACGGGTTACTTTCCATTCGAACTGGTTCTACGGGTTGCAGGACTCACCATGAGCCAATTTCAACTATTTCCACCTCCTTCGCCCACGAAGGTCTCGAAGAATCCTTTTCGTAGGGAGCTCAGGCGACAAACCGAGACCATCAAGCCTGCCAGCCCTATTCCGCTGGAGGACCTGAATAATAAGAAACCCAACACAGAGGCCGTGCTCCTTCAGATCATCGAAGATACGAATGACATTAAACCGCCGCCAAAGGCTCGCATCGCCAAGTCAAATGCAATTTCTGCCTCGGAAAAGGTTCCGGAGAAGTGGTCAACGAGATCGCCCTCCAAGGCCAGCTCCCAGAAGACACCCGAATGGGATATGCCGTCGAAGGAAATCGAATTGGACTCGCCAGCAGGGAGCAGCTCACGCTCTGTCCAGAAACCTCCGCAACGCTCTGAATCACCGGGGATCCCAATGAAGTCGATGTTCCCTCGGTACAACCCCAATGTGCCTCTCATCGAGCAGCAGTACTATCCGGGTGCCTCCAGTCAAAGTTCCCGGTCTCACAAGCCCAAAGATCTAACACTGTCGCCTCAGCCGGAGATTGATCGTGCTTTGGGGCCCAAGACGGTGCCAGCCAGTGTGATGAACTTTCCATTGGGTGCACTTGATCCGGCAGACGAAGTCCACTATTCCTCTGCTGCAGAGCTTCAGGGTTTGTGGGAAGCTGCCAATGGCCAACGACCTCAGGAGCTCTCGGGGACTTTCAATCTGCGCATGGCACGGTCAGTATGCCTATCTCTACATTCGTATAAACTACTAACAAGACCAGAACTGATCCTGCCACCTTCACATTCGGTGAGCCCCAATCACCGTTCTACACCATGCAGACGTACTCCACGGACGAGCTATTCATCACTCGCATCAACCCGTCCAACGCCAGCAGCAGCGTTCCGATCATGATGCTCAAACTCGAAGACCGTGGTCGTCGCCAGCCGCCCAACGACGGGCTCGTCTCGCGTCTCTTCTCCCGCCTTGCCGCCATGCTCGCCATCGAACAAGCCCAAGAGCTGACCCGACAACATCGGCTCGGACCCGTCGAGGCCGCCGAAGTCGAAGGCGACGCTCTCAAACGCGCCGCGGCTCAGGAATCCTGTCGTCTGACCTGGAATCACACCCAGCAGCTCTACGAGCTGCATCACCCATCTCTCGCAAAGCCCCAACCGCCGGCCCTCGTCGGCGCCGTCGGCATCCCACTCTCTCCCGCACCGTCCAAATACTCGGGGACTCTTCACATCAGCATCTCGACGCCATCCCGAGACTCCAAACATCGTCACAACCAACAACCGCCCACCATCCTCGTCACGACACCGTTACCTGCCAACGCCGTCGAGTCCGCCAACGTGGCCGCCACGCCGCGCACCTCCACCCTCCCACTGACCGACTCCGACGACCCCCTAGCCTCGCTCGATCTAGGCACCATGACCCTGTCCATCTCCGCCGCCGCCATCGTCACCATCATCCCATCCCTGTATGCCATTGACTCACTGATCAGCGCGATGCTGGCCGTCGCAGTATCCGACCAATCGACTAATCCGATCCTGGCCGACATGCCACTCTACGACCCACACTCCTCCCACACCGAGAGCCAACACTCCTCATTCTTCCACGACGCCCGCTTCACTGGCAAATTAGTCGCCACACTCGCCGAACGCGACGACACCGAACAAAGCAATCAACTCATGGCGCGGATCCGATCCGCGTCGTCTGCGCGCACGAAACGAGACCCTAGAACATGGCTTCGATGGCGGAATCGACCCGCAACCGAGACTGAGACTGGGGAATCCGACACGAAACCGAAGACAAAGAGCAAGACTAAGCCCAAGAAGAGCAAAAACCAAAAAGTCGTCGTCGAGGAATTCGATCTCGAACGGTACGGTCGATACGGCCATAGCTCGTCGCGCGAGGGCCAGAAACTACCGAGTGCGACGCGCGGTGTGCTGCGGGCTCTTTTCTGGGGGTTGAATTTGGTGGTGCATGTTTTGACGATGGTGGTGAAGGTGTTGGCATGGGTGTTAGTTAATGTGACGAGGTGTGTGACGAGTCAGAAGTTTTGATGAGGATGAGTGTTTAGGGCTGGTTGGGTAAGTATATATCTTCTGTTTATTTATTTAGGGATTTATTGTTTGGTTTTTGGGAAGGTGTTTGTTTTCTTGTTCATGGGGTTTCCTTTTTCTTTTTCATCTCTTTCTTGCGCCTTTATTTTTTTCTTATCTCGATGTTAGCAGAGATTGACCGATTAATATCGAACTTATGATGAATGACACGTCTATGCTTTCTCCTGACCTTACGAATTCTCTTTTCATTTAACATAAACAAGACTAGTATATGGTTGGATATCTCCAGCCAGGAACCCACTATGGTGATAGACGATGGGGAAGGACAATGTCACGGGCTTGACAGTGGGTAGGTGCGCTTTTACCAGCCAAGACCGTCTAGTTTATGCCTAATTGGAACGTTTGACCACAGGACTACTGTACTGAAAGCCTAGAATACCAAGTCAGCAGACTTGGTACGCGCATCTCTCTATATTGCGTTCATGTTGATCGTCACAGAGAATCCGTAATTAGGACAAGGAAAGAACAGACTGTAGTCTACAAAGGGGCTGAACAGAGTAAGTTTGTTTCTTAAAGACAAGTAAAATTTCGATAAGGAAAGGAAAAAGACTATCTAAAAGAGAAGTTTAGAACCCTTATATACTCATTTCATTTAAGAAAGTTTCTATTTGATAGCTGAAGCAATTTATTAGAAAGTCAGACCGATAATTAGGTAAATCATATATTTGAAGAGCCGAAATAAACTAATATTCTTCTTTTCTACAGGAGAGTTGCCTGACCACAAGAAATAAGCTTATCCTACTAAGCTCATTTATCTACTGTCACTGTTATAGTATAGATGTGACCATCGACCACGACGAATCCGACATAGAGCGATGCGCCTGTCAAGTCTGTTGACTTGGGATTCTACGTAGTCTTTCAGTAGCCTAGTGGTAAAACTTTGCAAATTAGACAGGCAAGAGGGTCCGATTGGTATGAAAATTTATTTTTTCGCGTTACGGGATCAACGTACGGAGATGTAGGAAGGTTAGGACTTTAGTAGCCTACATAAAAAGTTTGTCTCGTCTAACAGAGAGTATCTAGAACTACCTACTCCTGGATCTGGGTAAAATATACGAAGTCTAGCATATCAAAGCCAAAGCCAGTACCTTATCACACATACCTAGGTAGCAAGTCCTAGAATAGAATCAAATCTAAGCCACCACGATGAGGCACAGAATGAGATCATACCATACCATTCCCCAGCATCAGGAGAAGATCTCCGCCCACTAAGCACAGCATGAAACCTGATGAAATGTCCGCTAGAAATTGAGTTTCTCCTCTCTAGGTCACGGCCCACCGATCGTCCAGCTATCCGACTAACCAACCACTTAGAGTACTTAGGTACCTACCCAACCTGCACCCCATATGCGCTGCGCTGTATGTATGTATGTATGTCTACATTCCAATGCCCATCATCCCGGGAAGTGGCAAATACATGCTTCGCGTGTTACAGAATCGACGACACTGTAGTTAGGCACTCCGGGGTGACGGGCGGACGATGTTAGCCATGAAGTGGAACGATGGAGGCTGAGATGGTATCGGTGTTCTTATTGTCGGTTCGCCATGCGGAAGTATTTAATTTACTTTTCTATCTATCTACTGGGAGTGAAGATTATAGCCATCCCTTCATTCAGCGGACTGGTGGTGTAGAGCGATAGAGTCTACGGGGGTATGCGCGGAGAGATATGTGGAAGTTGATCGATAGTAGGACCTTGATGTCAATTAAGAAGGAAGATTACAAAGATTAATTCATACATTAAATGATTGTCAGACACGGGAAGTACCCTGTGATTTCATTCAGAACCTTCTTGCTCAGAGTTGTGTCGGGATTGTCAAGTTGGAGGTAGTGGATGAAATCTAGCCCTAACATCTCCTTTACTTTACCTAGCCATAAACGCGGATTTCCATAATAATGAATTAAAGAACTTCAACAAAACCCAAAACCAAAAGGTGAGAGAACCTAACTCAGTCCCCTTAACCAAGAGAACGAGGGCCCAAAAGCAGAATCACGATCACCGCCCCCCTAGCTTCCCAAATACCCACATTCCACAACCCCTTCTCCATCCCTTTCCCCCCGGTCTACCTACACGGAGTATGTAACGCGCCTGAATCAAGTCACTACGGACCATGGAACTGTCGAGCCCTTGGAATCCTCCACTACGACGGACACCTTCCACATCCCGTCTGCCGTGTCCCGTCGCGCCTCTATCCAGGGATGATCCAGACAGAGGATGGATGAGTTATGTGTGATGTAGGTTAGTATGCTGGGTTCTGTTATGCTGACAGGGCACGACGACGCGGCCGATCTATTTACCTACCAGGAGACATGTTTGGCGTAGTAGGGAGATTATATAGAGGGAGAAACTGTCTCACTCTGTTCGCGACCCTTGGACGTTTTTTTCCTTCTGTCCGTCTTGGTATCGTTGAAGGGTTTTGTCTTATTGTCCTTTTGGTTCGTTTGAGTTGACTAGACACTCGTTCTTCGGTCTACTCACCTACCTACTCTCGTTCGTTCGGAATTTGTTTCTACTACAGTCGTTTGGATACTATCTACTACATCCTATACTTGATTTTTCGACTTTTTATATCTATCTGAGACGAGAAGTGGAAAATGCGTACCGCTTTCATCTTCGCAACTCTCGCCACCACCCTGGTGGCACTGAACCCTCAAGCTGAGGGCGAGGTACATACACCCTCCCTCCAAACGACCAAGAGGCCATAACAGTGAGGGACATAACAACTAACACCATCCAGGCCAACACCAACTCCCCCGAAAACCCCTCCCTGCATGTCCCTCAGCGCGCTAGTTCACCCATGGTCCGCGTCGGCGGAGACACCAACAAGCCCGAAACAGGAGTCTCGCACGACGCAAACACCCCCGAGACCAAGCCCGCCGCTGACAAAGACACAACCACGCACATCGACAACAGCGGCGAGCGTCCCGAGGTAGTCATGGACTCGAAGAATCCGTCTACCGAGGATTCAGACTCGGCCTCGGACAAGACCAAAGACGCGGATGCAGACAAGAACAAGCACGCGGCGCAAGACAAAGAAGAAGCCGAAGAAGAGTCCCTCCCTCAAATAGTCAACAAGTATCTGCCGAACATCGGCCACTTGCTGTTCCCTGAGACCAGCTCGAGTAGCGCCGTCCCGAGCCCCACGATGGGCGCTGCGGCGGCCGCGTCGGCGAGTGGAAAACTATTCCACTTCGACGACGCGAGTGCGGATCAGCAGCAATCGGGGGGGAAGAAGAGGGCCGTGGCGCCCCAGGCGGCGCCCGCGCCTGCCGTGACAGAGAACGTGCAAATGAAAGGAGACGAGGCGGTTGTGTACCGCACGGTGACGAGCACCGAGACGGACTGTGCGTGCGCGAGCTCGGTGAACGGTGTATTGGCCAAGGAGACGGGAGCGAGCGTTGTGGCTGCGCCGGTGCCAGTGCATAGTTCGAACGCGGTCGTGGCGACAGAGAGTGCTGAGTCCATGCCCATGCCGAGTGCAGTGGATCCGTTGGCTGCGACGCCAACTGCTGCGACACCCGTGCATGCGGGTTTGACCGAGGAGAGCGCGGAGCCGAGTGCTCATGGGGTGCGCACGGAGATGACCTCGGGGTCGGTGCTCGTGCACAGCGTCTCGACGCCGGCGGTCCGATCGATGACTCGCACGGTGGTCGCCTCGGCGATTCCCACGCCTGGTGCGTCGCACAGTGCGTTCGTCGGCGAGGTGGCTTCGTCGTCTGAGGCGGCGATGCCGACGGGCGTGGATCCTCAGCGGAACAGCAAGGATGATCAGCTGTTCACTGGTGGTGCGGCGTGGACGGGCCCCCGCGAGATGGTTGTGATGGGGGTGACTGGGTTCTTGGCTGTGATGTTGATGCTGTAATGGAGGATACAGTTCCTGGGTGAGGCTGTGGTAATGACTGTTAATGATGGGACGGACTAGGGCGGGTTTTATTTGATTTTCTGTCAATGGAATTGTTGTATTATTATGTTAATTAATGCGGTCTTCGTCAAAGTTCAATACAAATGCCAAAGAATGATTATCCAATCCTCCAAAACACAGCGCCTGAAAATCTATGCATGGATGGCCTGCTGCACCTTCGGGTACAGATGCACCAACCGGTTGTATAAATCCGGATGGTCGTGGATCATGACCTGCGGATCCCATGCCATCGCGGCGAAAATGGTCTCGATGCCGCTGCTCATCGGCGTCATAAACACCTGACACACCTGCAAGCCAATCACAAAAGCAAATGCCATGATCACTGCCGTAAAGTCACCATCCTGGTTGTAGCTGGGATGCGTAAATTGCAGGTAGAGATACGCCAGTAAGGCGCACACGTACGACACGAACACCGATCCCATCGTCAACACGGGCCCGATGAGGCAGTCTGCAGCCAGGGCATCCACGCCTCGGTCTTTCATCATCTTCCAGGTATCTTTCGCCGAGGGGATATACGCTTTGCCATACAAGGCGATGTGGCAGAACGCGTACCGGTTGAAGAAGGTCACCAGCCAGTCCAGCAGCGAAATGAGACATCCAAGGATCCAAAAGGCGATGCTGCCCACCAGACTGCCCTCGGCAGCTTCATGGCGCTGCGCGACGGAGCATGCTTGCCGCAGCATGTTGATGATGGCAAGGATCAAGCTCCCAAAGCTGATGCTACCAAAGGAATAGGTCGTGGCGCGTCGGAAGGCGCCGCGGGTCACGCCTTTGGGCATTCCATCAGGTGAACCGCCAAAGAAGTACCAGGAACCGTACACTCCGGCGATGGTTGTGTGGATGGTGTTCTTCCACCACTCGCTGAACCAGTACATGGCAAATGTCACGTAGACCACCAAGCCAATCACCCTGCCTGAGCTACAACCGCCATTGGCACAAGACGGGTTATTGCCGGGTTCGTAGGCCACATAAATCGACACCAGTGTCACGGAAAACCACGCAGCGAATGCCACCGTCACGATGCCGCCGATCGCGCTCACCAAAAACATATGTCCGTAGCGTCGAGACACGTCGATTGAGGTTTCCATCATGAATGCGGTGAAGGGGATGCGCGGGATCCAGCTGATGAAGCAGATGATGGCGAAAACTCCGAAAATGAGGAACACGATACCTCCTCCGTACTGCTTGCGCACGATGTAGTAGATACCGGTAGCCAGGGCAAACACAATGTTCAGGATTCCCGTCGCCCAGATAAAGAACTTGGGGAAATAGCGAGCTCCAAGAAAATAGGCCCAAGAAAAGGCCAGCGCTACGCAGAGTACAAATATGAACAAGACCAAGGTGTTCGTATCCAGTGAAAAGTCATTAACCGAGTCGTAAATGCCTCCGCCATTGAATCCTTTGTACTTGGAGTATCGATAGATTGCGATTCCCGAAACTGCGACATAGCCTAGAAAGACGGCAATGAGCTATATGAATTAGCCTTGGTTCCTAACAAAAGGCTGTAAGAGCTCAGGCTTACCAGAAGTCCTGCCCAGATGTCGTTGAACTTTGGTTTCTCGACCTTGAATGCCTCGTCAAACCCATAGACTGCCTGGTTGTAGGTCGGCGGAGCCCCCTGCGGCGGTGGTGGTGCCTGTTGTGGTGGCCCCTGTGGAGGCTTGGGCTCTGCGGTGTTTTGATAGCCATTATCGTACTGATAATTCTGATTATAGCCTTGAAAATTGTTGTTGTACATAGGCTGTTGTTGCCGAGGTTGAGGATGGCCGTCGCCGAAGTTTTGGCCGGGATTATAATAGTCTGCTGCCTGTCCACTCATGGTCGCATACTCCAGCTGTACCAGCTGTACTAGAAGAAGAGTCTGAGAGACGCCGGGTATCAGAGAACGGAAGAGACTGCGAGGAAAGAAGGAGGGAAAAGACTGAGAATGGACAAGGCACGAGGTGGAGAGAACGGAGTAAGGGGGTAGGAGTTCCTGGCAGTCCAAGTTCACCCTTCCGCATGCGTCGGTCTGCCAGTGAAGGGCGTCATCGTGATGAGACGAACCGGTCGAGTGCCAATCACAGGGCCGAGCAGCGCCAAGTCGCGCCCAAGAGAAGCGAGAAACTCAAAGCTCGGTCTTCAGCCCTATCAAGGATCGGCCTGAGTGTGTTTGGGTGGAGAAGTTGAGCGCGATCTGCTCAAGATTCATGGAAGGCAACGCAGAATTTTTCAGAGGGGATCCCAAAGAGTCCAAAAAAAAAATATAAGAAAGAGCTCTTCATGTGAAATTTTATGTACATCGTCAAAACATTCCAAGTTCAGAGTTTTGCTGTCTTTTCGTCTTCTTCCATCCTAGTTCCCACCAAGATCATCCTTCCAATGCAGGTTCCAAAATTGAGTCAGACCCATAAATCCCTTGCCAAGTCGCTTCGGTGCAGGAAATTAACATAGTACACATTAGAAGGGGGATGTTCGTGGTTCCAATCCACCCAAAAGATAAAGAATGACGGGGTAGTGTTATCCAACGCAACCTTTCAAAACAATAATAATAAAACTTGTCGGGTATCAATATAAAAAAAACCAAAATTCAAATATATCCCATAGATATCTTGCCACACATTGTTGCTAGTCGGTCTTCATTTACCGAAAGGCATGATGTCTCATATGTCGCCAACCATCGGCAATGCTGCGTTCGATCCCGGGAATCGGCGATCTAGCGCGAGTGGTCCATTCATCGGTGGCAGCCTGTAGCGTGCCTTTGCTGAGTGCCTGCGATCGTCGCAGTTTCTCCTGTCGAACCGCAGTCCGTCGAGATGCTCGCAACTCTTCAATGCGACCTTGTCCCACGCGATTTCGTCGCGCAAAACACTCGTCCATTAGATTGTTGGCATCCAGCAGTCGTTTAGGTACTGACTGCACGACTTGGAATACCTCCATCGGGTCCGAAACAGCCATGATATCTCTCTCGCATGCCTTGAAGATAGCGAGAGACACGCGGAAGAAGGTTTTAGACCCTTCGAAGAAAAAGACATCCCACACTCGCAGAGTCGTCTCCAGTGGTAGCGTGCCAATAAAGACGGACATCAGCCAATTGGTCAGTCCCAGTGTGATATCCGGGAGGCGAGAGTGGACGGTCAGTGGTGGCGTCTTGGACCTGGGCGAAGAGCCGGTGTTGGCAATTTTGCTGTAGGCATTGGGGAGCGTTTCTCTCAGTAGCACCATGAGAATCCAGAGATCGATGTTGGCTCCCTCCAGACTGATCTCGTGGGTGCCGGGAAGGTAAACCGTCGTGATGATGTGCAACATCCAAAAGGCCTTCTCCTCGGTGAGAAAGAGAAGAAGCATTCCGGTGATGAAGTTGAGGGACTGGGTGTATCCCACCTGCGGATTGTGCAAAGAGAACGCATACAGCACTCGTCGCAGAGACTCGATCATTTGTGTCTCAACGGTCACCGAGGAAAATTTCGGGTTGCTGCTACCAGAGTCGTTGGCCTGTGTCTCCGGTTTAAAGTGAAGGTTGTCGGGAAAGGTGCGATGCAGGTCACGTTCGATGTGCTCCTTGTCGTCGTTGCTCGGAGACTCCATCGCCTGCTTGACGAGTTGATCGTACAGCCCCGGATTCCGATTCAGATGTTCGAAGCCTCCGGCGTACCAGAACCAGGCCGCGCCGCGATATTCGGACGGGATTCCCTTGCGCACAAAACGCTTCATCTTGTTCGATTTTGGGGGAAACTTGGTGGGATCCTCGGTCGGCAGGCCACTCTCCCTGAGAAGTTCAGCCCATTTGGTCCGCCTAGTCGCAGCAAACGCAGTGTAGGGGCCGTTCCAGGCCTCGTACTGGTCAAGGGTAACATGGTGACTAGCCTTCCGGAATCCATAGCGATCCCGAGTGTCCGTACCCGGTAGGAGTGGTGGCGGCACGATCCCGGGGATAACCACCTTGGTGTCCTCTGGGACGCTGTTGGCAGGCGGATCCGGACTGGTTTCTTCCAGCATCTCATGGGGTGCTTGCTCTTCCGGCTTTGCTTCGCCCAGGAATTGCTTGTCCACCGTGTTCTGGTCTGGCGGGTTTAAAGCGGGCAGGGGTGGTACCGGTGGCAGACCCTCAGTCGGATCCATGCCCGGGGAATGTTCATCGGACGTGTAGCCATCGTCGATGGTGAGTTCCGTGGGCGGACGTGGACTCAACGGTCGCACTTTGGAGTCTCCGTGCAGCTCAGGCGACGCAGGTTCTTCCGTCACGTCGCTAAACCCGTCCAGGTACATGGAGATGGCATCTTCAACGCTCATGCCACCGTCCTTCTCATGCGGCCCGTCGGGCGTGTCCGGAGAAAGATCGGTGATCGAGCTACTTTTCGTCAAAACGCTGCTGCGCTCCGTGCCGCTGGCCTGCTCGATGCTAGACCGCGAAGTCATGGCGGAGTTGACGCTAGACCGCAGCGCGTCCTCCCCCTGGGCATCGGACGATGCATGGGGCGGACGCGGTAACGCGAGCCCGTGCGTGACGAAAGGATCGTTGGAGGGGCTGTCCCCGAGGCGAAGACGCCGAGGATTCAATCGCGATGTAGATTTCGAGGCCCGCAATCCGGGGGCCTTGCGATGAGATGGACGGTCGACGTCGCCATCTCGTCGAGCTGTTTTAGAGGGGCGCTCTTGAGGATGAATAGGGAAAGTCGGCGTGCGCAGCGCCGGGCCGTAGATGGTGAATTCGTCCCCCGTGCCGTGGTGAGGGGAAGCGGAACGCAAGAAGGGATCATGCAAGGGCGGCGGTTGTTCCAGGTGCTTTCGAGGGGAACGAGGGATCGGCGGAGGGCGATGTACGGGAGGCGGACGAGACGAGCCAGCAGTCGACGGCCGCGAAGGCGAGGGAGGATTAATCCTCAAGGGGTCAAGGCGAGGAGGGTTAGGAATTCGGCGACGACTGGGAAGATCATGATTGCCCGTAGGCGTGGGATAACGAGAGTCTCCATTTCCTGTGACCATGGCCACGAGATAACACCCAGAGCCCGCTGGACATTTGTCGATCCGATAACAACGAGGGAGAAAACGAGCGTGAAGCCAGAAGCAAGTCCACCGTTAGACAAGACCGGGCTAGTTTTGGGGGCGAACACGAAATGGTTTTCTTTTCTTTTTCTTCTCTCTCGTCAGGAGATCGATCAGAATAAATAAGAAAAAGAATCGAAAGGGAAAGAGAGGAGACGATCGGATTGGATCGAGCAGAGTAAACGAGTGAGCGCGTCGGCGAGACGGGCGGCAACGGTGCAAACGAGCGGATGCGAATCGGAGAGCAGCTCAAGACGGCGCCAAAAGCAAAAGACGAAATTGGATCAATCCATTGGAGATGACAATCACGATCCTACCAGCGATTCAAGATGGCGGCCCCATCTCATGACCGATGAGATTGAGAGTGAGAGGAGATAAAGATGAGAGAGAGAGGAAGAGAAAGATTAGAAGAAGCCGGACAGGAACAGGAAGGGGGAAAAGAGAAGAAGTAAAAATGAAAAGAGAAGAAGAAATGACTAAATTGGAAAATGAAAATTAAAAAAAAAAAAAAAAAAAAAAAAAAAGGGGACTGCAGACCACTTCGGGATTAGCGCCGTATCGACCCTGTTTTTGTGGTATTTGGGGGTTTCAGAAAATGACTTCATCTTGTCTTTGTCTTTTCTTTGAGCAATTCTTCTTCAGAACCAATTCCTATTTCCTACTGAGGGTTGCACACATGAGCTGTCATCCCCGCGGTTGATCGGTTGACTGTATATCACATTATGCAGGTAGACGCGGAAACGGCCGTCATGCATCCCATGGAACACATCACTTTGCTCTGAACTTTGGACTTTCGACTGTCAGTGCCAGCTCTCCTCGAGAGTTATCCATGGACCATGGGTCACTTCCGAGGAACCTTTCTCCAGCTTGCCTTTTGAATTTCTGTCCTACATCAGAAATGACTGCTACTATCGACCGATATCCCGTATGACGCCATCCTCTGAGGAGCACAAAGGATCCAAATATCCAACGTTTCCAACTTCACACAGGCCAATTCCCAACCATACTCCGTACACAGTCTGTAACTCTGGTAAACAACTCCCGCTACGGCGATGGTCTTCAATAAGAAGTCGGGTGGAGCGTGGTTTCATCTTCCTTCCCTAATTCCGATCCACCCGTCGAAGCCTCCAAGAAGGACCGTCATCCGGAACCCCTCCGGACATGAAACGGCGCCTTCACTTAGACCCCCTTGCATGCGCGAGTCCTCGTCATCCCTTGTTATTCGTCGCTCTTGGGGGGTTTGGTGTTTGGACGTCGCTGACCAGGGGCGGAAACAATCATCATGGTCAGCGTGATTGGTGCTCATTCGGTTATCTCTCTACTTGTCACTTTCCTTGATTCCCTTTCGCTATCCGGCTTCTGACTGAATCAGCGAATGCGGAGTTGAATCGGAAGCTACCTGACCAGGAACTCTCTCCGTCCATAGTCCGTCGAGAGACCCTGACGGGCCAAAGGAAAGTCGGCAAATAATAACCACATTATTAATCTACGAGAAAGGAAAATGAACCAGCGCAGAAAAATCTGTCTGCACTTTCATTTGATTTCGGCGCCCATCCGCCATCCTTCCGTCGTGGTGAAATTAGCTCGGAGACGCTATACTCGATTGACATCAAATAGGCGGCAGATCTCGTGGGTCGATGACTCGATGGCGTCCAGGAATAGCGACGAACCGACTATGCCAATTTCACGGCAAAGCTCAGGATCGTTTGTTGTCGATGCCTCGTCCTGCTCTTTGTCAAGGTTCAGGATGATAGACATATGTCATATCATTTCCCGGCAGGAGTCGGCCACCGTGTCATTCCTCGAATTCTGAAATCAGAGGCTGAGGCTGAGGCTGAGGCTGAGCTGTCTTTTCTGGAGATATTGAAATCATGACTCGGTAGTATTAATTGGTATTTCGGGTCCCATGCACGAGCCAGGAACCTCCGTTCGATCTGGACCGTCGACTGACTTTTTGACTTTTGTTGACTTCGGTTTGTTTACCTTCAGCATCACTCGTGAACGGTGAGGTCATCCCGGTGGAACGCGCCCGTTGAATTTCCTGAACCAAGGCACAGTCCCGTTCGTACGGAGTCCATCTTGGATCGGGGATCTCCTCCGATTCTAGAACCTTTTGCTTTGGGTTGAAGCGGCACAACACGGCACCAAGCTCCAAGCAACCTAAGAGTAATAGATATTGGGTTTCCTTTGAACAGAGGCAGTTCCGTCCAAAGCCAAGACTGTTGAATTAACGAGGTGGGTCTAAATCTCTCCATCCATGGAATTCCAAGGACGGGTATCCAGCGCGGCAGACGCCCACCATCCGAACCCATGTTTAGCGTGAAGATATCCAGGAACTCGCGCGAATAGCGATGCGACATCACTCGCCTGTTGTCTTCAAATCAAGGTCCAAAAACCGGATACGTGGGCGGCTATGCATTAACCCTGTTTGCAAACTCGACATGGGTTGTGTTTGTTGCACCGTCCCACCAGCTGTTCATTGTTGTAAATTTTCACCAGACCCCAAGGTTTTGTGCCTTACATTTCGGAATACATATAACTGCATCGCCCCCTCGTTCCGAGCCTTTGTTCCTGTGCCTGTTGCACGACTAGATGCTTGACACTGACAGACGTTTCGCCCAGTGGTGACGGACAAGGCTGACCCCGAGTCTTACTTGCATGCATAAGAACGACACTCCGATTAGAGGACCTGAGCCGCCCTTAACCCACGAGATATAATGCTCGCAATAATCACAGAGTATAAATAGCACATCCTGCATACGTCTAGAATAAATCTAGTCTAGAGTCTATACAGCTCACCATTTCCATTCTTGTCGGCTTCTAGATACGATAATTCGTGATCCGACGGGAGATGCTCACACTAGCTGAGGCTGAGTCTATGTCTCGATAATAAACGTCTGGGGGCCGTCTACAAGAACCAACGGCAGCAGGCACCTACATAATTAATGAAGGCTTTCAGCAGCAGGTCCGTCAGCACGGCACAACCCTTGTTCTTGGCTGAACCTGCATGCCATGTTAGAGATGCAGGACAGATGATGGACCTACTGCACTTATTGTGTGAAATGGGGCAATGCACCACTTACTCTGACCTGCTGATGGTGTTGGTATACATATGTAGATGGAAGTAGCTCTGTAGTTTATTCTGTTTAGACTTTTGCTTTTGTTCATCTTTCCAACTCCTCACATAGGTACTGAGTATGTACAGTTCACCCCCAACCCACATCTCCATCTACATCTCCATATCGCCATCCTAGATACTTTCCCAACAATACAATCCAATAATATTGAAACATGCCGTCCTCTCCATCCTCCGCCAGAATCCTAATATCCCTCCTCCTCACCACCTCACTCGCTTTCCCTCTCACAACCTCCTCGCCAGCCACGATATCATCTCAACAAACCTGCTACCATCCCAACGGTACCCCCGAAACCGATCCCAGCTACCAGGCATGCTCTCAGACCCCCGGCGTAACAGGCATGTGCTGCGCAGCTACCGACGTGTGTCTTCCGAACGGACTTTGTCAAAGCACACAGGAGACAGAGAAACAAGATGGAGAGAAGACGCTGCAGCATAGCTATCGCCGAGGACATTGTACGAGTCGAGACTGGGAGGGAGGCAGTTGTTTGGGGGTTTGTGTTGATGGAAAGGTATGTTTATGTTTAATATATGTATACTTGGGCAGGAGATAGTATAGATAGTCTCTAGGATTATCTTCATTGACTGACCAGGCTCTTATAGGAATCAGGCACATCATCCATCATGACACCCTGCGACAACACCAACACCTCAACAACCTGGTGCTGCGGCAACACCACCGACTGCTGCGGTACTCCGGACGCCATCACCATCGCGCCGGTTCTGGGAGAACATATTAGCATTCCTACTCCGACGTCATATGCTTCGTCATCTACAACCACAGACATAGCTATTCCTGCAGCTACATCTACATTTACACACACTACAGAACCAACTCCCTCAAATCCCACCACCACATCCTCCATCTCCATCGCTACAACAACCTCAACACCATCAACAACGCAAACCCAACCCTCCTCCCCAACTGAAACAACACAACCAGAAGAAGGTCTCCCCGGCCTCTCCAACGGCGTAAAAGCCGGTATAGGCGTCAGCGTCAGCGTCGCCGTCCTGATTATCTTCGTGGCAGCTGCGTTCCTTCTCCGTCGTCTTCGGAGACCGAAGGTTGTGGTGGAACGAGAGTTTGTGAGTTCGGTGGCGCTGACGCCGACTTCGATGCCGATGCCGATTATGCCGATGGGTGGGTTGAGGGGCGAGGGGAGGGAGGTAATTCATGGGTCTCTGGGTGGAAGGCCAGGTGGAAGTGGGAACGAGGGGTATATAAGGGAGGATGGGGTTGGGAGGGTGTTTATGTGATATATTTGTATAGAACATGCGTTATGAGATACGATATGAAGCTATGACATTGTGGCTGTCTGGAGTATATGTTATTTCTTTTGGTGACTGGGCTGGCTCAATTTGGGAGGAATTTACATCTGCATCTATCTAGAAGAGAATCATCTTGCAATGTGTATGGAGTAGAGTCTATACCCAAGCAAACACATGATGATACCCATTCACACATCCATATTCCAACTGCAACTGCTCAACAATGCATCATTGTTACTGGATTCTGCACTGATCTGAAATTCTGCTCTATCCAGATATCTCAACACCATAGATCCCATCAGTGTCTTATGTATCAGATCTTACGTCCCCATAGCTATTCCATGTCCTCGTATCCGAACCAATCCAATGCAGCCCAAAAAGTCTCATTATGTATTTGAAATGTTTTCCCTCCGCCCAAATCCATCCAGCCAGCCAGCCCGGCATCCCGCCTGTCCACTCAATCCCCCAACCCATCACCCACCTAACTGGGCCTAGCCAAGCATGTCCATGCCCCCTCACGCAGTCGCATACTTCCTCGTCCAATCCCTCGCGATCTCATCATACCTCGCCCGATCATTCTTATACTGCTCCGCGATACGCCCCTCGACCGCATCATCAGGCATAGGTTCCGCAAGCAACTGGCGCGCAAACTCCAGCACCGCAGCGATGCGCGAGCTAGGCTTCCACTCGTCCGACTTGAGCATCCCCAGACACATGCTTCCCTTTTCGTCGTTGGTCACGTTCGGGTGGTAGATTTTCGTTCCGAAGGATACGGCGGGCGGCTTGAAGGGGTATTCTGTGGGGAGGCTGAGTTTCATGAGGAAGCGGCCTTTCTATAGCGAGTGTAGTTGTGGTTAGTTGGAGTTTGCAAGTAGGAGGAGGGGGAGGGGGTTCGTACGTGGTATGGTGACCCCTCAGGTCCCTCCATGTAGACCTTCCATTCGTAGATGTTCGATTCATCGACCAGTTCGACGGAGATGCCATCGGGAGGAGATTCGGTGAGCTCGGCTAGCTCCTGGATTTTTGGGGTTGGTTTCGTTAGCTATTTGAACCCCTCTTCATGATCTTGGTGGGGATGAGGGGGAGGGGAAGAGGAATGTTCTCAAAAAGAGAGCACCATACCTTGGCGATTCGCTTCTGACTACCCATTTTGATATTTCAGAGTAACAACCTCTAACAAAATACCAGGATATATGACAAAAGATGTTCGTTTAAAAAAAAAAAAATAAGGGGCAGTCGATAGAAGAAAGAGAAGGGAGGCGGATCTAGGAACCGGAGAGGGAGGGATTTTCCAGGAGCGAAAGACCCAAACAGGCTCGACTCATGGGCCAACGCAGGAAAAACCTGTCACAGAAAAATATGCAGGGGCACGAGCGCTAGGAGAGTCATGGAGCTAGTCCAGTTGACTAGATGTAGTTACAGTCAGGAGCAAAGAAGGCAGGAGTCATAATGGCTGCTTGCAACAAAGCGGCGGGGCGGCGGATCAGGCGGGGCGGAATTGCATTTGGAGGGTTGGTCGACGTCAGTTCGGTCGGCTTTGCCCGCGTTCTACGGGGGAGAGCTGTACTCAGAGTGCAATAATAGAGCACAGCCCTTATACTGATTTACTCCCATCTAGAACAACATGGCCACGTATGAAACCACAAAAGTTGATTGAATCTCTCTGAACAGTTAATAGGTCGCCTATTACTATTCCCGCTGTAACATCACCATCAACCCCATTATACCCAGCAGCACCGTCTTCAACCACGGATGCTCGCTTAACATGATCGTCACGTATCCAACCATAGGTATATACCCTCGCACACTGCCCACAATGTCCTCCTCGCGGTTCAGGTAGTCCTGCCCGGGCGCATACAGCTCGGTATCGTCGGCGATGTTGTTGTCGCCCTTGGTGAGAAGCATATTGTTCGGCGCGGGTGAGGACCTGAGTAGGACAACAGTTAGCTTTGTCTTTGGTCTGGTGTAGAAAAGCTACGCTCCCCCAAGCAAGGTATCGCAAACAAACAGTGGTGAGCACATACTCAGAAATCTCCTTGACCTTCTTCGCCCGGCCCTCCACCTCCGGATACGTGCGCACAACGCGATGCACGATCGGGATGTCCTTTCCTTTCACATTGTAGACCACGATCTCACCGAGTTCGGCCCGGGGGCTGCGATTCCACAGGAATAGAAGATCGCCTCGCTGGAAGGCAGGCTCCATAGAGCCCGACAGGACGACCTAATAAGCCACAACCATCAGTATGACACCCTGGAAATCGGAACAGACAGGGTAGGTAGCTAGCTAGCAACGTACCACAATGGGAGAGCTGGACGCAGTAAACACCGAAAGACCCTTCCAGAGCATAAAGGCCGTGGACAGGACCAGTGCGAAATTGAGTACTTGCGCGAGCGATTGTCGCGGATTCCCTAGGGATGACAGCATGGCGAGGAGGGAGGTAGGTAGCTGTTGTTGCTGTTGTCTCGAAGGAACGGGGAGGATTCGACGCGATCGACGGTCGGAGGAGAAAGGGCTTGAAATGATGGGTCGCGTGGCGACCGCTAGCAAGACCAGATTATTATCGATCCGGTCTGATTCTCTGGAAGATACTGGTGCGAGGAGAGGTCGACAATGTCGCAGGGCTGGTGGGTCGTGGACGGTGGAATTGAACGAGGTGGCCTCTGGAAGGGGAAATCTTGTCTGCCCCAGGCATCCCGCCATTGGCCGCTTTCTACTTTTCTAACCATAAGTTCATAAGATCACTTGGAATTTCCCCATTGTACGGTAAATCGTACATTCTATGAATAAAATTCACGCGAAGAATTGCTGTATCATGAAACAGAATCATAAGAAGAAAACGAAAACGAAAAACAAAGGAAAGACGAAATTGTCACCGGGGACCCCAGACACAGCACGCCTCCTATACTTTCGCCTCCGGTCGAGCACCATGTGCCTCATCAAGTTCCCAGAACTTCTGAGGTTTCTGGCGCCTCGTAATAAGACCAACGACATCAAATGGATCGAAGAATGTCACAATGGCAGGACGAGGGTCCTCATACCCTGGTCCTTCGATTTCGGTCACCCCGTCCTTTGCCAGGTAGATCTTGTTGCATCGGGGAAGCCACCGCATGGGATGGAGAACATTCAACAAAGTGGTATTGCTATACATGACCACGGTCTCGAAAACCCAAAAGAACCACTCCTGCTTGATGAGCGGGCTCAGGTTATCGATGTTGCTGGTGTTCAAACTGGCCGCAGTAAAGTACTCGACGGTCCGGAAGATGGTGCGCACGGTGATGAGAATGCAGCTACAGAATAGTACATGCAGGGCCCGTTTCACTTTGATGTTCAAAACACCGCCGCGAGAGCAATTGTAGTAGAACCTTGAGGCGAGGGCCGTGAACCCAACCATTAGGGCAATCTGGAGAATGAGGGCTGCCTTGAGCAGTGCTTTGCCCGTGTTCTGAGAGGCTTCTGAATTCGAGGTGTTGGCCACCAAGGAGGCCCCGTTGGCCGTGAGGATCTCGATGAGGACGCCCATGGCGATAAAGGTGGTGAACACACGGCCCGGATGGATGGGTGAGTGATAGGGTATGTAGTAAAGGATGCGACCCAAGATGAAGAAGTTGGCTCCCTCGTAGACCGGTCTTTGATGGTCAGTATCCCCTGTCACTAGCAAGATAGACGCAGGGAAGTACTTACGGTCCTGCTAGTAAAAGAACAGTACTCGAAATGAAGACTCCAAGACTACCCCAATGCCCAAAAGCTCCGATCGTGCGCATCACGAACCCTGCCGTGAAAAGCAGCGCAGACCATGGTAGTAGGCCTGTCACCTTCCAGGACTTATACTTGCTTGTGGACCGTTAGTAACGTCGTAGACCATGGAATGTGTATACTTACTGGCATTGGTACCCATGTAAGATTCCAGATATCGCAAATAGTATAGCAAAGGCAATAGGCGCGCCTTTATTGGGTGCATAAAACCAAAGACTCCCCTCCTCTGTACGCTGTTAGCCGTGGGCTCCGAATCTGATCGATCTTTGGGGACCAACGGTAATCCGATCGCTTTTCAAAATTCATGATGCCGTGCCTAGTAGTCGTCTGGTATATGTTCCAGGAGTTGCAGTCCGACTAGATGTCTCCGATTATGATCACGTTGGATATATGTATATGCAGCCAAGTCTGATAGTCAATGGCCTTTCTCGCGCGGCCATGGCCATTATATACTTTGAACAACATGATGCTGAGGTGCACTGCAGACGTTAGCGAACACGAGACTACCGAAAGAGGAAAACGAGATTCCTCTGAAGAGAAATCCAAGCCTCAAGGAGCAGAAGAACCCCGTGGAGACAACAAGGCATAGCGGCGAGCTAAATTGCTTAACCAGCCTTTCTCATCGTTGTCTGGGTCCCCGAAGTAGTCCACGATTGGCTGCCACCGACGTAGCGAATACGAGCAAGGCTGTGTCTGTGGCACCGCGAACACGGTTCAAGTGCCCGACAACAGATGGTCCTGCCATGGGGCAGGATGCTTCGTATCGAAGATTGAGTCATCATATTCTGCCTCGCACCCATCATTTTCCAGGACGGCAAGGCGGATTTGCGGTTTGACGCCATTGTTCAAAAGTGGTGCCTGAAGATAGAGGCAGCAACCCCGGATTGTCCGTTGCCCTGACAACACACACTAACCCGATATAGAAGGCGACCGTAATCAACGTGACTTGACCTCCCTCGCCGTACTCTGCTCTCTTTCCTCTGCTCTCTGTACATATCGTCGCCAACCCTCTGCCTTCCCTCGCCATATCGTGTACGATCAAGCGGCAGAGCACGTCCAGCAAACATGAGTGCAGCAAAGCCCCCTCAGCCGTCCCTTTTCCAGGTTTACCTCCGCCTCCGCCCGCCCATCTCGCAGCAGCAGGATGACCACGTTGAACGCTGCTTGACAGTCGATGTCCCGGAGGCAGCCAATCCGGTTGCAGATAATGGTGATGGGTCTATGCCAGCTGGTCCCACACAAATCATTCTTCAGCCTCCAAGTGATGTGCGGAAGCGTGCTGTAGAGAAGTTCGGCTTCACCAGGGTCTTTGAGGAATCTGCGTCCCAGTTGGACGTCTTTGAAGATACCGGCCTGGAGACTATCATCCGAGGCGTCCTGTCGGAGGGAAGAGATGGCCTCGTGGCTACACTGGGTGTGACGGGAAGTGGAAAGGTAGGAAGAGAACAGGAGCCAGTATGGAAAGGATATTAATGTCCTCTAGAGTCACACAATTCTAGGATCAAGGACCCAGAAAGGTCTTACTCAGATGAGTCTCGATGTCATCTTCAAGTCCCTGGAATCAACAATCAAGCCGCCCGACAATTCCATCAACCCCATCCTCCTCTCGACTGTCTCCGCGTCGGACCCATGTGAATCCCAGATGTTCACGGCACAGTCGTTCCTGGAAGCCGTGTACGGTGATCCCGCCGATCGTGGCAGGAATTCTCGAGCCCAAACTCCCATGAGCTCCGGCAGAGCTCACACACCCATGGCGGTATGCTGCCCTTTCCCCCACACCCCATTACGCAGGATTCAGACGCTGCGACCTCGCATCCCCAAAACCCCAACCGACGGCCCCAATGTGCCCTTGACCCCAAGCTACTTTGGTACCCCAAGACCCAACGGCTCCCCTATCAAGAGGGATGCATGGGTGCCCGCTCGTCCCCAAACAGCCTTTTCCAATATACGCTCTCAGGTGCTCAGTATGAACTATGCTAAACCATCACGTCCCATGTTAAAGGAACCCACGCCGGCGATCATCTTCCCTCGCCGAAATATGCCTCAACGCCCAAATGCCTTGCCACGATCTCCCGATGTCGGCCACCTCACTGTGGATTTGAACCCTCACTCGGAATACATTGTTTTGGTGTCGATGTACGAAGTGTACAATGACCGCATCTTCGACCTCTTGTCGCCAGCCGTCGTTCCCGGACAAGGAAGCACCATGTCACGCCAAGGCGGAAATGCGCAGAAAGACCGAAGAAGGCCTCTGTTCTTCAAATCCACCGAAGGATCGCCTGACCGAAAGGTTGTCGCAGGTCTGCGCAAGATTGCCTGCGCTACCTATGAAGAGGCGCTGGCGATCCTGGATATTGGTCTGACCGAGCGTAAGGTCACAGGGACTGGCGCTAACAGCGTCAGCTCACGCAGTCACGGATTCTTCTGTCTTGAAGTTAAGAGAAGAATGCGCAACAAGAGAACCGGCGAAGAGACCTGGATTGGAAATACACTAACGGTGGCGGATCTTGCTGGTATGCCCAGGAATTATTTCTCACCAATCTGGCTTTCGGTGCTGATGATTACTTAGGTTCCGAGCGTGCTAGAACCGCGAAGACCGCCGGATCGACTCTTGCTGAAGCGGGCAAGATCAATGAGAGCTTGATGTATCTCGGACAGTGCTTGCAGATGCAGAGCGACATGCAGGACAAGAACAAGGTACTATTTCGCGTCGACTCTTGCCCTTGGACAGTGAACTAACTCCAGTAGACTGCGTTGGTACCCTTCAGACAGTGCAAGCTTACCGAACTGTTATTCTCCAACTCCTTCCCGTCCAACCAAGCATCAGGACCGACTCGCCATCCTCAGAAGGCCATCATGGTAGTGACCGCCGACCCTCTGGGAGACTACAATGCCACTTCGCAAATCCTGCGGTATTCTGCGCTGGCTCGGGAAGTCGCGGTGCCCCGAGTCCCATCTATCTCCGAGTCTGTGTGTTCCAGCTCCGTCGAATCATACAGGCCATCTGCCAGTGGACGCAATTCCCCCAACATGGCCACCAACGAAGAACTGGAAAGCGCCCTGGCTGAGATCGCCCGTCTCACGAAAGAGAACGGCAATCTTACCATGAAACTCGGCGAGGAGGAAATCATGCGAGCCGAGTTGGAAATGAGGCTGAGCGCCAGCGAAGAGCACTGCCTCGAGATCGAACAGGAGGTGCGTGAAGAGTGCTGGGCCGAAATGGACGAGAGAATGGAGGAGGAGAGAAGAAGGTGGCAGACTGCCTTGGAAGAACAGGTAAGAACCCTCCCCTCACGGATGCCATCTAAGCTGCCTCTGACCATGAATCCAGGCCGACCACAACGACGAGCACATCGACAAGAAGATCGAACTCCTATCGCGGGGCTTCCAAAGTATAACATCCTCTTTTCCACCCTACTAGTCCTGTGTTTACCCATAACGATTCTAACAAAAATAATTAGTCCACGAAGACCCCCCATCTTCCCGAGACGACCGCACCGAAGAGCTCGAATACGAGAATGAGCGCCTTCGCAGCAAGATCGCCGCCCTCGAGCGCGAACTCACCAGCCAATCCCCAACCAAGAAGTCCAAGGCCAAAAAGCCCCTCGAGTCCACTCGCACCAATGCTCTCGGCCGTGAAAGCGACATTGACCATGCCCTGAAGCGAATGGATCAGCTGAAGCTGGCTGATAGCATGTTCTCGCCTACCCCGGCATCCACAGGCTCTCCTGGCAAGAAGCAGAGAAAGATGGCGACGCGCAGATGGGATTTGGCTCCGGAAGAGGAGATCTAATGTTGCACTCTAACCTTGTTTTTCTTTCTTGACTCTTTTGTATAATATGGGAGGCGTTTTGGGGGATTTCTTCGTTCTCAGTGATACCACGTTTTGTTCTTTATGAATATTTTTCTTTAGGTGAATTGTCAATATTAATTTCTTCATGTATTCAACTATAAATGTATGAATAGACCCCTGCTCTGCTGCCCATACACACCATCTACATCCTGTCCGCACCGCCCAAACGCCTGTCTTGTTTTTTCCGAGACCGAGAATATAAAACTCCGACACCTAGCTAGAGAGACATGGATAACGACGAAAGAAACAACAAATGAAGGGAATAAGAAAAGAAAGCAAAAGAAAGCAGCAGAGAGTACTGGTAAGTACCAGAACCTCCAAAGGTTTAAGGAATCACACATCCATAGGTTCAGCTTCCGAGACAAGTTCGCTTGCATCGGGCTGTTCGGTCTCGGGCTCGACGCCGACCATGTCAACACTGTCGTTGCCTTCGCCGTCTGCGTCGTCGCCTTCTCCTTCGGCTTCTTCCTCTTCTTCACCATCGCCCTCGCCCTCGCCTTCGAGGTCGTGTTCATCTTCACCTTCGCCTTCCCCTTCTCCTTCATTCTCCATGTCAACATCTGCTGCTCCTGCTTCGTCTGCCTCGACTTCGGGTTCCTCGTCTCCTTCACCTTCTTCACCATCACCCTCTCCTTCTCCCTCTCCCTCTCCATCGTCAACATCATCACCTTCACCCATCGTTTCGCCCTCCCCTTCACCAAGATCCGCATCTCCAACCGGCCCGATCGTGATATCACCGTCACCGCCCCCTTCCAGCGCAGACATCTCCGACTCCGGATCCAGGGATCCTCGTTCCTGCAGGTTCGGGAACATGAGTTTCCGATCAATCGCGAGCTTCGATAATTTCTCGTCGTCCATCTCGCTCAGCTCGCTCTCGTCGTCGGCGCTGTCGTGGACGCTATGCGGGATATCGCTCTGTTGGCCGGACGTGGGATCTTCGGTTGTTCCTCCGGCGGTGGTGGCTGGAGCGTGAGCAGCAAGGTCTTTAGACTGTTGAGGAGCGGATGTGATAGAGGAAGAAGTCGGCTCGGTGTGGTGGTTCTGAGAAGAGGGATCGGAAGATTCGACAGGGGCGGGCGCCTTGCTGGTGGGAAGACGCGGCGCAAGTTTACGGTTGACGATGGTTTCGGCGCGCTTTTGGATGTCGCGACGGGCGATGCCCTTGGTGCGGCCGCGCGGGGCGGGAGCTTCAGATGCAGGAGCGGAGGTTGGGGGAGTTGGCGTGTCCGCGGCGCCGTCGCTGCCCATGAGCAGGTGGTCGACTTTCATTTTCTCTTTGTGTTCCTCGTTGGCTTGCTCAAGGACCTGTGGCATGTTGACTTCGTAGAGGCGGGAGTAGAGGTCGGCGATGAGATCTTCCAGGAGGGAGACTTTCATGAGGTTATTGTTGAGCTTTTTCAGCTCGACGGCGTCCCGGAGTAACTCGAGGAGAGAGCCACTCTCGGGAGCGAGTTGTTGGAGACCCTCGAGGCGAGCGGTATTGAGGACAAATTCCTCCCATCCGATGGGCCTGAAGACGCCTTCTTCGTAGCCCTCGGTGATATTGCCAGCTCGGCGGATGACGCGTGCATACGTGAGGCAGACGTCTTCCCACAGTTTAGTATGGTTGATGAAGTCGCCCTGCTTCTTCCGCACTCGACGCAGCAGCTGGTCGAGATTTGCGCGGTCGTTGAGCTGGTCAAGAAGAGCGACGAAGTAATAAACGTATCGCGTAGTGTAGACGAAATGCCTACCCGGACGCTCATACTCAGGCCTCCAAACTTGTATTGTCATGGTCTTGGTGAAAATCTGCTGTGTGAGTTCGCCCTTGGCTCTGGCGGCAGATTCCGCATCTTTGCTATCATCGTATATAATATGGGCAGCCTATTGAAGATTAGCACGGATATTGAGAGGGACCCACTAGAGAAGACGTACCCTGAGAGCCATGCGGTGATGCCAATTCGATTTGTCCGCATGTCGCAGATTCCGAATAACCGCAAGGATGTATGTCTTCCACCCAGCATCATCCTCTGGAAGTAGAACCTTCCGAGCCCACGGAGTGGCTAGAAGAGTTTTGCTGCCCTCAGCCGCCTGCAAAGAGTTAGTTTTGGGACTATATAAGCCATAGAGTAATTCGTACCGTCAATGTGCCCCTGTGAACGAGTTTATGAACGATGGAAACCAGCTTGAAGTGAGGCTCGAAAATAGGCTCCGCACGCGAGTCCTTCTTTTGTGGAAGTGCATCGATGGCATCTAGCAGCGAGTCCAATAGATCATCAAGACTGATTGGCTTGGCTCCTCCTCTGACGGTCTCGTCGGCGCTGAACATCTTCCAGAGACATTTAGCATACATATAGTGGGTCCTATATCTGTTAGAAGCCACATTGCCGGTTCAGAAACTGAAAAGAACTTACATCCAACTCTTAGGTTTGTCGACAATCGCGCGTTTGAGAAGATAGCTGGCCAAATTCCAGACAGAATATAGCCTCATTTCTTTAAAGGGTTGCGCTTCGTACATCTGCTGGTTCTCTTCCCTGTTATAATGGCGGGTAAAATCACTGAGGCTGAAGGCTCCCATAGACAAGGGCGCCCGGGAGGAAGAGTATAGCCGAATCCCAAAATCAGTGTAGAGCTCAGATAGAAGTGCTCTTGTTTCTGGTGTTGGATCCGCATTTCTAATCGCAGTCGAAACAGCCATAGCATAACAATGAATCGCGTAGCGCTGCCACGTTACCAGTTCCGTGCGATTGTTGTTGATCTTTTCAGCGGACCAGGTGATGTCTTCTTCGAGTTTGGAGTCGTATGTTTGGGCTAGTCGATACCAAGTTTCCCAACTTGCGCTCCCATGTTCTAGATCTGACCGGAACCAGCTCACAGCCTCGTCAAGGTCATTGGTGGGCACCGGGTTCAGGCGCTTCTGGGAACGAAACTTGGTGAGAGCAGTGTATCCCAAGAGGAAATACCACCCATTCCGAGCGATGACTGCACTTTCGATAGAAAGAGGAATAGGAATCAACGCAACATCTTTCACTCCCCGCACCGAACGGAATATTTCTGATGGATTCAGCGGGGACTTGAGGTAGGCGGTCAAGACACGCTTGTTGAAATTCAATGGCCCTGATGATCTCGTGTTGCCAATGGCTTGCTGCATCTTGTCAATGGTACATTTTAGTTCCGATTTGGACAAATCTTTGATGTTCATCTTCTTGGCTTGTTTCATGACAACATCAATGACCGTGATTGCCGTAGCTCTGTCGAGCTTCTCGGGCGGGCACCCATGGTCGAGCGGGTAATTGTCCACCGTTAACAGTTTGATACCATGAAGATCATACAGAATCTGGCAGATATCCAATTCGTAGTCTTCTTTATTCTCAAGAGTGAGTAGCTCAGACTTCACCAGCTTCAGGAAATCCTTGCGGGAACGTTTGCACATTTTTCGGATACCAAGAGCGTGGTGCACGGCACGGAGGTAATGAATGCAGTCATCAAGGGGCGTGTCAAAGATCTCTTTATTCTGGGCAATGGCTTCCTTGACAAGGGTGTACTGTAAAATCCAGCAGCGGACATACATTTCTCGGAGGTTGTCCTTGAAACCTTCCAATGACTTGGCTAGAGTGCCGCGAAACTCAGGACGAGGAGTCTGACCAACGCGCACCGAATCTTCGTACAAAATGAGGCCATGAAGGAGTTTTGTCAGAAGGGCTATGGCGGACATTGAGGATCTCAGGTGATCCATGTCAAAGCAATCATATGCCTTGGTCGGATCTCGCCAAAACGTTGTCATAGACTTGATTAGAACGCCATCGAGCATTTTGAGCCATCGGAGAAGAGTAACCTGGCGGTGCTCACTGGGTTCTTGAAGATGCGCCGAGCTCCAAAGCTCCTTGATGATGACCTCGATACTTCTCAAGTAGCAAGACATTTCCTTGGGAGGATAATTAATGTCGTTGTAAGCGGCCTGTAGTCGCCTCCAGAGGAAAAGCCTTAACGTGGCATCGCCTCGGTCTAGGAAAGACCCCATTTCTTGAATTTGTGATCTCGGCCCGGCAAGCTCCTGCCCCCCTGACTCACCTTCCTCCGTAAAACCAACAGAAGAAGGCTCTAAAAGTGGCTCTATGGTTTCAATAATGTCCACAGATAATCTTGGGTTGGGACCGAAGATTTTCAAGAAAAAGTCCATGGATTTCAGTTTCGAGATCTCTTGGTCAATGATCTCGAGGGAGATTTCCGGCATCGCAGCATTGTTAGCCAAACCAATCAATGGATTGCCCAAGCATCCGAGCAAGCGTTGAAGTTCCTCGAGGCAAAGCAATACGTGCTCCCGATGGGTATCAGTCGTCATGTTTGAATGGAATGTGGACGTCCAGATGTGACGTAGAAGCATCGATTTTTGGTGATCTCCTGGAGGAGCATGGTCCATGAAATGGGTCAAAGCAGTTCGGGCCAGAGAGCACCACCTGCCCAGACGATCACGTTGCAGAACCCTTCCTCCGGTATTCACCTCACTGCTTGGGTTGTTGATAGACGAATAGATGTCAAGCTGGAGCTCGAATATGGTCTCAATCATCTCCAAATGAGCGAAGTGATTCGCGGTGTACGTAAACTGGGATCCATTGGCAGTGCTGAGGATCTGACGTTCAAGGTATTGAACATGGTTCAGCATTCCTTGATAAATGTACTCGTCTTCGCTTAGCAGAACTTGAACGACCGTCTCTTTCAACTCACTTGGCCATTGAAATAGCGTGTATGTCGATTTCATGGCAGGAAAGTAAGGTGCACCAGAAACATGCTCCGTTGGGTAGTTTCCGTACTCTGGCATCAGAAGACATTTGAGCCAGTCAAAGGCTACATTGTGGATATTGAAGCTCCCATCATTGACAGTATTGAGTAGATGAATTAGTTCCTCAACCCCGACGAGGACATGCTTGATTCCTAGTTTCCGCGCAGATTTCCTTGAATGCTCGAGGAAAACAGCCAGCCCCGATTTGCCCATGCCTTGTATGTCTCGAAAGGCCGAGAAATAGTCTCCTTGCAAAACTGCCTGGGCTTTCCCTTCATCCCAGCGTTTCAGGGCGTTTACGAGATCTTGATGCAGCGAGCATTCACTCTCGTTGGCTCCCGAAAACGGCGAATCCTTGTCGTCATTGAGAGAAGAATGGCATTTCCGCAGCTCCTCGATCCCTGTCAGTTCTTCAATTCCAAACTTGGACAACAATGAATTTGTCGTCTCAAAGACCCACTCATCGGCTTGAGTGTAGATTTCTAGTTGATCCTCGTAGTACTTGGTCTGGTCAAAGAGAATCTCCTCAGCTTGCAACGATGCTTCCGCATTCGATTCCCTGAGGCGTGTTCTTCTACTTTTGGCTCTGATGCGTTCCGCCTGGTCTTCAGTGATGGCTGAAGCAGAGGAGCGCTTCCTAGGAGCGCTGGACGATTTGATCTCCATGTCGTCAGCGTTCGGAAGCTCCGGCCGATTTGTTATTTCGGGGCTATGCGACGACTGCACTTCAAGTGACTCCATCAGCTGTTTTTCTGCCCGCTGGTCGATGGATGAATGATCGTCAGTCTGTTCATCAGGAGCCTCCAATTTGACAGGAGCATTGTTCTGAGTTGCGCTTCGATTATCGCCCTCTGCGTTGTGGGTCTTGTCTTCAGCAACAGTGTCGTCGTCCCGCGATTTCGATGACTGATCCTGAGTATACGCTTCTCGAGTGGTTATAGCTTTCATTTCGGGACTGAGGGCGGGTAGGGAGAAGGTGATTCGCGACCCGGTATAGACTTCGCCTTGCACCTCCTCGCCACAAACTCGAAGGATGGCCTTTCCAACGGCGGCCCACGTCAGGATCGAAATTTTAATCTCATGTGCAGGAAGACGTGAACGAAGAGGGTGCTTTGTTGGGTCGGCATCCTGTAGATTATTTGGAAGGGCCGGCAAGTAAGGATAAGGATCACTTTGCGGCTTGAGGAACCTGAGCAGAGACCTTTTCGGTTTCCTTAGCGGTACTTGCGCTGCGGATATCCTGTCTTCCAACGATAATAGCGTTTCCCGAAGATGCTCCTCCGCAAAGGTTTCCTCCAGGCCTAATTGCTCAGCCCGTACCTCTAAGCGATTCTCATCGTCCGCCAAGACACTCTCCAGGCAGTATCGAGCTAACCGATAGCTCTGCAAAGCACTACACAATCTTGCGCTTTGCCTCCAGAGATTGAGGTCGGTATCGTCCCGTTCCAGAGCCTCGGCGAAAGAGCTTAAGGCTTTGTTGGCGCGCTCGGCAATCGTGGTCGATATTTCCTGGGTCGACTCGTCGGAGTGAGAGGCATCCTCGATAGACGCCCGCAGCGAATCCAAAGTGTACTGTCCGTGGTTTTTATAGGATAGGTAGATGGTCTGCATCAACGTGCTGGATGTCGAATCGTTGATATCGAATTCCGCCAGTGGCTCCGCAGCCGTGTCCCCCGCAATATAATCTCCCCCGAGCTGATCCGTATCCTGCAACGCATTTCTTTTGTAGTCGGAGAGGGATTCGGGGTACTTGAATATTTCGGAGTTTAACAGCGCATCGTACGCTTCGGCGGCTTCGTTGTAGAACGGAGGGCCTTGGGAGTGGAGTTTCAAGGCATTCTGGTATAGTTTGAGGGCCTCCTCGATCTGGATTTCTTTGGTATCATCAACCTCCTCCTCGATGGCCTCGTCCGGCTCGATGTTCAATGCAACCCAGCTCGACATTGCGCAGGGTATTTCGGCCGCGAAAAGGTCCTGGACGGCGGGGAGGAACCGGGCGCAATGGGCACCATGTCAAGAGGGACCCAGTGGATGAATCAGTGTATATGCATATACACGTAGGGTTGTCGAAGAATGGAAGAGTCCGGCGTCGAAGAATCGAGAGTCGAGGCGAGAATCGATGAAGCTCCCGTGACGGCAGACACGCATCACGCGTTCCCCCGGGAATCGGATTGCCCGATCGAGACAAGGCTGGTGCCTGAGGACTCGGCCCAGGCACTGATCGCCGGCCGTGACGACGACTGGGCCTGGAAACCCCAAACGGCCCTCGCTTTCGGCGCCATCTGTCCTCTCCAGTTCGAATTGTCCCGTGAGCTGCCTCCTGTGCTCGGTGTCTTGCCCTTTCTTCTGTCACCCCCTCACGTCTTGTCTGCGCTCCTGCAAGCGCCATGGTTGCGCCAGCTGTCCCCGAGTAGGTGTCTCCCCTCGCTTAACACAACAACAACATTTGACTGCACCCCTATCTACTGTTTCAGGATTGGCTCCTAATGCAATTGTTTGTGCAGGATATACGAGGAGGATGAAATTTACGCCGCCGTCGATGCGCGCACCGAGTCCCTGCAGAACCTCAGAGAGTTAGGACCTCCGGACTTGGTGTATTTGGTCAAACAACCCAAGACCAACTCCACCCGTCAGGTACGTGTCTACAAGGTTGGATGGCTTCGGAAGGCTATAACCAGCATATGAGATCACCTTCGGGATTGATCTGGGAAATGTAAACTGACAGATGTGCGATGGATACAGACCGGTGTTTATCACCATGTCACCGGCATCGACGCCTCCTCCTCCGCCAGTTTAGCCGCCTATGTAAATACGCTGACCTTTTCTCCTCTCGATAAAACACACAAAGTGGTATCTGGGACTTACTGGTCAGGAATCCCGGTCCGAGATGCCTTTTCAGTGCCATGATTGACGAATGCGCAGTTGCTACAATGCCTTCTCCCACCTGGATATGCGAGTCGACGTGAAGATCCCCGGAAGTCTGGAAAGTTACTGCATCGATGAGCGCGGCGATAAGCGCGTTGCGACAGAAGCACTGTGGTTGGAGACGTTCCTCTGTGGGGTTCTCCGGGCCTATTCCTATGCAGATGACGGCAGCGGTGATGCGATCAGGAAGATTGTCGGAGTTCGTCGGTTCAACCCGGTCACAAACACAGAGATGGAACACAAGTTCTTGGATGCGGCTGAACGACTGTTCTTCTTGGGTAGGTCCTGTGGAATCAATTGCGATGTTCATACTGACGCTGTGTTCGTAGGCCGGCAACTCAGCTCCGACCCCGAGACGCAGGTTCCAAACACGGTCAGCAACCACCTCACGACCGGTCTTTTGAAGTACATCCAGACGACGGGACGCTATACATCGGGAATCAATCTTTTCGAGAAGCTTCGGACACGCGACGTCGAGGTCTCTTCTTTGTTGACTCGGGTTCTCATAATGGCGGATGAGGAGGTACAAGCGGTGCGGTTGATGTACGATGCCCTGCAGGACGTTCCCATGGACTATTCCTTGCTTGATTGTCAGGCGACTTTCTGTCAGGAGAAAGGCGAAGGTGAAATGGCATTAGAGTGTGCCAAGCGCGCGGTGACTGCTGCGCCCAGCGAGTTCAGCACGTGGGCGCGACTGGGAGATGTCTACGTGAGCCTCGAACAGTGGGATCTGGCGCTTTTGACGCTCAACTCATGTCCCATGTTCACCTATCAGGACAAAGATACCCCTCGCATGCCTCAACCGTCGCGCATCATGCTTCCGATCCTTGCAGAAAGTATGCTGGACGAGATCGACGAGGGCCAGCCTAAACAGGGAGATCCCCATGACTACGTCCATCCATCGCTACGTAGATTGCATGCCGCCGCATACCAAGGTACCTTCTTGAAAGCCTACAATCTCTTGACCAAGGTTGCCGCTGCCATCGGATGGGATCAGCTTCTCAAAATTCGCAGCGAAGTGTTTGTCATGGAGGAGGAATACCGGGTCGAACGCCAGCACTCCGTCTCGAAGCCGGACGCCTCCTCAGTAGCCGAGACCAACGGAGACGGAGAACATGAAACGGAGACCGATGCAGATGACCAAGCGTCGACCAACGGGACAAACGATCAACAAGAATCTTCCCATTCTATCGAGAGACCCGAACAAACGGTGGCATCGGAAGTGGTCAAATCCGGAAACGAAGACGTGAGTCCCCATACAGACTGACTACCCCTTACGCCCCTACTCTTGCCGTCCTTTACTATAGACTAACCAAATATCAGCCCGACCCGTCACACTCGTCATACGCGCAATTCCGCAACAAGCGCCTGTGCGAGAGATGGCTCGACAACCTCTTCATGGTCCTCTACGAGGATCTCCGCATCTATACCATCTGGCGCACCGAGATGGCCCAATTCCGCCAACAATCCATCGAGTACAAGAAGTCTGCCACAGAATGGGAGATCCTCGGCGAACTGGCCGAACGACTGCACCATTTCGACGAGGCGATCGAGGCCTACCAGCAGTGTCTGGCCATCCGGTTCTCGCCGAAGGCCATGCGCGGCCTTCTCAAACTTTACGAGAAGCGCAACGATACCCGAGGGATGTTGGGTGCTTTGATCCGTCTCATTGCATGGCAATACCGTTGGTACTCCGAGGTATGTCTTCCTTCCTTTTCCATTCCTCATATCTCAACCTTCCCAAAACATCAACACCATCCCCATACAAATGGCTAAATACTAACCCCCACGAACCGAACAGTTCTCCCCCAACCTCCTCTACCTCATCCGCAAACTCATCGAAGACGAAGGCGCCGTCAAGGTGCGCAGCATCGTCCAGGCCACGAATCTGCCGCAGCCCGTCCTGGACCTCACGCATCAATACTGTCAGCTTTGTGCGACGTTTCGCAGCAGCGGCAGTGACGGCTAAGTAGCTGGTTGCGTCTAGCTAAGTTACGTTACGTTTAATGTTAGGCAGCGACGCGGACCAGCCCAAGTGGATTACTGAAGAAAAAAAGAAAAGAAACCAAGATAGAAAAAAAAAAAAAAAAAAAAAAGGAACAGAGGGGGAAAAGTGATGTGATGACATACCATTATCGTCGGAAATTGCAAATGCAAATGCACATGTAATAGATTTATTGTCCAGGGTTACAAGGAGGAACGATGGATGGATGACTCTATGTTGCTAAGCAGTTGAAGGAGGGGGGATTCTATTCTTTTTCCCTTCTCACCTTTTTTATGTGTCTATTTATTTTCATTTTTATTTATTACGATTACATTATTTTTATGATTCAATTGTTCCAGTTTCACCCGTCGGGATCATGCGTAGCTAGTATCTAGCCCTTTCACCATTGTGGAACATTATGTACGTGGCCAGCACAAGGGGTCTTATGCTAAGGTAGGGTTCCGTTGCAGAAGATTGCACAGGTCTTGGACCTAGGATACCCAATGTCGTACATCTCAGGGAATGAAGAACGTAGCACAGGTTGATTAAATCATTCCACGGGACTATACCTACTAGTATCTATATAGGCAAGAGCTCCGAATACAGACAACCATTACTCAAAGACATGGATACACGAGGCCAAAAAGAGAACAAACAGATATCCACCACTCAGATGAGGATAGTAGTAACTCAGCTATGACCATTAATTACTCCTCCTCGTCGTCGCCAATATCGACCTCGGGTTCTTTGGGAACGGTATCGCCCTTGGCTTTGGCGGCAGCGGCAGCAGGTCCGCTCTTCTTGGCCGTATCAGCTGGTTCTTCCTCTTCTTCGGCTTCGGCTTCAGCGGGCTCTTCTTCCTCTTCTTCTCCTTCGCCTTCACCTTCCTCCCCTTCCCCGGCGCCGTTCTTGTCGGCATCTTTGCCGTTTGCTTCTACCTCTTCTTCCGCGCCCTCTTCCTCTTCAGGCGCAGGGGCAGTCTTGCGTTTCTTAGGAGCAGGAGCTGTAGAACGATTGCGTGTTAGATAATCTCCAAATAGTAGACCGAATTGAGCTGATGAAGTGATTCTTACCGTTCTCTTGAGGAGCCTCCTCTTCTTCGCCTCCCTCCTCTTCCTCATCTACCTCGTCCTCCTCTTCACTACCGCCCACATCGCTGTCGAGATCGGATTCCTCATACCTAGCGAGGGAAATAGTCAGCAGGTGTAGAAAAGTCAAGACGAAAGAACAAGGGTTCGATGGATAATCCGGATGCCATCGCCAATGACGTAACAATGTCACAAGTGTCAAGAAGACGAGTCGCAACCAGGCGCGTAACCCGAAAAAGCTATGCGACTGGGGAAAAAGGTAATCTGAAAACAGAAAACGTTGAAGGAAGGGGTGCGACGGGGTTGTTGAAGGGTAATGGCATGGGGCGCATGAGGAAGTAATAGACGAGAAAATGGTCTATGGAACAACTTACTCCTCTTCCTCTTCGCTCTCGTCGCTGGGAAGGGCTTGAAGCTCTTCTTCTTCCTCGGCTTCTTGCTTTCTCTTACGGGTAGACATGGTGGTTCGGAAGAGTATTAGAAGAAAGTAGGAGATAAGATAGAGGCAGCGCACTTATGCGACAGACCAAGTCAATGGGCGCAAAAATGAACGGGATACGGCAATTATAAGTAAAAGCCCCAGAGCAAAAGGCGCAATGAAGAGGAATCAAGAATTAGGAGAAAAAAGTGGTGGGTGGGAGGGAAAGAATGGAGCAGGGAGGACGGGGAGTGAAAAAGGCGCAGCGCAACGAAGGGCAGGTAAGTTGCGCAGCCGACGACGGAAGGGGGAGGCTACCTAGGAGCTAGAGAGAGAGGGGAAGAGCTTCTACCAGTCAGCAGAGACCAGAAAACATGGGCCAAAGCCAAAGAAACGCAAGACCTGCTCGTCGCAACCTGGGGGAGGGCGTCGCCCTAGTATGCCGCTGGAGGTGCGAATAAACCTTCCCAGGCAGCCATGACGAGGAGGATGACATGATGCTGACGATCTTGGCCCATCTCGATCCCATGCTCCAGGGAAAAGGACCAGCTCTTGGAGTTGGGGGCGGAATTAGTAGGCTAGGGACATGGATGGGTAATGAGGCCCTCGCAGGACCATTTTCAGACCATCGACCATGAGGGGACGCGACACAGATGAAAGAGAAAATCAAGAAGAGAGGAGGGTCGGCCAGGGGTGGAAGAACGCTGGCGATAGCGTCGCCCGAAACCACCGAGGCGTGGAAATTAGAAATTGACTAGTGATGATGTCAGCTGTGTACCTTAATTTACGGGCCGTCAATTCGGGTACGGGATTACCAAACTTACCAAATTACCGTACGGACCCCGGGAACAGCACGGACCCGTTCTGCGACCCCAGAGACGGGGAAAGGTCCGGGGTTTTTAACTAAAATATCACGGTGCGTGTCGACTGTCTCTCTAGGGTATCTATTTGCTTCTGTCAATGCGCCAAAAATTCGAAATTCGCCATGCTGGGATCAAGCAGATTCTCGTCCAGTCCAAATCCGTACGTGCCCACCATGTCGTAGATCAGGTCGGGAGGTGGAAAGCCCTGAGCCATGGCATTCGCGCCTCCAGGTACGTCGCCCCCCGGTCGCTCCACGGGTCCTCCGACAGAGTTACCCCCTGTTTGCCATGAGGTCTCCCAGGAATCGAATCGCTCCAACATCTTTCCCAGTCCCCGCGCAATGTGTCGCGTGAGGTGTCTCTCGCCGGCGGAAACACAGTTGAGCAATTCGATCACCCGCTCCACCAACACACGCACTTGCCGACCGTCGAGACTTAGATATGCCGAGTTCCAGTTCACGGCCACCTTGAGAAGGAATACCGCTGAGAAGGTGACCATCGTATGGGTGAAAATAGGAACGCCGACGATGGCATCTCGAATGTCCTGTTCCTCGAGCACCATGTTCAGACACGCCATGGCAGATGAAATGGCGATATTTGCGGATTCTTTGCGGTCCATGGAGAACACGGGAGTATTGGACGGCGACAATGCCCTCAGAGAGAGGGAGTTCAGCTGAAACTTGGCAAAATGGTAGTGAAGAACCACTCCTTTCGAGGGGTATGTCCGCACATAAGGACTGTCGGCTAGATTATCCAGAGGACGGCCGGTTAGCTGAAATCACCAAGGCAAGGTATTGAAGGATGTATTTTCAAACTTACCAGATCGTGGTTGCCAGAGAAGTCTCCATTGGTCGATCGCAACGTTGTAAACCCTTAACTGACCAAAATCCTCTTCGGTCAAAGCTTGCTCCGTGTCACTCCCGAACATGCGATATGCCTCCGTCAAGATCATGAACAAGGCCACCTGTGCCATGAGCCGGATATCACCAGGGACGACAGTCGGGGATTGCAGGAAAGTCTCGTAGTTCTTGATGGCTGCATCCTCATGAATCACCGGCGGGCGCCCGTATGCGATACTGAAATGGTGATCGCAGACATACAACAGGTACCAGAGTTGTGCGCGCTCATATTGATCACTATGTCCTCTTATCATTTTCTGATGGCTTTGATGGAGACCTAATTCCGTAGCGATGCGCACTGCATGGCCAGACAGCTTCCAGCTTAGCTCGGATAACCAAAAAGCCCCGATGCAGAGTCCCCGGATGTCGTCAAGGGTATGAGCTCTGGTTAGGGACATGCTTGAAACGAGCGAGACATACTCGCTGTAGCAGCGATTCAGCGTTTCCGTTCGATTTGGGATATGCAGCGCAGCAACGGTAAGGACGGCCGCGGAGAGCAAGGTCGACGCTCGGCGTACAGAGGTCAGATCGCGATGAACTAGGATTATGCCTCCCCAAAGGAGCTGATTCATTGTCCTACTGAAATAGGCAAAGAGCTCCTCAGCCTCATGTAGAGAGATCAATCCTCGCGATATGAAGTCCTCTTCCAGTAGGGTCAGTTTGGGCTGCTGGATGGGATTATTTCGTAGATTGCGCAGCTTGGTAACCTCATAGAGACTGCGCATTGGAGCTGGCACTAGCTCCGGGCTTTGAAGGTCGGGTTCTTGGGAAGGTTCTCGCGCCACGTCCATCACCGCACCGGGCCCGTGATGCTCGGCATGGTTTTGCGCTGGAGGTTCATCGAAGATAAGTGGGTGCTGGGATACGACGGGGCTAGGGTCATTTTGGGAATCTCCCGATGCGAAAGTCGAAAGATCTTGTAGACCTGACCGACGGAGCAGGTGAGAGACGGCGGCTTGGAGCTGGTTGATGGTCGCTGTCGCTTGAGATTTCCACCTACGGGGAGGGGTTAGAACGGGGACCGAAATAGTAGCACGGTGGGACTTACACGCCATCATCATCAACGAACTTTTGCGAAAAGTCGTTTACCACGCATTTGATTCCACTGCGTAGGCATTTGGTGCAGCTGGCCTCGCCTGGCTTGAACTCGCATCGTATCTTATGACGTTTGCAATCGGCACCTACAGGTTTGTCAATTGAGTGCTAGATCCAGATCTTCAGGAGAAACCTACAGGCTCGCGCCTTCGATACTCGCGGGACAGAACTCCGTCCGTCAGGAGCGACGGAGTCTAAGCCGGCGTCCGAGGACGACCGCTTCATGATTCCAGCTTCTGATTGATTGTCGAAACGATTCTTGACTAAGAGGTTCGATGGGTCGGGGATACTCCGATGCAGCCGACGTGCGGGCGCAATTGCTGAGGGGAATCAACTTGACAGAGATGGCGTCAGTGCAATCCACTAATTAATTTTCAAAATTGAATTGGGCCCGTTTTGTGGGAATGCAGTTCTCGATGATTGTGTGAAAGGAGAGATGGTTGACAGGCAGATTGCGGGGAAGAGGAACAGAGCAACAGAAAAATAAACCCCACTCTGGAAGCCGCGTCTGAAGCGGCCTCTGGAGTCTGGACTCATCGTCTGATCTCTCTCTCTCTCTCTCTTTTCTGTTTGCGACAAACACTACAATTGATTCACTTTATCGATCTTATGAACAGTTAGGCTTGATCACCCACCTATCTGATGTTAATCAAAATATTGACGGGAAGATAGCTATCAATCGATCCTTGTCAATCGCGTCAAATGCCTCTTATGCCATCATCCAACCTGTCTAAAGAGGATTCTTGTCTCACACATACAGTACTTCACTCATAGAAATGCAAGCCAAACTCCTACCAAGGCTTGTTGACAGTTTCGGAATGATTCACTCTTCGGTTCCCATGGCCTTTGAACGGACCGAAGCAGCACAAGAAGGCGAAGATCGCGAGCATGAGAAGCCCCAGTTGTACGAGCTAACAGTCGGTCGATCTTTCTAGCGAGCAAGCGAGCAACATTATGGAGCTCCAACTCCTCTTGCCTCCACACCGGCCCAACTCCGGGTGCAGATGCGCGTGCCTGAAAGTCTCCAGAAAGCCTCGGACTAAATGCGACTGCGGATGCCCCACTGTGAACTACATCATTCCCTTGTCACGTCAACACTCTGAACCCAGGCCGACACCTCTTTTTGTACCCTCTTTTTATTTCACACGACATGAACATCCTCATCACCGGCGGCGCCGGCTTCATCGGCCAATTGCTAGCAAAAGAGCTCCTCAACGACCCCTCCTACAATGTCATTCTCACCGACATCAACGAACCCCCAATCCCAAAGGGAGTTAAATACCCCCAGAACGCACGCGCCGTGACCGCAGACCTCCTCAGCGGCGCAGAAACAGTGGTAGATAAATCGCTAGACGCCGTGTATGCCTTCCACGGGATCATGTCGTCCGGCTCCGAAGCCAATTTCGACCTCGGCATGAGCGTCAATGTAGACGCCACACGGAACCTCCTCGAGAGCCTCCGCAAAACATGTCCCGGGGTTCGAGTCATTTATTCCTCCAGCCAGGCTGTCTACGGCCAGCCGCTGCCTGAAGTAGTAACCGACAGCGTGATCCCTACCCCTCAATCGTCCTACGGTGCCGAGAAGATCATATGCGAGACCCTCGTAAACGAGTACACGCGACGCGGCTTCATCAATGGCTTTGTCCTTCGGTTTCCCACTATCTCCGTCCGACCGGGTCGGCCTACCGCGGCTGCGTCTTCCTTTCTGTCCGGCATGATCCGCGAACCGCTGGATGGCGTGGAGTGCGTGATTCCGGTGGAGGATCGGTCGTTCAAGTCGTGGTTGTGTTCGCCGCGGACGCTTGTGCATAATCTGATCCTTACATTGACGTTGTCGGCGGATGCGGTGCCCCCTCATATTCGCCAGATCAATGTTCCGGGGATCTGCGTCACGATCCAGGAGATGATGGATGCGTTGGAAGCGGTCGGAGGGAGGGATAAGCTCGCGTTTCTCAAGGAGAAGGAGGATCCCGCTCTCAAAGCTATTCTGGATTCGTGGCCGACTCGGTTCGATAATACACAGGCGATCTCTTTGGGATTCAAACGAGACGAGTCTTTTGAACAGGCTGTTAGGGACTATCAATTGGAAGTAGCGCAGTGAAGTAGTGGTGTACATTACAGGTGCGTCATTCTTCGTTAAATGTACATATGATAGCTTCAGATAGAGCAGGCATTTTTTACAAACATAAATAACACACAAATTACCGAGTAGATATCCATGACACCGCAAATATACCCGTTTCATATCATACAAAAGCACATATTGCTCGCGCCTTACCCATCAAACAGAAAAGTCATTCCCTTCCCATTCTTTCCCACCCATTCCCACTAAAATTACTTCCAAACCTGCACTAACTTAGCAAACGTCCAATAACTATCAAAGGCTCTCCCAAACCTGTCCATCAATCGCCACCAGACGATTGAACAACTGATTCCGCATCCTCATCGCAGTAAGCCGATACGTCTGCTTCGGCTCCTTGCCCACGATAATCAACCCATCCACGACCTCCTTGCTCCCCATCGCCCACCCCGCAACAATCTTCCCCTTCCACCCCAACCCGCCGATCTTCCGCATCTCCTGGATCTCAGTCACCGGGATCGCGAACAGCACGGCGCCTTTACCCCTGCTGCTTAGCCGGGGGTCAAGTTGCGCTGTCGCGTCCGTGGTGAAATATAAGACGGGAGTTTCAAGCGAGGAGTCGATGATAAGCGCGCCTCGTTTGCCTTTATAGCGGGCGTCGAACTCGACGGGGCCTGAGGGTGTCGTGGTCACACCTTTCCGGTGCAGGACGCCGATGCGCGTCTTTGCGTGTCCGGAGCCGACGGCTGCGCGAACTCGATCGACGGCAAGCTTACTTTGGATGCCGGTGGCGGTGGTGCCGCGGAAGAAGCCGATGACGCCGGATATCCATGACTTTTGGGACTTTTCGGGCTGCTTCTCCTCTTGGTGGAGCTGCTGGGCACTTTGGGAGGCGGCTTGGTGGATCTCGTCGTCAGAGACTCCGAGACTCAGATCCTCCGCGTGGAGGGAGGCAGGGTGTGATGGGGCCTTGATTTGCGAGTTGTCAGGGGGTGGTGGTAGGGGTGCAGCGTTTGCTTCGCCAATGCGGAGGAGGGTTAATGTGAGTTGAGCGTTGGTGGGAATGCCTTTCAGAAGGGAACTGGTTGAATAGAGTTAGTTACCAGGGTTATGTGTAGGCTGGGGCAAACTTGCTTTTGCAACTGGAGTAGTTTCTTCCAACCCGGGTATCTACGATCCAGATATGCAGTAACATGCCAGAACAGTGGATCCCCGAAAAACGCAAATCCAACGACGAAAGTGCCACCCTTGACGAACATATAACTGGATATGACCGAGGAAATCAAGACGGCGGAGCTCAAAACAATTGCGAATCGGACAAAGGGCCTAAAGGTAGGGAAAGGCGAAGTTGGTGAAAGAGCACTGCCACAGTAAGCATATATCATAGATGCGGTAGCTAACGCAAGAATGACTTACTTTCCAAGCTTCTCATAGGTATCGATGATGTCGCTGAGTATTCGCATCAGGTCGTTTGCTCCGTTCAAAACCTTCTCTTTCATAGGCTGTCTAGTCTTATCGTGACTTTCCTCCGGGACCTGCCCATGTGCAGTGGCCTGCGCATCAGCCGTGTCGGATATAATATCTGTTGCGTCAGGTACAGAAGCCTCCAAAGGAGCATCCTCGGGTGTGCCCTGGTCGTGTTTCCCAGCAATGCTACCAACAGCAACACTGGCAACACTTGTAATCATATTGGTAGCTTCCTGCTCGGCCGCTTCTCCTTTGAGTTTCTCTGGAGCACCCGTGATACTGTCGTGTGAGCCTAATACATTGGCCGCTGGTTTCTGTACCCCTCCGGTATTCACATCAACGAGTGCGATCGGTGCTGGCGGGAAGAGCTTTGTCCGGCATGGAGGATAGATAGCCAATGCCAGGAGAAAGCAGAAGAATGTCGGTGCGAGAATATCCAAAACCCATGCGACGAAGTATACCTACAGACATTAGCTGAACTCACAGGTTGATAGTAAAGAGCCCCAGTCTTACCGCACAGAAAGCCGATGTGCGATGAGTCTCCTTCCACGAACGTAGTCTAGCAATATGCTTGAAGAAGCTGGCCATCGCCACCACGATCGTCGTATAGAAGCGTTCCAGGGTCGCGCGCAATTTATCAGGAGAAAACTGCTCATCTTCGAAACGGACGAGATCAAGATTCTGTAACGGGGCTTCCGGAAGGGCTTTGACATAGTAAATTTGCTGCGTGGAAGGATCAGTACGTCTCCTTCTCTATCGCCTCGCATGCAAAATACCTTATTAAATCTCCGGATCAACATCCAAAGATCCTGGTTCGAGAGGCCCGACACAATCCTCTCCTCAAAGTCATCGTGCGATTGCCCCCATCCGATATCCGATACATCCTGGGTGATCCCGGCCTTCTCAGCCAGTCCTTTCTCATCCTGCTCTAATTGCGAGAGGAGATGGCTGTCGGTCGGCGAATCAGCCTTGATGTCCTTTTGTTCCGTGAACTCTTCGTCGTCGTTGCTTCGGTCAGTTGGAGCCTTCAACGGCTTCGTTTTCCCTGTCGTTGTCATTTTCCGTCCGTGTAAGTGTAAATGGACAAGGAAGAGCGAACGGGGTGAGAGGGTCGGGATTAATGGAAAAGCGACTTTACAATTCTGACTCCTTGTGTTCCTTTTCGATCAGGGCGAGTATTGTGCCAGGGACTACTCAGTGGACAATTGATGACGTCATTCTGCAGTCAGTCACCCACCCGGGCAATAAGGCTCTTCATTGGGTTCTTTGACCCCTGTGAGCTTGAACGACTGACCTACTTAGCCGGCTCACTGTGGTCAGCTAGATCGAAGAAAAACAAGATCGGGAGCCAATTTAGTACTTCCATCTCACTGCGCACTGGCCGATCTTGGAGATGATCTACGCCTTGGAAGGATCTTTCTGCCTCACCCGTCAGGCAACGATCGTTTCTTATAGAACCAGTCTGTTCGATCCACTGTTTCGACTATCCAGGGCTCTGGCAGCCCGCCGAATGTCCTGCTAGGGACGACTCAACCTTGATTTATACCTACTTACTTAGGATGATACCAGGAAATTACGATTTCCATAAAGGAAACAGGAAAAGAAGAAAAAGCTCCCCCACGACATAACTACAAACACGATCTATTCATAGAAGCTCTCTTCTTTAACAGGGAACTCTCCCTTCTTCTCGTCCTTCCCCTCTTCATTATTCTTCTTATTTTTCTCCCTATCCGCGATACGTCTCTGCACCGCGTACGAGTTGAACACAGCGCCTTTGTGGCGCTTGGAGGGGGCGCCGGAGGGGGAGGGAGCTAGGTGACATTAGATTTCATTTGAGTAACAGAGTCCCTTGAGGACTGACCGGAACGGCGGTCGGAGAAGTAGAGGGCTAGTAGCGCATTAGAACATAATAATCCGAGTGTATTCTAACAAAGTCCCTTGAGAACTTACCTCTGGTGGCAAGGGCAGAGGTGGAGGCGGCCATGACTGCGCCTGAGGCCGCTGCCCCTGCTGCGGCGGCGGCGGCGACGCCAGCACCGGCAGAGAGTGCGACCGCTATAGCGACTATGTTAGACCTGGGTATATTTTGGCTATGTCCCTGCGGAGCTTACTAGCAGCAGTGGTGGCAGCTTCGCCTGCGGCTTTGGAGATCGCAGCAATGTCCTAAACAACCCATTAGTATATTGACGACAATACTCGCTAATTCATGGGTATTATCAGGAGATAGACTTACCATTGTCATTCTGAAATAAGGGTATATTATTTCGATCTACTTTTGTCAGCAAAATTCATTTAGTGTCTTTACCTCGTGCTTAGGGCCATATTCGGACCGTAAGCCACATGGCTGAGATGTATGGTAGGAGGAAGGCAATTGCAAGGGGAGTACAAGAAGAGACAAGCTGGAAATGGATAAAAGGTGATGAAAGTCAAAACAGCGGACTCAGTAGTCCGCAGACTGGCTTGCCAGCGAGGATACAGCCTTGGAGCCACAAGAGATGATAGAAGACACATGGAAATGGGAATATAGAAGGAAAATATAATGAACGATAGCTGGAATGGAGGGGAAACGATGGGAGTTGAAGTTGAAGACTCAGTAGTCCGCCGACTCGCCTGCCAACGAGGATACAGCCACGTACCAGCAGAACGGGAAGAGATTAAAAGAAACAAGGGAATGACAGCTGAAAGACACCAGAGAATGGAACATGATGATGAAACTATATCCAAATCGATGGGGTCTGGAAGTGTATACGTACCGATGTAAGCGGGTTGTTGCCGGAGAATGAAAGAGTCGAGAGGGGAGTGAAGTATCACCACGACGAGTGGTAGTGTGCCTCAGGCCTACGCTCCTCAAGCCCTTATATCTTTTACTGGGATGCTGAATCTATACTTCTTGCCGACTTTCAAGTCTAGGCTTTCATGCTTGAACATGTCCGCTAGAACCATGCATTAGCACATTTAGCAATAGAATCCATAGCTTCTGGGCATGTCATTCTGCGTGCGCAATGTTCAAGAGAAAAACGCTGAGACCAATCGGTCAGTCAATCTAACCCAGTCTTCTATACACGTTCACATTCTCCCAAGACTTAAAGAGCGAGAACGCCCCAGAAGTGAAATCAGAATGAAAAGCGGAAAGCTGACTGGAAACAAGATAACAAGTAGACAACGACTTCTTCGTGATACTTAGAATACTATATCGGCCGATTACCCCACTAGATACGTATGTTATATACTACCTTCCATGTGTCTTTTCTACTCTGTGACAGAGATGTGTAGCATACAGCTCAGGCCGAGAACCGACCACATAGATAGGACAATACCATAGTCAAGCAGGACGGCCTTACTCAACTGGTTCATCAAAAACTCAGTTTGGAATACCAACAGGCCAAATCTCCAGCCCAGAATTAGCTCATCCACGTAATTAGAGCATCTCAGTACACGTTGAGAAAGAAATATTATCCCGAGGTATCACTAGATGCCAAGAGGTAAATATCGTTGACATACTCAATAGGGAACACCACTATTCGAGGCTCTAATTGAAGGCGTCCAGTTGATCGTAAACTTGGCCCTCGACAAATTGTCTAGTGAGTTGATACTATGTACCAAACCAGATCGCCAGATATTCAAGGTACCTTATCGGTAGCAAGTAGTTGATCTACAAGTCTAATCCCCATAGCCATAGACGCAAAGCATAGGCAGCGCTCTGTTCATTACCTTTAGAGCTCCAGCCGGTCGATAACGAGCCAAGGTGTGCTGTGCCCTGTGTACAAATTTCTGTCGAACTACAATCAGAGCTATGAACCACAGGCTGGCGGACTAGCCCTCAACCAGAGCATAAAGATTTCGCGTGTCGGCAAGATATGAAAACTACTTCCCAGAGAAGAACGGCATGCACGGCTAACCCTGAGAAACTGGAAGAAAGTTCAAGCGGTGCACTGCGGTGCGACCGTTTGGTAGAAATATATTTACTAAAGCTCGTACTCTTATAGGGCGTACCTGAATCAAAAAATATTCACGCCATTGAAGCACTACAGGGAGTAGTATGTGAGTACAATCTACCAATAGCACACTCGCTACGAGGAGAAAGCCCAGAATAAGAAAAGTTCAAGTGTATTATTGAGGTAGTGCAACCTGGAGCGGCAGTCTCCAATCTCTTGCATGCCGAATGGATCAGGCAGAAACCGCTTACATAAGCCATGTTCCCGTCTTTTTCTTTGCAAAACAATGTCACACGTCTCTCACACCATCCAAAAACTAAGGAAACCATGACCGAATCCTGTTCGAATCCTCTCTTTCTATCGTGGATCAAGAGCTGGCTTGATGAAGCACGCGAGCGCAATAGCAAGGGCGTCACGGTGTTCGTACATCTCAAATCCTCTCTTTACCTACACTAACTGCTTCCTAGGTACAAGAAGGCGTACGAGTCGATGAAATCATGTCCCCTCGTATTTCAACACCCGTCCGAAGCACAGCAGCTGAATGGCCTTGGTCCCAAATTATGCGACCGGCTAACTGAGAAGCTGAAGGCTCACTGCTCAGAAAATGGCATTCCCATGCCCGAACATCCTAATACCGGTGAGCCTTTCCCTTACCGTTCAAGGTTCACTGGTAGGTTCCCTAACGAGCACAGCAAACAAGAAGCGAGTCTCGGATGGGAATGAGATCGACCCAAAACCAGCCAAGAAGCCTAGAAAGGCAAAACCTTATGTGCCGGCCTTGCGCTCCGGACCATACGCGTTACTGCTGGGTCTTGGGACTCTCGACGAGAACTCGAACCAGAGCATGACGAAAACGCAGCTGATTGAGACGGCACAACCATACTGCGACAGCTCATTCACCACGCCGACTGATCCGACGAAGTACTTCACTGCGTGGAACTCGATGAAAACGCTCATTCAGAAAGACCTTGTTTACGATCATGGACATCCTTTGAAGAGGTATGCGCTCACGGAGGATGGATGGGAGGTTGCCAAAAGGATCCAAAAGACTCTGCCTGAATTCAATAAAAGTACCTTACCCTTCCGGGGTCAGTCGGTATGTCTATTATGACTAGCCTATACTGAGTAAGCTCTAACCAGGATAGGAACCATCCGACTCCCGTCTCAGCGCTCAGCCCCTAAACGTGGGGTCGATGCCAGGGCTGTCGCGGCAAGATAGCGCCGAAGAACACCGCTTCGATACCGGCATATCGAACCCAACCGAAGACCAGGAGATCACGCCCATCACCATCCCCCCAAGCAGCTTCACCGTCCAGCTGGTCCTGGACATCCGGGAAGTCCGCACATCCAAGGATAGGGACTACATTGCCAACGAACTCAGCAAGAAAGGTGTAACACCGGAGGTACGAGCCCTTGAACTCGGTGACGCCATGTGGGTCGCCAAATTCCATGACCCAGCATACCTATCGCAAAATTACGGAGAAGAAGGCGACGAAATCATGCTCGACTGGATCGTGGAGCGAAAGCGCCTTGACGACCTCGTCGGCTCCATTAAAGATGGACGATTTCACGAGCAGAAATTCCGTCTTCGGCGATCCGGCATGAAGAACGTCATCTACCTGGTCGAGGAATTCAACATTACTCAGGACACCGGCAGCGCCTCGGCCCTGAAATATCAAGAAATGGTAGCATCAGCGATCGCCTCCACGCAAGTCGTCAACGGATACTTCGTCAAGAAGACAAAGAACCTCGACGACACGATCCGCTACCTCGCGCGCATGACCTTTCTGTTGCAGAAAATGTTCACTCTGCCTTCCTCCTCTTCTGAATCTCCCACCACTGCCCCCTCTCCTACCAACACCCTCAGCTTAATACCTAGTCGCCAGCTCTCCTCCTCTCAATCCTACCTCAACGCCCTCGAACGTCTTCGAGCAGAACTCTCTTCTTCATCCGTTACGTACGCTGTCACTTTCCCCACCTTCTCAATCCTAACCTCCAAATCCGATGTCCTCGCACTGCGCGACGTCTTCCTGAAAATGCTCATGTGCACTCGTGGCGTCACAGGCGATAAGGCTCTCGAGATCCAGCGTCGCTGGCAAACCCCACAGGCATTCATCCAGGCGTTTGAACAACTAAATCCAAAGGATCGGGAGGAAATGGTGTCTGAGCAGATGAAAACGCTCGTGGGGAGGAAGAAGATTGCGAAGGTGTTGAGTAAGAAGATTGCGGAGGTGTGGGGGGAGAGTGGTTGATTCTCCTTTCTGCCCTTTTATCCATGTATTCTCTTTTGTTATTTGTTCTAATAAACTAACCAGGACTGTTACGCTAATTTCATGGATGGGATTAATAGAGTTGTCGATGATTGTTTATTCTCGAAACATTTGCCATAGTTCTGTACTGTACCTGATATATGTATCGGCGCTTTGATAAGGAAACCCAAGGAGTGTTTGATAACCTATTTATATGAAGTACATTCATGTCCTCTCAAAGGGGACTGGGCTGTATTATCAGGAAGATCATATAAAAAGTTTTATAATCCTAGGGTCACACATTCAGCAGGAAGGTGTAACTATCCATGTCCAAACACAGGGCATGATTACAATTGCTTCCTCAAAGTAGATATTATTGACTCACCATGTCTGCTAGATGTACTCTCATTCAGCTTACAATATGGAACTCTTAGGTGCATGTAGTTCCCGATTACCAATAATTTCTGGGCAATTGTCTTTGCTACTCCATAGAGCTTATTGATTGACTTGACCAGTCGAAACTTCAGCATAAGCGCGCAAAAAGGACTGTACTAGAAACAGAATGATGAATCCACCGGCCATGATAAGGTTCAAATCACGGTGTCTCTCCCGACACACTGCTTTATCGAGTTCTTGATAATAGCAGCAGAAAAGATATAATGACAGCGGTAGCGTTATAGCACAAATACCCCATCTGTGGTTTATATGATTAGAATGCTGAGATCCGTCTGTGATTAAGAGCCAATCAGCACTTACATTGTAAATATTCTGTGAAAGAGCTTGAACAGACGCCATATGAAAGGGCTCGGGGGAGGATCTTGCCGAGTCGGGGCTGAAGGGGACTCCTGCCTTGGTTTAATTGCATGCATGTTGATGACGGACCGAGTATGAAATTTTTGGGGGGCCTAGGGAAGTGATATTTAAAATTTAACAATCTGCGCGGCCCACTTATGGGAACCTCCCACGGGGCTTGAGAAATGGTTCCCTGCGCTAATGCATGTATGTTTCACCGGTTTGAGGTCTTGAGCGTACCGGCGGCCCCACATGGATTAGGGAACTCACTTTGATTACCGAGTACTCCAGGTATACTCTGTACCTACTTGACCTTTGTGTGTTTTTCTTCCCTTTCTTTTCTGTTTGCCCTTGGGCCAAGAAAGGAAAAGTCTTCTCCACATAGAGCATATCTCGTGAGGGATCTCTCAGACCCAACATGGTTTCCCTCGAATGGCATAGTCCTGTACCTGGAATTGTTGTTCAGTGTTGCTTAATCTCTTACAACGAACGCCCCACATGCGTGTTATAAACTTCAAGGCTACTCAGTACTCCCTACACCTACGCAGTAGATTTTATTCGTACTATTGTACGTATTCCGATTCGTGCTAACATAAGTTTATATACTATTGAAGGCAATTAGTAATATCTGCTCATAAATCGAGATGTTATGTCAATATCTGTGGTTTTCGATTGACAATTGCCAGGACAAGTCTACGTCGTTGTTGTTACCCCTCTTTGATGGATATTTGGTGTTTCCACTTCTTACTAAATTTATTGTGCTGAGAAGATCTGGATGCTTGAAGTTCACGCTTGGTATAGTGTAGGCAATGAACGACTCACTCAATAGGCAACCAAATAATATCTATTAACAGTCTCATGACTTTTGAAAAGTCACTCCATAGATCTTAATATATTCGTAATTATCTTTATAAAAGGCAACCTCATAAAGTTGGCCGAGTGATCAACACTAAAGCGAGAGAATGTTCTAAGCTTGTACTATAGCCTGTTATATATCTTTACTTTGATCTGATGTGATAGAAAAGGCTTAACAAGACCTCGTAGTTTTACTCGAAAATCCATCATTATTCAAGAGCAGATCTAATGTCTAATCTATTGGCAAGGTTTCACTGATTATCTACAAACTTAGCAAGAGGAAATACCAAGGATCTCGAAAGCTTCGCAATATCCCGCCATAAGTGGTCTGTGATAACTCAAACAAATTCTGTCTACTTGTGATCGTTCTCGCTCCTTCTTTCTCTCTCTCTTTCTTTGCCTCCACTCCAATTCCTTCACTCCGTCTCTTTTGCTTGACACCAAGTGGGAAAGTAATTACCTACGTGTCTGTGTCACCTGAGCTGACAGGCAGGCGGTTCAGGAAGGCAGAATGACAGCCTCATTCCCTTGGGCTATTCACACATCACTGATCTTATTTTGTGATTTTGCAACCATTCTCGCCGTTCATTATCGGTCTTCACATGTTATAGTGCTCCACAATCAAAGCCCAGCAATATCGAGATGACAATCAGAGGTGCCCGTTGGACATCGCCTAGGTTTTTCGTTGGGATTCTGTAAGCCTGATCGATTCCTCTCACGTATTCGATGGTCTCGACATTTCATTAATTGACGATCGCCTCACATTAGGCTTTTCAATACAGTGGGACTCTACGTTTTCACTAAAGGATTCCTGCTGTCACGAAGAGTGCTGGAGTTCTCCAGCATCTGTACCAGTCCTCTAATTCCAGCACAGCGGCAAAACGAGTCCTACCATTCTCAATATGCTCAGGATGGGTGCTGGATGCCCAGGTCCTTTGATAAAGCCGTGATTGTAGTTATCGATGCGCTACGATATGACTTCACAATACCATCTGCGCCACTGTCATCTGGGAAAGATCCCTATCAACCTTTCCATAACGTCCTCACGATACTGCACGAGAAAGCAGCCCAAGAGCCTCAAAATGCAGTCCTTTTCCCCTTTATTGCGGATCCTCCAACTACAACCTTGCAACGGGTGAAGGGATTGACGACAGGAACACTGCCGACATTCATCGAAGCTGGTGCCAATTTTGCAGGTTCTGCACTTTTAGAAGATAATGTTGTCACGCAACTACACAAAGCAGGAAAAAGACTGGTGCATCTTGGAGACGATACATGGACAAAACTGTTTCCGAATCATTTCCTACCCAACCTGTCCCGCGCGCACGATTCCTTGCTCATTGCTGACCTCGACACAGTGGACAATGACGTGGACAAACACCTTCTGCCCCTTATTAGCTCTAGCCAGAAGGAGTGGGATATAATCTTTGCTCATCTTCTAGGAATAGATCACGTTGGCCATCGATTCGGTCCCGCGCACCCTGAAATGACCAGGAAACTGAAGCAAATGGACCGTGTCATACGAGATATTATCAATTCCCTCGACGAAAACACGTTGTTCATTGTTATGGGCGACCATGGGATGGATGGACATGGAAACCATGGCGGCGAAACCGAGGATGAGTTACAAGCAGCCTTGTGGATGCATGCTCGGGGCAAGCATTTCGGTCACTTGCCACGCTATCCAGAGGACCCGGTGTCGCACACTGGCAAAAGACCCATCCGTCAGATTGACCTTGTCCCAACCTTATCGCTCCTCCTGGGGGTCCCGATTCCCTTCAACAACTTGGGTAGTCCCATCGAAGAGGCTTTTATTGGACCGACCGGCGATAATTGGAGGCAACTGGTGCATTCACAAATGTTGTCGTTTGCACAAGTGGAACGATTCCACCGAGAATACACAGCAGAAATGGAGAATACCATGCATTCCCTTGAGTACAACAATCTGGACCTTCCTCGAAATGCCTCTTGGAAAGAAGTTGTTTTTCGAGACAACTCTTCTTTGAAAGCAGCATCGCAACAGTTACGCGGCTACCAAATGAGGATCCTGCAGCATTACAAACGTATATGGACACATTTCAGCATCCTACACATGCTAGAGGGCTTGGTCATGCTGTCCTTTGGAGCCCTCGCACTGTTCCTTCGTATCTGCACGCCTGACCAATACAGCTTCTTCCCCGGGACCTCTTCTGAAGTGATCAAAATGGGAGCCATAACAGCTTCAGTCATTTGTTCATCTCATGTTGCTTTGACATGGCCAGGGGAATATTGCATCATGGAGGGAGTCATCCTAGGCACGACAATTAGTAGTTTCATGCTACTAAACTGTCATTTTCGCCTTTCCGGGGCGGCCCAGATAACAAAGAATTCTCAGAGACTGGCATTCTGGAATGTATTGGCAATGGGATCTACCATTCTGCTTTCGATCGGGTTTGCCTCTAATTCTTTCACCGTTTGGGAAGACCATATTGTACTAACCTTTCTTGCAACATTTGGAATTTGTGCTCTCTCAGCATCACATAGGACATTTAACAAAGGAAAGAATACTGCGGGGCCTCTCCTCTGCATTTCCTTTGCAGCCCTGACCAGGCTAGTGTCGCTGAGTCGCTATTGACGGGAAGAACAGCTTCCATTTTGCGTGTCGACATACCATCGCCTGGGTAGCGTGATGGGCTGGCAGCTGCTCATTCCCTCTTTCATAACCATAATAATTCCAGTGGCCAGTCGAATAGCCTTTGGTCCAGTCCTACCAAGAAGCATGCTCCTCTGGATATGGTGCCACATTGGTATGCCCATGGCACTTTTATTCAATGCTGTTTATTGGACCCTGGATTCTGCCAATAGGATCGGTTGGTTCGAAGACACAAATATCACCATATTCTCCCAGGTGCCTCGCGTTATCTTTTCCAGGCTCTCTCTGGCTATTGCACTCGCTGGCAGTGGGATGGCTCTGACTTCAAAATGGACCACGAGCATGACCTCCATTCAGTGTAATATGGTCATCACTACATCCATCTTGATGATCTGCATTTTGGCGAGTGGCCCGATGGGAGGTGGCTCCTTATCTATACTCTATCTCCAGATCCTCAGTCTCCGCAAATTGCTCAATCACTCTCGCAATGATACCATCGGGCCTACAATTACTGCGCTATTAGGTGCTCTCCACTTCTTTGGCACTGGTCATAACGCAACCTTCTCCAGCATTCAATGGGAAGCTGCCTATATCCTATCACAGGATATTCATTACCCTTGGTCCCCGTTATTTGTACTCCTCAACACTTTTGCTGGTCCGATTGTCGCTGCATTCTCAACCCCTCTGATCATATCACAAGGTGCACACTCCAGGGGAACTCATGTTGTCACCAAGGTGTTGACAGTGCATGTTTTGGTCTACACGGTATGGACGTTCTCAACGGCGGTATGGGCTAGTATCCTTCGCCGCCATCTGATGCTGTTTGCTATTTTCTGTCCACGGTTCTTGATGGCTGGGACCCTGTTGCTAATCGTTGATATCATCGCGATAATAACTTCATTGACCACTGCATTCAATACTAATCGATTGGAAGCGGCTATCATTGAAACGAAACACAAGGCAAACAACAAACAAACAAATAAGCCGGAGGAGTAAAGGACACCTCGTCAAAAAATTCTTCAAGAAACG